AGTTGCTTCCGTACGCGTCTGTAGTCACCGAAGAAGTAACAATGAAGTAGAATGGCGGGAAGTTTAAAATGGCTGAAAGTACAGTCTATGGAAGTATAGTGTACAGTCTCCATAGTGTAGTCAATTGGATTTGATGTTGACGTAGCTGTCGGTAATACAGTGTGATAATACAGTGTCTTGGTACTATAGTACTTAGGTTTGAGCTTCATTGCTGGAATGCTAGATGGCGTTAAAGTAGTCAAATAGCCAGATGCAGAGGTATTATTGGCTACACAATTTCTTTATTTTATTTAAAAATATATATTTTTTTATTAAATAAAAAGTAGCCTATAACCATTCGGGGACCACTAAGAATATGTGTACAAATTTTCATGATGATCGGTTAAGTAGTTTTTGCGTGAAAGTGTAACAAACATCAGGACTTTCGCATTTATAATATTAGTAGGGATTTAAATGTATAAATTTGTTTTGTAGGTTTTATTTGTATTAAATTAGTTGTTTTAATTAAATTTGTTAATTTATTGAGTATATTGAGTGTGTTTAGTGTAGAGTTGCATTGTGCGCATCTGTTCGACGCGTGTCCATTTTCGGGCTTGTTTGGTATTTTGATATCCAATTGAGGAAATTAATTGAAAACCCTACAATGCACGCGCGGCGGGCAGCAGAAAAAAGATGCAGATTCATTGCATTAAGCAGGCGCGGCGCGATAAATCTCGCCCGAAATGTTTTTAATTAAAGCACTTAAAAGCAAATTGAATCAATTTCGGCTGCGGACATCAGCCGAAAATCAAAAAAAGAAATGCAGCGCAATGCATTTACAAAACGTTTTTGTCTCCTTCATCTTTGACGATATGCCGACAAGAAAATTAAAATATACAGTGTGTTTTTATACAATAAATTAAATTTTCTGTTTCCTCCTTTAAAGAATTACTTTTTACACCGTTTTGAGACACTAAAAGTGGCAATTTAATCACGGGGTGGCTAAAGCCGTGACTAAAGTACTTTAGTCACGGGGTGAATTTAAAAAAATATATTTTTATGATCCAGTATGTGTCTGGATGTAAATGCAAAATTTCCTAAATCAATTAAGAAGCCATTAATCACAATAAACTCGATCCGAATTGATTTATTAAGTATGCGCTCGTTATGCCAACGCATCTTGCAAAGTCAGTGTGCTGTGCAGTCCAGTCCGCCAACTGGCATTGTGATCCAGATAACTCGCATACTCCCATGGCACAATAAGGACACCACACACTCGCGGCCCTTGAATGGCGCATTCAACACTTTCATTGGCTTTAAACTGCATTCAAACGAGTGTAAAGTGTTCCAAAACGAAGCGCACGGCGTTACTTTCAATTGTGCTCTGATTATACGCCCAAATGCCCTTGATTGTACTTGATTAACATATGCTCAACAATTAGGATACCGAATGTTTGCATAAATGCATAAAAATATTAATGTGTGTGTAAAATTAGTTGCCGAAAGTGATTTTCATAATCTTCAATCTGTTGGTTGCTATCGTTTTTAGTTTAGAAGGTATTGGATATTAAATATGTTCGAAAAACATGAAATTTTATAATTTTTTTCTGCATTTTCAACATTTTCAAAAATAATTACAATTGACCCAAATTTCCTGCCCAACCAATATTTAACCACATAAAAAAATAAAAGAAAGCTTTGCAATTGATAAAACTAAAAATTTTACGAGCAAAGAAAGTATTTTTCCAGCACGATTACACTTGAGTACTTAAATTTACACGCCGATAACACGTTGTAATTTATTTATTAATCGATCATTCGACGCTCTCTGCTGGACACACTCATCCTGCACACGCCAGGCGGACGAGATTTCGTTAATTAATCAGTAATTAATCCGTCAATATTGGCCCGCAACGTGCGTAGAAAGTAACGAAAGTAAATACCTTCAACACACACACTGTGCATCTGAAATAAATTTTATTCTCTCGGCTGCGCTCGTAAATTTTTTCATCTTCACAAATTTACGATTTTTTTCCTCGATGATGAAGAAGATGCATTCGCATTTGGTAGTGTAACACTTCTTCTCCCGATTGTAATTATAATTTGGTTTTGTATTTAATATTAAACCGTCGAATGCATTTATCGGTGAATGCGTTTATTGTTTAACGATATTAATAATTTGTCTGCATTTATCATTTCACGTTCGATCGCACGCCGCATTAATAGAAATTGCTGCAATTGCACGGAGCGCGTCCTCAAGTGTTACGGGCAGCGCGCGGAAGAGAAATTTATAAATACACGAAAACACAATCGGTCGTTGCGAGAGACATCGTCGATGAAATTAGAATTCTATTCGGCCGAGATAATACGCATTGGAAACTATTTAACCAACTAATGCTAAGTCTTTCTATATACCATGTGTTCAGCAAACAAAATTTCAAATAAAAAAAATCATTATATGCAACCCATATCACACAAAAACACATTGATGTATTTTAACATAAAAATATTATTTTTTTTAGTAAATTTAAAATTATGAGAAGATAAAAATGTATCTAGCAACCAAAAAATCACTATATGCAACCCATATTACACATATATTCGTATTTTACTATTTTAACCTCAAAATATTAATTTTAAAGTGAATTTCAAATAATTTTTAGATGAAAATTTATCCAGAAAACCAAAAAATCACTATATGCAACCCACAATACCCATATTTCCGTAAATAACCACATTTTACTATTTTAACCTAAAAATATGAATTTTAAAATATTGTTTGAACACACTGTATGTGAAAATGTAGATGTTAGACACACATTCGTGGCTTGCAATACTGAATTCTATTTATCGGCATCATTGTGCGGCGATTTTTGCGCTCGCGCGCGCAATTTTATTGGTTTCTAATTACGGTAATTAATAAATTACGAATATAGGTTAAGAGCAAGCGAGCGGCCGTAAACGGCGAGGCGTGCCACCACGCGCACATCTTACGCTTCCTTAACCGACGTCGGAAAACAAAAGAAAACGTCAATTAATTAACGCGAGAACACGACGATTTTCTGTGTTTTACGACTGAATTTACACGTTTCCCCACACACACACGCGAAAATATTTCAATGTTTGTTTAAGTTGTACTCGTAGGTCTAATACGTTTACGTTTATGCATTATTTAGGCGAAAGAAATGAATATTTATTGCGTTTTGTCCTGTTTGTTTTACTCAGCGCTAAAATTATTAACTGCCATAACCTAAATCCGCGCACAATGTGTAAGTTTAACCTATAATTTTTAACATGCTTTTACTACTAATCAAATAAACAAATGCTAGAGTCATAAAGTGATGAGTTCTCTTAACCTTATTCGCTGAGATGTTATTTGTCGGCATAGATCAATTAATAATTATAAATTAATGATTATCTTTAACGAAACACATGACCTAACCTATAATATAACCTATAATACTCAATTTATAAATATAAATTTAAATTAAAATAGATTAATGGAGTATTCTAGATTCATTTATATTAATTGTTGTTAAAGTGTCTTTTTTCTCAAGATCTGAATCTACTGTCATTGTACTCTTGTGATAAATAATGTGAAAACATAAAAATATGACAAATTGTAATTGTGTGCAAACACCCACGGAAAGAGGAAAAAAATTATTCGTGATGAACAACCTTGCGAGACCTTGTTGTAGAGTACTTGTAGAGTAAATCCTTGTGAATCGGAAGGAATTACAAAATTACATCGTAACGGAAGTTGGTATATAATGAGGGGAATTCCCATGTTCATCCGTCTACGTTCACAAGATTCACAGTGTTTTTCTGTGGTGTTTGAACGTGAATGTAGCGATAAAGTGAGGTTATATGAAGTAATAAACGTTCGGAACAAGCGAGGAAGAAGTTTCGCATTGTTGGAGGTTTTATACAATGGCATATTTTCTCATAGTGTGCAGTTTTTTTTTATCAATAGGGATAAAATGCATAATAATGCATAATACTGCATAAAAACGCTTGAAAACTGTATAAATTTACGATAAGGACGTGTGAGACTGCAAAATGTAGATAAATACCGTTGAAAAATGTGTTTTAATTTTTTTTGAGGTTATTTTACATAAAAATGTATTGATTTTTATTTTTTTGATTGTTTTGCATTGCAAAACTATTTGTTTTTTGATATTTTCAGAAAAAATGCTAAAATTTTAATATATTTTTAATTATAGTTACTTAAGTAATGTTGTTTAAGTTAAGTCATATTACTTAAGTTAAGTAAAGTTACTACAATGGCTGTACAATACATTTTAAAAGATTTTAGATAGTATTTTACGAGAAATAAAAAAAATTCTGCCAAAAATTTAAGTTTTCAGACTTAGAGCTACTTAAGTAATGTTTCTTCAGTTAAGTCATGTTACTTAACTTAAGTAAAGTTACTTTAAATGAATTAGTTTATGTTTAACGACCATTTCATCACTTTTCTCCTAATTTTAGGAAAAGATTCAATATTTTAAATATGCAACCCAAAATACACGTTGTTCGCGCCTTGCTACTTCTATTAGTAAAGCTATTATCTGATGCATAAAACATTTTCGCGTAGGCGACATTTAATAGAATAAAATATTCCCGGAGAATATAAATGTAACCTCAAACTCAAAACCTTGTCGAAGACTCTGCGAGACAAAGCTGTGTTATTAGTCGGCACGCTGTTTAACACGGTGTTATTGACTCGTGAAGCAATCGAACATTCATCAATCTTCGTACGCCGCGTTGCGTTGCGTTTCGTTTCATTTCGAACGCAGAAGCCGCTCCGGCCCGCTTTGCTTTATCAATCCGCTTCAATTTAAGCCACTTAGTGGCTGGGATTACAGTCAGGACCGGAAATCATGATCAAATCATCAAATCATACCATTTACGGCATGGGAATTATGAAATTACGAATTATTAAGTGTTATGCAACCAAATTAACATCAAATACCCAATATACATCAAAACCAACATAAAACTTAAATTATTTTCTATTTCAGGATGAAAACTCACAAAATGATAATCTCTCCCCACGAGGGTGGCCCCTGTGCCTGGGCGAGACCGGAATAATCATCCATCTCGGCGCACCGCGCGAATTACAACTCCGCCATCTCGAATGCTACGCGTGTCTACAACCCACAGAGGGCGCTGTACACCTGCTGCTTGAATACAAGCATCTAGACCAGACGCATTCAAAAGTCCTGGCGAGTGTGGAAAACTCTCAAGTGAAAATGTGTACGACAATCGCCAATGCGTTGGACTTTGACGCGATTGACTTTGAATTACCAGACCTTCTACAGAATCTATTAATCTCTGTGGAGCGTGCGATTGAAAGAGTGCCGCTTGATGATTTACTCTTTCCGTGTCCGCAATGTCACCGGCATGTTCCGCTGGACCGCAACGAGGAGGAAACCAATGATTGCTCGGCGTGTTCGTGTCAATGCAGCGAAAGTAATGATAACGATAACCAGAGAGATAAGGAGATGAAATTTGAGGTTACGGTTAATAATATGAACAATTTAAAGAGCGCTAATGGTAATAATAATGTGGTTAAACACGATGTGAATGTTAATCTCAATCAGAATCAGAAGAATACTTCCGGGTCGATGTTTGAATTTGTCAACTCGATTCCGCATATTGATAGCGATGAAGACGATGATAAGGAATCTATTAAATCTGGTAAGTTGTGTTTTAATATTTTAATATGTGGATAGTTTATTATATGAGTATGTTGTTTATTTATTCCGTGTTGTTAGTCGTAAATTTTCAGGCGAATGTGTTTAAGTTAATAGCCTACATGTTAAGTTAAGTAAGTAGCATTCTTCTAGGTTGGTTTCATTGCCAATGAACTCATTGAACTTTATATATTTACATTTATGAATATATCTCGTTATACATAGCCATAATTAACGCCAAGTGGCGTGTTTCCACGATTTAGAGATTGTTAACTTTTTGCAAGGTTTAATTACGGCTCTAGGGGAATTTCACACGATAAATTTTATTAGTTCGGAGGTAAAAATAATTATTTAGTTGATAACGAGCTGAGATGGAGACTGAAAATATACTTAAATTTGTAGTGGAGTAAAACAACAAAATTAAACGAAATTTTATGAAAATTAAAAGATTTTTGGGTCGAAAATTAAATTTTTTGCTAAAATTCTCGTAAATTTCGTCTAAAAATTAATATTTTCTTATTTATAGTGACTTAAGTAATGTGGCTTAAGTTAAGTCATGTTACTTAAGTTAAGTAAAGTTACTTAAATTGAAATACAACTAATATAAAAACATTTTAGTGGTAAAATTTTGAAAATTCAAGAAGAAAAAAACTAGAAAACAAACACAAACATTCAATTTCGTTAAAAATTCATCACATTTTTCTAATTTTAATTAAGCACAAATTAAATTTAATTACCTCCCAAATAAAAATTAAAGTATTTACTTGATAACGACGTGATTAAATGCTATATTGCCTGTGTGGGTAGCCCATACGCATTCATAATAAAATTATAAATTATAACCTCACTTTTATTTCGATCACAAAACGGTTATAGCCATCTTATACTCGTTACGTATTATAATTACGATTATGCGGCGCTAGATGCATCATGCAATGCGCGGCGATGATTACGATTATTATTATTAATCGATTCATAAATATTTATAGCGCGATAGTGAATGGCAGAGGAAGCTGCCTGCAGAAGAAAAATCAAAATCAAAAACCGATGCAGATGTGTACAGTACGCCGCGGGTTTGATCGATTTACAATGTAAAAATTATGCGCATACTGAGCCGCTAGTGTAGATCTTACTTAAGTTGGACTTAAAGTTGGATATGCGCTCAGATGGTCAGCGGTTATGCAATATTCGCCCATGGAGACACGGCCTACGCGCGCGTTGAGCGCGATTAAGATCTATGCATGTGGATGAAAAAATTAAATGGGTATAAAGTGCAAGGGGGAGATGGAGACCACACTGAATTATATGCTTAAAGTTAAAGTAGAGTACAAAGTAGAATTTTGAAGGTAATTTTTAGGTTAGATTAATTTATTAGTGATTTTTAAGGAATAAATGAGTGAAAATTTAATTTTTTTAACGAAATTCGTTGAATTTGGTCCAGAAATTAATATTCTTATACTTTTAGTTATTTAAGTAATGTTACTTAAGATAAGTCATCTTACTTAACTTAAGTAAAGTTACTTAAAATATGTTACAATGAAATTTTAATGATTTTAGATGAAATTTTACGAAAAATTAAAAAATAACTTAAAATAAAAATTGTGAATTTAAAAAATTTATAATATTTTGAAAATTCAAGCAAAAAAAACTCATTTTTTGACTCAAAAGTCAATTTTTCATAAATGTTGTTGTTAAAATGATAAAAATAGAAAATTTCCTACTTTTTCTTGTAAATATTCTAATTTCCAACCTCAAAACAAGAAAATATGATGTTTTTTCACCAAATTTCATCACTTTTTGAATTTCAAAGATAAATTTATAGAAACATGTAAACTATTAATAAGCCCATGTAGTAATCTCATCTTACACACAAATACACGAACACCGCAACGCACAAAAAATCGCTAGATTTATAGCCCGACTTAACGAATAGATAGAAATTCCTCGCTAGGATCCGTTTGCAAACCGCCGACGATTCGAGCGTTTAATTTAATGCGCGGCGCATCCAGCTATCTCTCGGACGATGTACGACATGCGTACAAATATGGAATCGAGATTAACTCTTAACTGCCGCTAAACGACTCGCTAAGGTCCTGCAAAACAACCTGCCGACAAAACGAAAACATTTTCAATAAAACACTCCAAATACATATTATTTACGACGGCTATTTTAATCACAAACGATGGTCCTAGCGCCATCTATCGGTACTATTTTTTGTTGGAGTGAAAAGAATACCGGTATTTTTATTTTTTTAAATCAATATTTTTAATTCGATATTATTTGTGATAAATTTTGAATGAAATACCGGTATTTCAGTTTTCGGTACACCGGTATTTATACCGGTATTTGAATAAAAATACCGGTTTTTGGTAATACCGGTTTTTTAAAAGTCTAAAAATTAAATTTGCGACGTGGGAATTACTTTATCGATGTGTGTGTGTGTGTTTTGCGCAATGCGCATGCCTGCATGCCTTACGCTGCATAGGAAATATGATCTACGCATTCGCTCGTTGGCGGCTGATAGATAATTAATAAAATTCGCTCCGACCTACCGTTTAATTGTTAACGATCATGTCGGAGATTGATATTAATGCGCGCGCGTGTAGAGTCAGCGCGGAGAGGCTGGAGTAATGAGCTAATTGACAGCTCTGCGATGCGTGGAAATGCGATACGATCAACAGCGGAAACAGAACATTAACAATAAGCTTCGATTAGGATATTGATTTATGCAGTTATGTAGATATATACGCAGGAGAAATAAAAATGATGTAATGACTTAAGCTAAGATGACTTAAGTTTTATGATTTGTTTGGTTAATAGGAGGTATAGTAGATAAATAATTAGATAGATGTCAATAATGAAATATTTGTTTTATAGAGTTACTTAAGTTATGTTACTTAAGTTAAGTAATGTTACTTAAGTTTGAAAAGTGATTTAATGACGAATTTTAGAAATTCTTAAGAGAAAAATCATAGAATTTTTGCTATAACTAAAAATTGGTTTTACTTTGAATAACTTAAGTCTTGGAGGTTAAGTTACTTAAGCCTAAAAATTGATTTTTAATAAAATTTTAAAGATTTTTTACGTATTTTCTTAAATTTCGCATGAAAGTTAATATTTTCTTATTTATAGTTACTTAAGTAATGTTGCTTAAATTTAGTAATGTTATTTAAGTTAAGTGACATTACTTAAATTGAGTTAAAATGAAAATTTAAAGCTTTTTGATGGAATTTTACGCAAATTAAAAGAATTTTTGCTAAAAATTAAAATTTCTATCAAAAATTTTAAAAGTTTCGTCTAATGTTTCTTAAGATAAGTCATATTACTTAAGTTAAGTAACGTTACTTAAATTAAGTTTCAGAGCAATTTTACACAAAATTTTACAAAAATTTAAAGAAATTTCACAAAAAAATCTAAAATTTTACTATAAATCTACCTGTAACTTTAGTGTAGGAAGCCTTTTACTTTCATAAACGTCCAATTTTAATTCCATGACAAGTAATTAAAAAGAAAATCCAAAAAATTTCGTATTATGTAAAAGTCCGATTACGCAACGCTTAATTTTACGAGGCGAGTGTTTAAATTCTCAATCGAATGCAATTTCATCACAGGTTGAACTAAAATTCCAAAAGTACTTAGTGCATTACATTTGATTCCATCGTGGGCAGAATACATTCCGATCTAACGGTCGCGGCGCACTCATACGCGCGGTTGCAGTTTAATCAATGAAATTGATATCGTTTTTAATTTGCGTGCGCGCACTGTGTCTATTTATCTTACTACATCGCAATCGGGTGTCGGCAAACCGGTAACTCTTGGGTTGCCAAACACACGCGTGGGTATTCCACCATTCTACACACGATTGCTTATTACATCTAAGTAATTTATTATTTATTTATGCCACACGCTACAAATCGGGCGATAAATTCTATCACAGATTAGACTTTGGTATAGTTGTACGCACCGAATGATTAATTTTCTGGCGTGGAATTTTTTTTTTATTTTCGGAGCATTCTGTGCAATCGGTGTATGCAACTTGTTGTACACAACGCGGGTTTCGCTGCATTTTAGATGTAGATGAATGTATTTGGGGCATTGTTACCACTTCGATGAAGTTTAGAGCGGAGATAGAGAGAGATTAATAGTGGATTTAATAGATTTCATGTGACACCTCCGCCATTTTCTATTTGTTGTGAGATATTAAAATGAATGCAAGTGATTTATTACGTTATTAAAGTTGCATAAGCGAAAATTCATTTTTTGCGCTATTTAAATATGGAAAGTTTAATTTTTTGTAATTTTTCGTTAAAAACTTAGAAAATTTCGAAGAAAATCAAAGAAAAATTACTGAATTTTACGAAAAACTCCGTATAATAATGAAATTTGTACAATTTGGTTGGTTTTTATTAATTTTCTGGTCATAGCGTTACAGTTTCTCTGTGTAACGACGAAAATTAGGTATTTTAATTTCTAGCAATTATGAGCTAGAATATTTTTTTAAAGACATGACATCGATGGTAACATTTGAAATATTGTTGTAATTATGATCCCAACATCCCTACAAATTGCAATGCAAATTTCTATAACTTAAGCACGATTTTTCAGCTAATTTGTTGGGGTGCACGTTGCGTTACTAGAAAATCATTTAAACATAACATAAGTGAATACAACTGAGCGACGCGGAATTCATATTTAGACTTCAGGAAATATTTACCGGCATTTTTACAAGAGTAATTGAGTTTATAACCAGCGCAACAAAAGATTAAACAGATGCCAGACCACGTAAATCCCCAATATTTGTTTTTTTTTGTTTTTCGATGTTAAAATCTAATTTTTAGGTTAAATTTATTAAATTTACGAATCATAACCTCAAAAACAATTTTTTTCACTTTTTAAACGCAAAAATCGTAGTTTTCTAGCTCTGCACATATTATTTACGTTATTCCACTGTAAACATTTTCTCTACATTGAATAGAATATCCACCATCGCCTGCATCTAATGGTCTAATTATATTGTGTGCTGGCAACCCAGCTGACAAGAAAATTGTTCCCTTTAGTGCTAAATCGGTGTCGGTTTTAACGAGAAGTCTGCGCATTTTTGCGCGCAAAGATAAAGACCTACACACCGCATTCGAAGACGAAGGCAAAGGCTACGGCTAAACAGTGATTTAAATAAATGCAAAACTCTTCTCTGCGGCTTTGCGCGGCGCTCCGAGGAGACTTTACTTGTCCATCACGCGCGATCTGCATGGCGAATTTTATCTCACGAGATAAACTCATGAGTTCCTCCTTTACTTTGTTACACTTTACACACTCACCACATACAGAAATATATTATATGATAAAATATATAAAATGTATAAAATGTAAAATTATTTTCTTCACGCCAATCATGAATTATGCGATGATTTATGTCGCGATTGTGGCGAATGTAAAACGCGTTCACTCTCCAGAAGTGTTGATAAATATCAATGCATCGTAAATTATATAATGTCGCAGGACTCGCAGTTGCGGTTAACCTCCAATCCGATAAATCATCTACAGATTTTTCTATAGAGGATAAAATTACATAACCTTAACTTGCAACTAGTCGTCCATAGATGGCAGCACGTTTTTCAAGCATATATTTTCTTTATTTTTTGAATAAACTTAATAGGAATACCGGTATATATCAGAAACAATATATTGCTGAAAAATACCGGTATTTGAAAATAAAAATACCGGTATACCGGTTTTTATGCCGGTATTTCATCGGGTTTTTTTTTTCAAACCATTTTTTTTTAATTTTTATAGAAAAATATCAATTTTTGAAACTAAAAATACCGGTATACCGGTTTTCATATCGCTATACCGGTTTTTGTACCAGTTTTCACCGGTTTTTTAAATTTAAAAATTTTGTATTAAAAAATATCAGTATTTATAAATAAAAAATACCGGTATACCGGTTTTTTTCAAATTTTTTCATGTAAAAATTCGAAATAAAAGCATTTTTGTTAGAAAATCGTTACTTTGTTTGCTTTGTTTGGCGAATAAACTTAAACTCGAACTCTAACTGCGACTTGAGCGTTAAAGCCGTAAAGATGAGCAGCATGCGCGCGCTCGCGGACAAATAGATTGCTCAATTTGATAACACCGAAGATTCCAATGGTGGAATAGGGAAATTACAAAACGGAACCGCAAATATGGCAACGCGCGATTGGAAACACAATGCGCATTTTCATATTTATTTATGATTTTCGTATAGGTTTCCACCGCTTGCCTCTATGTAATAAATACGTTTTGGAATAATTGATAAAATTGTTCCGTCGTCGGACGCGCAATAATTTCCTAATGCGGTGCGCATTTAAACATTATTTTGTTGTTGTTGTTGTTGCCTTTTACGCGTTTTAGAATTTCTTTGTTCTTCACCACAGAATATATTGATATCAATAAAATCTTAATGTCATAATTTTCGTTAATTGGACATTGTTCATGTTTGTAGAAACGATAACTTTCAATTAAAATTTGAAGTATTTTTGTTTTGTGGTAACATACGGTTTTGTTTATCCAGGAAATGCAAATGGAGACCATTTCGGGCCGGCGAGGACAATGCGCGAACGATTAATAATAATTCACTTTTACACGGCTTTAATTGAATCGCTAATTGTAAGCGCTTTTTTATTGCCAGGCGTAGGATGCAGGAACAGACACGGCAGACAATAACAATGCCCAATGTCATAAATGTTGGGCGTTGAGTTTTAACTTTCTTCTATGTTTTAAACCTACGAGTTAATTTTTTATTAAGTTTTTTAGGATTATATAACCTTAAATTTTGAATATTTAATATATGCAACACAACATACTTGTTTATTTTGTTAGTTTTATGTATTTTTTCAGTTAAGTCATGTTACTTAAGTTAAGTAACATTACTTAAATTAGGTTATGATGAATTTTAAAAGATTTTGGATGAAATTTTAGGAAAATTAAAAGAATTTTCTGTCAAAAATTAAAATTTCTTGATTTAAGTTATGCTACTTAAACTAAGTTGTGTTACTTAAGCTTAAAAAGTGATTCCTAATAAAATTTTATTGATTTTTGGCGTCATTTGCTTAACTTTTGTGTTGAAATTAATATTTTCTTACTTATAGGTTACTTAAGTAATGTTTTTCAGTTAAGTCATGTTACTTAAGTTAAGTCACATTATTGCAATTAACTTAGAAAGCAATTTTGAAGAATTTTGAACGAAAATTTCCCTAAAAATTGAAATTAAGCTTAAAATTTTCAATTCTTACTAAATACTCAATTAAATTTACAATTTTCTATGTTTAAAACTAATTGTAAGCGCTTTTTATTGCCAGGCGTAGGATGCAGGAACAGACACGGCAGACAATAACAATGCCCAATGTCATAAATGTTGGGCGTTGAGTTTTAACTTTCTTCTATGTTTTAAACCTACGAGTTATTTTTTTATTATTTTTTAGGATTATATAACCTTAAATTTTGAATATTTAATATATGCAACACAACATACTTGTTTATTTTGTTAGTTTTATGTATTTTTTCAGTTAAGTCATGTTACTTAAGTTAAGTAACATTACTTAAATTAGGTTATGATGAGTTTTGAAAGATTTTTGAAGAAATTTTAGGAAAATTTTAAGAATTTTCAGTCGAAAATTAAAATTTCTTTAACCTACAATTATTTAAGTTATGATACTTAAGCTAAGTTATGTTACTTAAGCTTAAAAAGTAATTTTTAATAAAATTTTAGGCATAATTTGCTCAACTTTCTTGTTGATATTAATATTTTCTTACTTATAAGTTACTTAAGTAATGTTTTTCAGTTAAGTCATGTTACTTAAGTTAAGTCACATTATTGCAATTAACCTGGAAAGCAATTTTAAAGAATTTTGAACGAAAATTTCTCTAAAAATTGAAGTTACGCTTAAAATTCTCAATTCTTACTAAACACTCAATTAAATTTAAATTTTCTATGTTTAAAACCCTCCCATTCATTTTCTTGATGTAAAAATCCAAGATATGCAACCCAACATTCCCGCTCGTAACCTTACTTCTGTAAGTAATAAAAACACCTGCATTCTCATTAAAAAGAAGCCGTAGCGAAAAGATTCGGAATCGTGGCGCGTTTATCGCTTCTCGGAACGCGCCTATATAGCGTATGCATCGCATCGTTTACGGCTGGCGCGAAATGAAATCATAAAACGCATAATATGCGAGCGCGCGACGCGCGTGCGTAAAAATGCACCAACACACCACCACACCACACGCGCATCGAGGCGTGCGTTTCAATTGTATATCGATGCTGTCGATGATTTATACGAGCGCGGCGCGAAGGTTCGTTGCGCTCATAAAATCTGTGCCTCTCTGTGCTGCTCTCTGCGCGGCTGATAACTTTACGATACTTTTCGATTCGGCTACCAATGCTACCAATGCAAATGTGCGCACAATCCCACATGTGTGCTCATTTATCCGCCTGCAATAAACTATTTAATTCACTACTTTTAGTTTCATCGCTATCGCTATAGAAGTGTAAGTTATGCAACCAAATACACTTGATATTATTGTAAAATATCCTCTCAGCGGATAATAACCATTAATCTGTCCAAAAAAAGCCATCGACACTCGAATACCACGCAGGACGGTTAAGGTCACACTTTGGGAGCGCGCAAGCGGTGAAAAATTATTATCCCATTGCATAATCGTACAATACACTTCGATTTCAAGTGCGACTCGATTAAATACGAGTATTTTTCGAAGAGTCATTCATGACCATAATTTTTCGGTTGTTTGTTTAGTTGGAGTGAAATTTTGAAATTTTACACTTGAATGCATCGAATGCACTCAACGTTGTCGTTTACATAACTTTACATAACCTTAAAATAATAATTTTTTTGTGTTGCAGGAATTTCCATGAAAAAATCGCAAGAAATCTTCCGTCCAACACGTATCACCGACCTGCCTGAGAAACTTTTAATGTCCGGTATTAATCTACCAGGTAAATATCAAAATTTTTGTGTTTAATACCGGTATTTCGGTTTTTTTTTTCAAATTTTTCCAAATTATGACTCGTAAAACATTTAATAAATCTTAAATAAATATTGAAAAAAATTGATTTTGAAAAATACCGGTATTGCAAAATAAAAATACCGGTATACCGGTTTTTATACAGGTATTTTACTATATTTTTCAAATTTTACAAATAATGAAACGAAAAAATTTAAAAATCTTGAATCTGTCAAAAAATACTGATATTGAAAAATACCGGTATTTAATAATGAAAATACCGGTATACCGGTTTTAATACCGGTATTTTTCCAACTTTTTTCGATCAAATTTTTTCAAAATTTCAAAATTTTCTATCAAAAATCACCGGAAAAACCGGTTTTTCATCCTGAACAGAAAAACATGAAAAATATTTAATCTAAACAACAAATTCTCGTCGGCATTAAATTGTCCATTGGTCAAATTGATTAAAATCGAATTTAGAAAGTACCGTTTAAGTCCACGAGTTACGTCGGCCTTTTGTTGTTTTCTTTCCTCGCTCGAAGCTTCGAGCTCGTTATGTTAGCGCAGCAATTTTTCGAAATTTTCAAATTTCGTTTAATGTGCGCTGCACGCGCGCTCAGATCTTGATCGAGTGGCCTTTGGGTGGAGTGCGCTGCTTATGCAGATGAGGGAAAAGCGAATTCTGCGCCAAACAACACAACAAATCAAAACTGATAACACACAAACAAACACACACCGCGCACAAAAAAACTCTGTGTTTAATTAGTGCATCGTCGTGCGCATAAAATTCAAATTTCATACCTAATCTCCTCGCAAATCTCCGCGCGAAATAATTATAAACACATAAACGTGATTCGATTAAATTTACAGCGCATGCGCGGCGCATGAAATTCAATCAGTAATCACGATGAAAATCTTGTTGCCTTTGACATAACACACACAACATGCGCGCGTTCGACTTCCGTATAATTCCGCGTGCATAATTTATAATATTCACGCACACAGCCGACAGAGGGCGTTACACATTAACAGTTAGAAATGTTAATTTAATACTGCACAACTAAACGAAAACAACTTCCACTTAAATATTTTCATGCATCACGCTCAAATCGCAAATAATACATCGTTAAAACATTTTGTTTCAACGTTATACTAACGCCATCTATGAGACGACATCTGTAACTTCAAATGACACGAATTTCCCGACGTCTGACATCTGCACGTCCGGACGTGATTGCATGATAGATGATTACTGGCCTTGCGAAGACGTATGATCATCAATTCGTAATCGTTAATCGTAACCTCCATCGAGGAGTCCCAGTTGCCCAGTTGCGCTAAACATTTGATACGCTGCTTGTTACCCGATATGAAGCTTATTTATTGAAGATCTCGAAGATTGCATTTGACCCAGTGCTGGGCGCATGCACGCACCGCAAGATGGCCGGCATGCGGAAACGGCAGAGGTCGCGCGGGTCACGCGCTAATGGCGCCCGCGCCCCGGCCACACAATGACCCACTGATATCATGCGCGCATGCGCAACCGCAAATCCATAAACTCACTGAGATTCTTTTTGTATTTATGTGAGACTAATGTGCGTCGCATGCCTCATTAATTTTCTAACCTCAAAATATTTTTTATTGGGAAATATTGAAAGTAGCGCCATCTGTGTTTGTAAATCATAAACATGCAGGAATGTTGGTTGGTTGGTTGGTGTATATCTTCATTATGCACACAACACATAAAGTGTAAATATTAAAGCGACGGTTGTAGCAATACAATATTATCATTATCGGCGGTTATTTTATCGCTGTGTCTGTTTCTGCTGGCATTGACAGTGCGAAAAGAGTTAAAGTGCTTGTGTTAAAGCGTTTGTGTATTGGCGAGTGCGGTGGTTGTGCACTTCCTGGTTGGTTGGCTAAATAATTCAAAAGGCGCGTTGATTAATGGTTGGAAAGTGATAACTGTGTTGACAGATGAGTGCGCGCCGATTGCGCTTTGAGTTGAGCGTTTGCTTTTCGCGATTTGTATTTGGTATGTCGTGTGGCGCGCTTTTTGCGGTTGGCGAGCAAGGATTTAAGTGTGTCTCTTTGCGGGGCCGAAGACACACCACAATGTCGGAAAGTCACACCTTAAAGAGATAAAAAGTCAAAGTCAAGTGATAAATGTCAAGTGAAGAAATTATTTGTAAATTTTTAAATTGATTTTTTGGTAAAAACTTGAATATCTTGGGAAGTAATTGATAAAATTGAGTAAATTATATGTCAAAAGATGCAGTAATTGATAAGGTTTATAATAATATTTTAATTTAGATTTTTTGAGAATAAATAGTATTTTTTATCAATTATTAACGAATTTTTTTGCAAAAATTAAAAATTTTTAAATTTCAAGTTTAAACATCAATAATTCAAAAACTAAGAAAGATAAATTAATAATCTATACACCAATCAAAGGAGAATTTAAAGCAGATTCAAATATCATGATGAACAATAATTAAAAATGTATCCAATTAAAATTATTAACCTAAAACCAAAATATTCCAACTATTTTACTCTAATTTTTCATCTCAAAAAATTTAAAATTTAAACATCAATAATTCAAAAACTAAAAAAGATAAATTAATAATCTATACACCAATCAAAAGAGAATTTAAAGCTTATTCAAATATCTTGAAGAACAATAATTAAAAATGTATCTAATTAAAATTATCAACAAAAAACCAAAAATATTCCAACTTTTTGCTCTAATTTTTCATCTCTAAACTTCATTTTCCCACAAAATACTCAATTAAATCCTCCAAATAAAACCCTAACCTCCAAACGCATTAATTAATTACCCATAGATTATCATTCGCCATTTATTAATCCAATTAATTAATTAGATTAACCATAAAACGCAATCATTTCTGCATATGCGGTGCGTTCGAATTCGCTTCGAATGCTTCGAATTTTCCGTTTCTCACGGCACGACATGACCTGTTGCCGTTTGCACGCGTGCCTGCGCGCCCGCCGCTGATTAACATAGATTTTCATCGCGGACTCCCGGTGCACCCACACCTGCGAGTTCATCTCGGGGTTCAATCGGCGCGTTACCAAATGCGATTACGCTTTAAATACACTATACTATTCTCTGCACACATCTCTCAACAAAAAATATGAAATTAGAGAATAAAAATTAATTTATTGTTTCAGGAACTGTTGACTTAGAAGGCAGACGGATTATCCTTTGTTACGCCGAGTGTATTCTACGTGCAGGACTCAATAAATACGAAATCGCCAAGTTGCTTTTGTACTACGCTTCGATACCAAGGTAAAAAAATTGTTTTAAGTATTTTACGCATGCGTAAAAGTTATTCTTTAAGAAAATATCATTTTAAGCACTTAACGCATGCGCAGTGTTTAATTTTTTAAGAAAAATCAAAAGAAAGCAATTGACGCATGCGCAGTGCTTAATTTAAAAAAAAGATGAAATTAAGCAATATACGCATGCGCAATACTTATTTTTTGAAGTAAAAAATACAATAAAATATATAATTAAGCATTCTGCGCATGCGCATTACGAAAAACTTATTTTTTCTTAAGTAAAGCTTAAATCTTCAAATTAAAAATGATTTCCAGTGTTGATATGAGCAGTAAAGGCTTCACACTGCTCCTGATCACCAAAACCGATCAGGATAACAAAGTGCTGGAGATGCTGGACCGGTCGGCGATTCTGATCGCGAATGGGATCCGCATCGCGCGTATGATCGTCTGGCAGCGGGGCATCAATCCGCAGCACAAGACGCTAACGAGTCGCATTCAGGTAAGACGATTTTATACCAATTTTATATTTCGCTCCCGAGCGTAATTGCAACTTTTCTGCGATTCTCAACTTCTCCTACTTCCATTCAGGTTTAACACCCGTACCGATACAGATATCGTCTACATTCATAATAAATAATTGACGTTTATAATATCATCTCCTCCGCCAACTCTTTTATTATATTCACACTAGTAATAAACTAGGATTTATCGCGTTTTAAGGTTAAATATTTCATGTTTTTGTTTTGTTTGTATTCTTAGGCTGTGGTTGTATCGGATGAAGCGACACTATCGCATTACATCGAACGCGAGCAATCGCCAGCTGAATGCGGTGGCACTTCGACGCACCACGACCAATTAGAATGGGTGGAGTTTTTCAGGCAGTCGGAGCCATTCGCCGCTAGATGTCGTTCAGCGGGACGTGCGCTACTTGCAGCACTAGCACAACTTCGACAAGAGGAAGTGCCTTATCAGATTACACGGAGGTTTTTGAATCATCAGTGTCGGTAAGTAATAAAATAAATAATTTTGAGTTCAATACCGGTATTTCGGTATACCGGTATTTTTTTAAGTCAAAACCGGTATTTATAAATTTACATTTTAATTTCCATTTACAAGTTTAAAATAAAAAAACTTATAAATGTTGAGTTCAATACGGGTATTTCGGTATACCGGTATTTTTTTGAATGAAAACCGGTATTTATAAAATTACATTTTAATTTTTATTTACGTGTATTTAAAATAAAAATTTTAACTTTTGAGTTCAAAATCGGTATTTAGGTATTTTTTAATCAAAATACCGGTATTTTTAAAATTCTACCATAAACTAACAAAATGAATTTTTTTAAAGGCAAATTTCTAAAGCAGTCCAAATTGACGCCTTAACCAAAATCCGTGAAGAAGGCAAAACAACGCTTGCTAACCTAGAAGAGCGTGCGCAATGGCTGTCCGGAAGTCGCGATGTCCAACGCGCAACTTCCGATGCGAAAAACTCATACTCTGCGGTCCTACGCGTCGCAGAACGCTTAGAACAACTTTCAGATGAACGTAAGGAGCGCCTAAAGGACCTAGGAAGACTACGCGTCTTACAAGAGGAAGCTGAAGAGGTAAGTCAAGTCACATTACTTATTACTAATCCGTTGACATTGACTTTTGTGTTTATGTTGTGATCGCTGGCTTCGATTACAAATGACAAATTAGTACAGCGCAGCCATATTGGCTTAATATCTTGCGTGACATTATGTACGCACGCGTGTCATGCGTCCAGTTCTAACATGTCACAGATACCAAGTATGCCGACGCGCGCAAAAAAATCAACGACACAAAAAAAACGCAATGAAAAAAACTCGTTGTACAATTAACTAAGTTACACCAAGTGATAAAATAGAAAAATTAACCTCAAATTACGAAGATTATCATTTCAAGGTGTAATAATCATATAAATTCCATCATTAAATATATATTAGATATATTTATATTTTTTTCATTAATTTTATATGTTGAGGTTATGTTTTAACCTTAATTTAACCTAATCGATTTATTTTTGCGTTGTTTTGTCTGACGCTGTGTATTTCACGTGTGATTACACATCGAATTACAAATGCAGTCAGTGTGAGCGTCGTAGACACAATTAGTCTGAATGTCTTGAACGTCTTGCGAGTTCCTGTAACACATTCCAGATACATATCAAACAAATTGTTCCTCTTCGCTCTCCTCGCAATAAGGCTTATCTTTATCTGCATTGGAATGAAGGAAGAAATCACAAATCACGTTCAGCACGCGACACCGGTTGCAATAAAAAATAAAACAAAATGCAAACGAAGAAATTTTGAGGTTAAATCTGTGGAGATTCTGTTCTCGACATGTGTCATTCATTAGGCGTTAAGTATCAGTTTAATTTGTGTTTATAAATGCCGCTGACGAAGTCTGCACTCAATTCACGCCTTGAAAAGCGACTAAAACAACGATTTTCACTTAGGTTCTATTTATACAGCATGTTTTAAATCGTTTTTCGTAATTATTTCATAGATTTCTGCAAAATTAACCATGATTTTGTCTAGTAACGCCATCTAGGTGTGAATTTATAAGTTATTTTGACAGTTTGTTTTGATTTTAAGGTTATACTCGCGTTTTTTTGTGTTTTTCGTATTTATTTCATAAATTTATTCAAAATTAAGTTTAATTTTGTGTAGTAACGCCACCTATATGTGAATTTTATTGATATATTAGCATTTTGTACCATTTGCATTGATTTTAAAGTTATACTTGTCTAAATTTCTGATTTTCGTATTTATTTGGAAGGTGTCTTTAAAATTAACCAATATTTTGTATAGTAGCGCCACCTATGTGCGAATTATCGATGTATTTTTCTATTTTTACAGTTTGCATTGATTTTCAGGTTATACTTGACTAAATTTCTAATTTTCGTATATATTTGGCAGATTTCTTTCACATTAACATGAATTTCGTATAGTAACGCCACCTATGTGTGAATTTTTAAACTATTTTCTATATTTTTACAGTTTGCTTTGATTTAAAGGTTATTTCCGAGTGAATTTCTGTAACTGTTTGTATGTGATGTGTTCCGCGCCACGGTTAACTCGAAGTTGATTGATAACTATCACTAATTCGTCATTAGTATGCACGTCGACTCGCATAAACGCGCGCCTGGGTGCAACTCGCGCGTTTTCTTGACGGATCTCGATTGTGCGCGCGGCGTGTTCTCGTTCGCGGACGCGTTTGACGTCTCGATGGGTGGTCGTGTGTGTTTTCCATGTAAAACGCACGCAATTGCATATCTTGCACTTTTCGAATAGTCGCCGCGATGCTGGACGCATAAATAACGCCTAATAATCGCAACACACACACACACACACAACATAAGAGAACATTCGAGAAAACTATGCGGAAATGTTTCCGTGCGAAAACTATTGTGAAACAAATGAAGACAAAGTGAAAACAAACGCAAACATGTATATATGTACATGCGTATATTGTGTTACATACTTTTAACTCTCAACTCTAAACTTGAATCTATTAGAGGTTAACCACACCACGTTTATTAAATTTAGTTTAATTGTGATTTAAATTCCTCGTTCGCATGTGGAATTTAATTTATGCGCATTCCACGCGAAGGTTGACAGTTTACAAACCCGCGCTATTTATTTACAATCATTCTGATTTGTTTGGTTTTTATTCGTGCGACATTCTCGAGATTGTAGAGAAAGGAATTTCGCCTCAATTAGGCAGATGTCGTGTATTTTTTTGAGGTTAGCTTTTCGTTTTGCACGATGTGGCGGGTTTAATCGCGTGCACATATGAATTATGAATTAGCATAAATTTTTCCACGGCCGCCCGCGAGCCAGAGATGGCGAAGAGTCAAAGTGAAAATTTGCCTGCTGGCCGCGCGCGCGCGCGCTCTGCGAAAAACGAAATGAAACGAAACGAAGCGGATTCGAGGCGCTCTTACTAATCGACGTGTCGGATCTACCGATATCTGAATGTTATAAATAACAATAAACAATATACAAAGTGCATCACAATATTTTTTTCTTCAAAATTTTAATATTTTGATGCTATAAATGCAAATTTAGTAGTTTTTGTATGTTTGTGTCGTTATAACACAAAAACCACTCAACGAATTTTGATAAATTTTGGTATGGAGATATTTTGGACCTAGGGGAATAACATAGACTACTTTTTATCGCAAAAATATAACTTACAGGGTGTGCAAATTGCTATAAATTTTAATGTATCAATGTTTTTCAAATTCTACACTAATTAAAATATTAAATATTTAAATATCAATCAATAAAAAATTTATTTTCTATTTTTTAAGAAAAAAACTCAAAAATTTATTTATTTTTGCTTTAAAAACACTTTGTATAAACAAAAATCTCAAAAGAATCACGCCGCTAATCGATTTGATTAATTGTCGAGATCCATATATACCCTACGAAGATATTACTTATAACGCAGCCGTGGCTCTCCGCACAGAGAATTGAAATGCAGACAGAACGAATGAAACTCCCTGCATGAAAATGAAAACCGAATTTGTCCTGGTAAACCCAAACTGTCCTGTCCGTTCCAATGCAAGCCGCCCAATGTTCGTCGATGTCCATAAGAATCAAACCAAAACCAAACCATCAAGTATAACGAAAACCAAACCGTAAGTCCATGTTTGTCGGATCTGTCAAAACTTCCAACTCAACCTCAATCATTTGTCATCAACTACCTGGAACAACCACCAAACCGCGAACCTACAACTTTACCTTAACCAATATCCTGCCATACCCATGAACCCTTCCCAACCTGCCCACCGTCAGCCAAAACGCCACACCGTCACGTCCGGCCTGCCAACGCACGCATCGTTTACGCCAAAAATTTCAAAACCACCGTTCTGCCAAAGCCACACTTTGTTCAAATAATCTCCATTGGTAATTATACCCGTCAACATAAACATGCAGAAAATACCATGTGGATAAATTAAATTTGGAAATAAATTCATTTTTAGGTTATTTTTGGTTATTTTCTTTAAAAAAATTAATTTTATGTATTATTTTTGATATTTTTATGATGAAATTTGCATGTTGAATGTTGCTGGTTCGTGAAATGAGTGATAATTTCATTTGTGCGTGTTGAATCGTCATTTTATTGACGTTGATTTATCGTGGCACATCAACAAGCCGCGAATATTTAGTGCACCGATGAAGGCGAAAGTGTGCGCCGGCAAAAACACGAATATTGTTGTGATTAGTGACGATTATGTGTTGCCTCGATCATCAGGGGCAATCAAATCAAGGAAGAGGAATAAAAACAACTGCGAAAGTCATTGCGAGTGGATATTATGTTGAGTTACGTAAGTCTAAGTGCGCTGAGTCAAGTCCAACATGAAACCGGCCAATAAATAATATCATTGAATAAATATTTAATAGTTAGACGTCATAGACACATTAAATTTATGTCGATTGGTGCGTTTTTATGTTTTTATTGGAATTTTTGGGTGATTAGTGAGGTTATGTGGATATTTTTGGGGTTATAGGTGTAGATGAGAGTGAGATTTATAAAATAGAAGAAAATTGTTGATTTATCGCTGTTAGTTTTGGAGATATTGAGGATTTTTCATCAAAAAGGATAAAATTGAGATTTTGGTAAAAACGCGCTCAAGTGAAAACTAAAAGTCTTAGAATATTGTACTTAACAGAGATTAATCTCTATAAAATTGTCTTTCTAATGACATTTAAATAAAAATTCTATGATTTTTAGTACTTAAGTTATCATGACTTAAATTTGAACAACTTTTTGTCCGCTAATTTTATTTATTTTTCGTATTTTCATCAAATTGTGAGCGATTAATACCAATATGCGAATTTATACTTAAGTCACCTTCTACTCCGACTTAACATCTACACTTAGAAACAAAAATCACAGCTTTAACTGCAACATTTCCCGAGTTATCGATGATTAAGTCCCGAATATACTTATCACGCGCATATATTTCTTTTCTATTAATATTTCCTACAATATTTCAATATTCCGCGTTTTAAATCAATAAAACTATTACAATTCCTGTTTTATCAACAGTTACTCTCATGGATTCGTACCACGGGCCAAGAAATAATCCAATCACAATTCTCCGCATTAAAAACCGCTGACGGTGTAACAGCCATCAAAGAATTAGAGAAGAACTTCGAGAATTTCCAGTTCGACGCAATGGTAAGAGCAAACACTTCTACACCACACACAAATTATTCTGTATTTGCAGTTCGAAATGTTATTTGATTTATTAATGTGTCGGAAATATCGTCGGCGGGCATTATTTGTTTCCGTATATCATGTTATCACCGCCCGACCAGCAAAACATCAACATCAACGTACTCGTGTAATTCGTAACTCAGTTACTGCCTCGATCGCACGAGTCTACTAGTAAAACGGAAGTAAAACGAGCAACGGCGCTATTATATTATTAACATTTTCGAATCGCGCGCGGCAAAACACGTTGAAAGGCTGAAATTTATACATCCACAGCGGCAGATTGACAAGACGACCGACCTCATCGAGGAGTCGAACGGCATCAAGGAAGTAAAAGGCAAGAACCTCAAGGAGCAGACCAACCAGCTCAAGACCGAGGTGAAAGCGTTCGGCGAGCGGCTGGAGGAGCTGCGCGAACGCCTCGAGGAGGGCTCCAGATGCTTTCAACTCCTCGACTCCTGTCAGGATATCCTCGAAGACGACTCCAAGGAACAAGAAGACTTCAAACGCCTTGCATTCAAGTCCGGCAACGATAAACTCATACAAATATGCAAGGTATTCTCTTCTAACCTCCAAAACTGTCAAAAATGATGTCAAAACAAAACCTAACCTAAAAATTTCAGGTTGTAAAACCAGCTGCATCGACCGCATCCGATGATCAATCAATATTAACAAGTGAAGAATCCGCACAGGCGACTAGCACACCAGTTAAAGCCTCCTCGACACTTCGTAGACGTTCTGTGAGCTCATACGCGTTCATTTACAAGTGTAACCATCACGCAGCGGGCGTTTCATGCAACTGTTGTGAAACCGACGCGGAAAACAGTGTTTCTTATAAGCTACGCAAGAGATACATGCAAACCCTACAGAATTGTGGCTGTAACACCACTGGAACTCAACAGAAAGACACCTTGGAGCGTAAGAGTAGTGTTACTCTGGATGGAATCAAAGAAGTGCGGGAAAGTGTTGAGAATTTACTGGAACACATCGACAGCGATCGAAAATCGGCGGATAGATGTGGACGATGCGATAGTGGTGTATCCACAGCGGATAATTCCGTTGGGGATGATAGTGGATATAAGAAAAAGCTGGAGAGGTCGTGTTCCTGTCAGTTTTACAGGGAAAGCTGCGCGCTATGCAGCACGAATTCGTCTAGCACGGAGTCGAACCAAGATCATACAGAAAACCAGCAGGATTCTATTATTGAAGAGGGCAGTGATGGATGTCCGAAAAGGTATGAATTTAAAATATGAAAATTTTAGGTTATGTTTGATTTTGGTTGTGTTACAGTAGTAGCAGTGATGATATCGATGATCATTTCACTGAGGAACGTCGAACTGTCAAACCGGTACCGTCCAATAGCCATCTCTACTGCCATTCGTCGATTTTAGACCTTCCTACGGATGGCTTTGCAGAGAATACTGATCCGAAGACACAAAAGTATAACCTCAATATTTTTTAACCAATTTTTGTTTATTTTTGAATGTTTTTCAGGACTTTGTTGTACATCATGAGAGAGATGATACAAACAGAGCGCGATTATGTGAATTCATTGGACTATGTTATCGAGAACTACATTCCGGAGTTGTTGCGTGAAGACATCCCACAGGCACTGCGTGGTCAGCGCAATGTTGTGTTTGGTAATGTCGAGAAAATTTATGAATTCCATAGCCAGCACTTTCTGCGTGAATTGGAACAATGTGAAAATCATCCGTTGCAAGTTGGACAGATCTTTTTGAAGTACGATAAGAGGTTTTACTTGTATGCGTTGTATAACAAGAATAAGCCTAAGTCGGATTCCCTTATGTCAGAATATGGGAGTGCATTTTTTAAAGTAAGTGAATTAAAAATTAATTTTTTATCTTTTTTCACGGTTTTTATACACGAAAAGTTGTATTTTAATCACGGATGGAATAAAATACTTTAGTCACGGGGTGGTTAAAGTGTCATTTAGCGTACTTGATACTTAAAACACAATTTTGAATGTTTTTTGATATTTTTGTAGAGTAAACAGATTCAACTCGGCGATAAAATGGACCTGGCGAGTTATTTACTGAAACCCGTGCAGAGGATGGGCAAGTACGCCCTGCTGCTGCAGCAGATGATGAAGGCGTGCCCGGAACTCGAAGCGGGCGCCTCCGAGCGCGCGCAGAGCGAACGCGATGATTTGAAGCAGGCGGAACTGATGGTGCGCTTCCAGCTGCGCCATGGGAACGACCTGCTCGCCATGGATTCCATTCGCGATTGTGATGTACGAACGCAAACAAACATTCACTTTCACTCATAACTTCAACAACTTCAACAACATAACCTCAATTAAACCATTTTTATTTTTAGGTTAATTTGAAAGAACAAGGCCGCCTGGTGCGACAGAACGAATTCCTGGTCTGGGAGGGTCGCAATGGCAAGAAATCCCTACGACAAGTGTTCTTATTCGAGGAATTGATACTGTTTAGTAAAGCCAGAAGGTTTCCAGATAGAAAGGTATGAAAATATTCACAAAAATCAATTTTTTCTAATTTTTGCGTTAAAAATTTCAGAACCTCGATTTATACATTTACAAAAACAGTATCAAGATGACCGATATAGGACTCACGGCGAAAATAGGCGATAGCCCCACTAAGTTTGAGATTTGGTTCAGAAAACGGAAGCCAAACGACACTTTCACCCTACAATCGATGACTGAAGATATTAAAAAGGCATGGACTGAGGAATTGTCACAATTGTTGTGGAAACAAGCTATACGTAACAGAGGTATGCAAATATAACCTCAAAATATACTCATAACCTAAAAATATCTTTAAAAAATCCATTTTAGAGGTGCGAATGCAAGAAATGTCTTCAATGGGCATCGGAAACAAACCCTGCCTTGATATTCGACCGAGCAAAGATCAAATCAGCGATAGATCGATTAGTTTCGATCAATTATCACGAAGTAAGTATTTTTCACTTAAAATTTTAGGTTATATTTTTAATATATGTTTTATATCAAAGCTGCACCGAGATTTCGAAACTCTATCGTTGGCCCCTCATCGACTGACACATGCCGAAGCGTAAGACGTCCACATTCGGTGATATCTATGTCCAGTGTATCCTCTGGAAGCACAAGTTCCGGAGGCAGTGGACATACAACAACCGCACCGACAAATTTGATCAATTTAGGTTATGATGCTACTAATTGTGGTGATAACCCAAAGGTTTACAATCGCTCCGGGACTTTGAACAGTCAATGTTCAGTTGGTAAGTGAAAAAGTCTCAAAAATGTTAAAAAAAAGAAGAAAAATTGCTATTTTTGTGCGTTTTCATGCAGAAAGTGGAATTATTTCGGACATTTCGCTGAGTCACGACGAATGTTCCGACAGTACGACACAACACACGCATTGGCCACCCGAGAAGCAATCCTCGGATGCCCCACCGGCGAAAATCGACGAGATAACGCCCATTCATTATGTGCCAGATGATCTACCTGTTAATATTTAATTCTACGCCCAGACATAACCTAACCTAACCTAATTGATGATTCTAACAGCGAGTAGCCGATAAGTGCATGTGTATATATTATTATTGTAAACGTTAATTTATTCTCCGTATGTATTCGAATTTATTTTACGTACTAACTAAAGATCGACGCAGGAACCAAACGCAACTATTTAATCGCAAGAAAACAACGTAACGCAACGACGGAATAATCACGTACTAACTCAACTTGTGCACAAATCAATTGACTTTTTATGAAAAGATTACTATTTATACACCACTCTATGCATGATAGAGGATTTAAGAGTTTATATATTTTGTACTTAGAGCTTTAATATTCTGTTATACCAGGCCGTAATTAATATCATCTGTGGATGTGAGATGTGCGAAGAATTTGCAGGAGACGTAAACAGGAGACGAATGTTTTATATTCCAATCATTATTACCTACTATTATATACCTAATGTAATAGACTTAATTAAATTACATTCAATTGAATCGATTCTGTAAGAGCTAAGAAGATGTATGATTTTTATAGTCAAGAAATATAATTTAGAATACCTAACACTGCGTGAGTGTTATGTTGGTTGCCTATGTTTGTTAGTGATGGAAATTTAAGTGTTTCACATACCGGTTGGTGTGATGGATTGGACTAGCTCAAAACCAAGGACATAATCATGGATATAATACTGATATAGTATTGTATTCATGGCTACCCTCCGGTAGGGAGCATCACCAGACCTACCTTGTATATTTTCAATGATGTGAGGGGGTTTGAAGTGGTTTCGGCACGCCATCTTGTTGTAGAATTGTCTTTACTGATTTTTACTTTTCACAGAACTATACTATGTGTACGTTATTACTTTGAAAGCGACACGCACAACACTGCACTACACTACCAATGTTTTTATCTGTAAAAATACAAAACAAAACATTTTAGATGTAAACAAGCCGAAGTAAGGTGTGAATACACAAAAATATGCTGAGTCATTGTGCCGCGATACTTTTACGATGGTCTGCGCGACGTAAACATGAAATCTTGATGCGAAGCCAACTGATAAGACGCCTCTTTGTGATATTGACAAGTTCAAGCGCAGCGATGGACTGTGCAATCGCGAATTCACACACAAATGCAAACACAAACTAGTTTATAGTATACTACAAGTACAATTAATTTGTCTAATAATTTAAATAAACCAAGATATTCAATATGAAAACTCATTTCTAACGCGGTGTGTAGGCACACAGCAAATTTCATGATTCTGTTTCAACATGGCGTCGCGTCTTTTTCAAATGACGAGCCGTTGTGTGCACAAAAACAGATTTTTATGTGTTTTACATAAAGTAGAAAGATAATATGTAGTTTAACTTACTCCTGACGGTCGGGGGCACTGATGTTCACTGTTGTGGAGATGTTTTGGGAGGTTTTTCTTAGTTTTTCTGTGTTTTTTCTGTTAATTCGGCACCGGGCGCACGCAGCGTGCTGAAACTCAACGCGGAATGCGCGCTGAGGGTCGCGTCGCGCCGGATGCGCGCTTCGTGCAGATTGTCTTGCGCAGTTGATACTTGCCAAATTCTAACAAGATAAATAATAAATTCAATGGAAATTTATTAATACAAATCGTACTTTGTTTATAGATTAATTGCATTAATTAAAATAAAGATTTATTTTTACATTCTTCTTTATACTTTTATAACTTTTGCAAAGAATAACCTAATATGTATATTGGGTTGCCTATGTCACAGGGGTTCTTGTTATATTAATTTAAAAAAGAGACAAATTAATAACAATCATAAATATTTATACAGTGATTACATACAATTATGACTAAAAATATCCTCAGGAAAATATTTGTGTCAATGTACTAATACTATTAATAATCTGATGTGATTTACAAATCCGCCACGAGTAATGATATGGCGAAAGCGGCGAAATAATCTGGAATTATTTATTCTCAAGTGGTTTCCGTTTTGACTGATTATAATCATTAATGATAGTACTTAAAACTTGTCTAGAACCAAACACGTAGAACCACTTGTAGAACCCAATATGTTTTCATTTTTTTGTTTTGATATTTTTATTATGTTTTGGACAATTATTTATGACAGGTATTAAAAACGTCAAAAATTTAGGAAACCTACAGTTATAAATTTAATTTATCACTAAATAAACGGATTAAACCACTTAAATAACATTTTATAATATTTATATTCAAAGTTACCCCTTAAAGAACGCAACCAGTTAACCACTAATTTCCAAGTTGTAACATAAGTTGCCTATATTACATTAAAATCTTGTTTCAAGGTTATAATTATGTAAACATCGATGAAATCAACTTTAATGCAACATATTCAAATGTTTATTCTTAATTACAGCAAAACAAATCGATAAAAACTTGAAATCTTGATTGATGTTCAAATAGTGTTATCACAACATTAAGCATTAAGCAATTGACACAATATACATGATGAAATAAATAAATGAGTTACATTCACTATTGATTTACTTTGAGTGTCATTCAAGTAGATTTCCATATAAAAACCATTAATATATAAAGATGTCTGGATGAAATAATCCTTGATCATCTTAAAACACCGGAAAAGCACACATGCCTCACATTTTTTACTAAAAAAAGATAACATAAATCAAAGTCATTTTCATTTCAATATCTCGGACAAAGGTACAAAATATAATCCAATATGACGGATTAATCAGATAGTAGTAAATTTAACTTTTTCCATAACGTTATCTGACATTTTTCTTAAAATGCGATAACACTTAGTATAAATACAGCATGGCGGCAGTAGTTTAGCACAGATCTACTGATCCACCATCATGAAGGTCGCCATTGTTCTTGCTTGCATCGCAGCCACTGCTTTCGGTAAGGTTTCACTAAAAAAACACAAAAATTTAGAAAAAAAACTCAAAAATATTGTTTTTATAGCCGCCCCAGGCCACAACGGCAGCTGGCGTATCCTTGGAGGTGACGACGCCGCTGAGAACCAATTCCCCTACCAGGTATCCCTCCGTTACTACGGTTCCCACTCATGCGGTGGCTCCATCTTGGATGAGACCACCATCTTGTGCGCAGCTCACTGCGTCGATGGCCGTTCCGCTTCCTCAATGACCATCCGCGTTGGCAACAACCGCCTCTCAGCCCAAACTGAAGAATACGACGTCAAATCCTTCGTCCGCCATGAAGATTACGACGCGTATGACATCAAGAACGACGTTTCCATCTTGAAACTCGCCAAGCCCATTCAATGGAGCGATGCTGTCCAACCAGTTGCCCTTCGTAAGACTGACATCATCGAAGAAGATGTCACCCTTTCCGGATGGGGTACCACCTCTTACCCTGGTAACACCCTGATAAACTTCAATTCATCCACTTGAAGACCATCTCCGTGGATTCCTGCGAAAGCAAGCAGATCTACCCTGTTGGTGCAACTGAGGTGTGCACCTTCACTCAGAAGGGTGAGGGAGCTTGCCATGGTGATTCTGGTGGTCCATTGGTTGACTCCAATGGTGAACAGATCGGTATTGTCTCCTGGGGTACTCCTTGCGCGCAGGGATACCCTGATGTCTTCACCCGTGTCTATTCCTTCTTGGACTGGATCGAAGAAAACCGCAATTAAATGATTCTCTTGTAATGTTGCAATAAATACAAAGTAAATTGTTTATTCTGTCTAAATTATTACTCAATCAATCAAAAACTTGAACTAATTCATAAAAACATCACGTGAGGTTTTTATCTAGCTGATCTCCTGAAGTATGTGATAAGGTTTTGGTATAAATATTCGTGAAATTTTTTATTTTGGTAGAAATTTATCACTATGAAAGTCGTCATTATCCTCGCTTGTGTTGCTGCCACAGTTTTTGGTAAGTTTTTCAATTCTAACCTAGAATTTTTTAGTTTTTAACTTTTGATTGTTTCTAAAGCCGCCCCAGGGAATAACGGCAGTTGGCGTATTGTTGGTGGTGATGGAGATGCAGGTACCGCTCCTCACACCTCTCCTTACCAGGTCTCCCTCAGTATCAACGGTGCACATACTTGTAGTGGCTCCATCTTGGATGATAGCACCATTTTAACCGCTGCTCACTGCGTTGTGGGCTTCTGCGATGAGGGCTCTGACCCTACCTTAATCAAAATCGCTGCTGGTAAAAACAAACTGTCCGAGCTGGTTTATAACAACAAGGGTAAATCTGTCATCTGTCATGAGGATTATGATAGTTGGGACATCAAGAACGACATTGCCATCATCAAACTTGAAACAGCCCTAACGTTAACAGCTGATATCCAAGCGGTTCAACTTCCCCGAACTGACATCATCAACGAAGAAGTCACCTTTTATGGTTGGGGCACTACCGATAACTCTAGTATCCTCTCCGATGCTCTGAAGTACATCACTATGAAAACCATCTCCGTCAAGGATTGTATTGACAAAATGCCTGATAAGGTAGGTCCTACTGAGGTGTGCGCCATTGCCGGGACTGGTAAGGGAGCTTGCCATGGTGATGCTGGTGGTCCATTGCTTGCCTCCGATGGCACAGTTGTCGAACTTGTTGGTATTCTCTCCTGGGGTATTCCCTGTGGGCAAGGATACCCTGATGTCTTTACTCGCGTCCGCTACTTTGGAGCTAGATCAAAGTAACGCAATTAATTGTATATGTACGTCGTATTTGTAAAATACGGGGTCATAAAGAAATAATTTAATAATAAATTACAATTGTTTATGTATATTTCTGTGTTTTATTTGTGATATAACTGTTTTGGATCAAAAACGTCATTTGATTGAAAGGGGGAACTGAATTTAGGTTATAAAAAAGATTAACATCTAAGGAATTGTTTGTTAAAAGGTTATAGCGTGGGTCATATTTTGGAACATTCTGTAGGTTATTCTTATACACCCAGTTTATCTATAATATTATAAGTAAAAGTCCTGATGTTTGTTTTACTTTCACGCAAAACTATTTAACAAGTGCATCATGAAAAGTTGTACACACACATATTCTTAGTAGTCCTTTGAATGATTTATAGGCTACTTTTTGTTACGGCAACAGAATTATTTTTAAATAAAATAGAAATTGTTTAGCCAATAATACACCCACTCTGCATCTGGCTATTTGACTACTTTAACATCATTCCAGCAATGTCAAACCTAAGTACTATAGTACCATCACACTGTATTATCACACTTTGCATTACCGTACATTGGCTTCACGTCAACATCAAAATCAATTGACATTTTACACTATGGGGCTACACTATACTTCCATAGACTATACTTTCCAGCCATTTTAAACTTCCGCCATTCTACTTCGATGTGCCTTCGCTACCTTGACTACAGACGCGTATGGAAACTTCCATTGTACACTAGATATTCGCACCGGAAGCAGCGCCGCCAGGAGTTAAATGATATCAGGCAGTGATATGCTTTGAAGTTGTAATTGAAGGTTTAAAGAATGGCTGATGAATAAAAAAGGGAAAATTTGGGTTCTGGAAGAGATAATGCAATTCTACTTTAAATGCACCCAAGACGGCAGGTGAATTGACACAGGTATGAAACTAGAATACAAAATATAAAGGCAAAATATCGGAACCTTTTACTGCCTAAAACAATGCCGAATCAGAAAAAAAATTGTATTATTGTAGAATCAAAATTTAAAACAGAGGGAGCTTGCCATGGTGATTCTGGTGGTCCATTGGTTGACTCCAATGGCGAACAGATCGGTATTGTCTCCTGGGGAATTCCTTGTGCGGAGGGATACCCTGATGTCTTCACTCGTGTCTATTCCTTCTTGGACTGGATCGAAGAAAACCGCAATTAAATGATTCTCTTGTAATGTTGCAATAAATACCAAGTAAATTGTTTATTCTGACTAAATTATTACTCAATCAATCAAAAACTTATACAAATTCATAAAAACATCAGGTGAGATTTTTATCGAGCTGATCCCTTAAAGTATGTGATAAGGTTTTGGTATAAATATTCGTGAAACTTTTTATTTTGGTAGAGATTTATCACTATGAAAGTCGTCATTGTCCTCGCTTGCATTGCTGCCACAGTTTTTGGTAAGTTTTTCAATTCTAACCTAAAATTTTTTAGTTTTTAATTTTTGATTGTTTCTAAAGCCGCCCCAGGGAATAACGGCAGCTGGCGTATTGTTGGTGGTGCAGAAGCAGGTCCTTACACCTCTCCTCACCAAGTCTCTATCCGTATCAACGGTGACCACACTTGTAGTGGCTCCATCTTGGATGGGACCACCATTTTAACCACTGCTCACTGCATTGTGGGCTCTGACCCTACCACAATCACAATCCGTCCGAGCAGTTTGATGAGTACGAGGTTAAATCTTTCATCTGTCATGAGGATTATGATAGTTGGGACATCAAGAACGACATTGCCATCATCAAACTTACTTTTCCCATAACGTTAGCACCTCCTGTTATCCAAGCGGTTGAACTTCGCCAGAGTGACATCATCGCTGAAGAAGTTACCGTTTATGGTTGGGGCAGTAGCAATAACCCTGGTTTCCTATCCGACGCACTGCAGGTCATCACTTTGAAAACCATCTCCGTCAAGGAGTGTATTGACAAAATGCCTGATAAGGTAGGTCCTACTGAGCTGTGCACCTTCACTCAGAAGGGTGAAGGTGTTTGCAATGGTGATGAAGGAGGTCCATTGGTTGACTCCGCCGGCAAACTAGTTGGTATTGTCTCCTGGCATATTTCCTGTGGGCAAGGATACCCTGATGTCTTTACTCGCGTTTATTCCTTCTTGAACTGGATTGCAGCTCACCGTCATTAATTGTATAATTGATAATGTTGTAAATAAGATCATAAATAAATAATTTAATAATAAATTACAATTGTTTATGTATATTCCTGTGTTTTATTTGTGATATAACTTTGTTGGATCAAAAACGTCATTTTATTGAAAGGGGGAACTGAATTTAGGTTATAGAAGAACATTAACCTCAAAATTGAAGGTGATCCAAGAAAAGTCGTAGGAAAATTGTTGTATTCTAATTTAAAGCAAGATTCTGGGTTGGAAACCCTTGCAAGTCAATTACATAGTTGTCATTTAGCTTTGGACCTATTCTTTCCCAATTATCTGAAGATCCAGCTGAAGAAATGGTGATAATATGTAGAATATCCGTAATTAATATGATTACATAGTCTGTTAGAGATGGAAACACAAGTTTAAGCGCTTGAAACATCAAAAACATTGACTATTCATGGAAAACTTGATTATAAGTTTAAAATAATTGTTATAAACAAAATATATACCTAACTTAACCTAACCTAACCTAATTTTTTAATTCTACCATCTATTTTTACCTTTATTTTCATTAATAAACGTTTTTCCTTTTTAAATTTTCAATTTAGTAATTTATAACTTGTTTTATCATCAAACATAACCAAACTTAACCTATTTTTACTCATGTACTTGCTTTAACGTGTGCAGGCACTCAAGACAGTTAAAAACTGCTTATAAGCACTTTGAATCCAAGGCTACCAAAAAAAAACAGGAAATAAATCACATTGCATCATTCTAGGGACCTACATATCTCGAAACTTAAGTGACAATTAATGAGATTATATGTAGAGCACCAGATAAGCTTCACTATATATGTTTGATATTTTTCCAACTCAACACTAAACCAACAAGATCTACGAGTTCAAACATGAAGGTCCTCATCGTTTTTGCTTGCATTGCTGCAATCGCCTTGGGTAAGTTCAACATAACCTCAAAAATAAAAATAAAAACAAAACTAACCTTAAAATAATTATTTTATAATATTACAGCCGCCCCTGGTAATGGCCGTATCCTTGGAGGTGAAGATGCATCCGAAGGTCAATTCCCTTACATTGTATCCATCCGTTATCAGACAAGACACTTATGTGGTGGTGCAATTCTCGATGCCAGCACAATCCTCGCTGCTGCCAACTGCGTAGACAAAGCCTCACCTTCCGCTTTAACCATTCGTGTTGGTAGTACAAAACTATCTGAACAAACTGAAGAGTACGCTGTTGCCGATTATGTCCGCCATGAGAACTATGACCCCAAAAACCTGAAAAACGACATCTCAATCATCAAACTTGCTACGCCCATTCAATTACGTGATGGTGTTGAAGCCATTGCCCTTCGTCAAACTAACATCGATGAAGAAGCCGTGGTTGTTTCCGGGTGGGGCAGCACTGAACACCCTGGAATCAAATCCGATGACCTGCAGTTCATCAATCTACAAACCATTACTCCTGAGGATTGTATTGATGAGTTACCTTATCCTGTAGGTGCTACAGAAATTTGCACCCTGGGTAAAGAAGGTGAAGGTACCTGCAATGGTGATGCAGGTGGTCCAATGGTTGATTCCAATGGGGAATTGGTTGGTATTGCTGCCTGGGGTATTCCTTGCGGGTTGGGATATCCTGATGTATACACACGTGTCTTCTCCTTCTTGAAATGGATTGAGGAACACCGTTGATCAATAAATTTTATCTTGTTATGAATCTTACAAATTTTGTTTAAATTTGGAAATCCCTAATCCCAAAACTCTTAAAAGAGATAATTATAGAGGACCTGATAAGGTTTTGGTATAAATAACCTCCATGTTCTTCAATTTTGAACAGATCCTTTAGAATAACCATGAAGTTCACTATTATTTTGATTTGTTTTGCTGTTACAGTTTATGGTAGGTACTTACCTTTAACCTATAAACAACATAACCTAAAATATATTTACAGCTGTTTCTGGTAACACCGGAAGTTGGCGTATTATTGGAGGTGAAGATGCAGTTGATAAACAATTTCCTTACCAGGTATCCCTCCGTTCTTTTGGTATCCATTGGTGTGGTGGTTCAATTCTTGATGAAATCACCATTTTGTGTGCTGCCCACTGTGTAAATGGTTCCTCACCTTCTTCTTTAACAATCCGTGTTGGTAACAATAACCTATCCGAGCAAACTGAAGAATATGAAGTTGTTTCCTTTGTAATTCATGAAGATTATGGTGTTGCTGGTATCAATCATGATCTTTCCATCATTAAACTGTCAAACCCCATTAGATTTCATGAAGGAGTCCAACCTATTACTCTAAGACAGGATGATATCATCGAAGAGAATGTAACTCTCTCCGGGTGGGGCAGTATTAGTTATCCGCGTGAAAAATCCGATCATCTTCAATTTATCCATCTGAATACAATTTCTTTGAAAGAGTGTCAAGAAAAATTGTCTGGATCTGTGACTGATTTGGAATTGTGTACGTTTACCAAGGCTGGTGAAGGTGCTTGTCATGGAGATTCCGGTGGACCATTGGTTGATGCAAATGGTGAACAAGTTGGTATTGTTTCATGGGGTATACCATGTGGGATGGGATACCCGGATGTTTTTACCAGGGTTTATTCATTCTTGGATTGGATTGAAGCAAATCGTCAGTAAATGCTTGTTTTATCATTTTGTTAATAAAGTATGTGAAAAATAATAATCCCTACAAATATTATAAATGCGAATGTCCTGATGTTTGTTACACTTTCACGCTACTTTTTATTTAATAAAAAAATTATTTTTAAAATAAAATAAAGAAATAGTTTAGCCAATAATACCTCTGCATCTGGCTATTTGACTACTTTAACGCCATCTAGCATTCCAGCAATGAAGCTCAAACCTAAGTACTATAGTACCATCACACTGTATTATCACACTGTATTACCGACAGCTACGTCAACATCAAATCCAATTGACTACACTATGGAGACTGTACACTATACTTCCATAGACTATACTTTCAGCCATTTTAAACTTCCCGCCATTCTACTTCATTGTTGTCTTAGACTTGTCTAAGATATTAAACCAGAATATTTCACTGATGAGTTAACTCATTTTCTAAAATACATACAAGAAGAAAATATTACAGATCCACATGAAATGTATGCAATATTAAGTAATGGTCTAAAATCAACTTTTCCAAATATACACACAATACTGCACATTTTTTTGACCTTACCCGTTTCTAATCCAAGTGGAACAAGGACATTTTCAGTTTTAAAACGAGTCAAAAACAATCTGCGCAATAGTCTTTCAGAAGAGCACTTAAATGACCTGGCATTAATGTTCATAGAAAATGATATTTTTAAAATACTAGAGTACGACGAAATTATTGAAATCTTTGCCCAAGAGAAGGCAAGAAAAGTAAATTTGTAATTTGTATTTAAATTTGTATTGTCCTTTATTTTATTGTGGTATTATTAGAATATATTTTTTAATTTTCTTTTGCCTTTGTTATCTTAATACCTGTTATAAAACGCATAATTTACAATGTTTACATAACCGTTTTTGAAAATTTTCGGATTTAGAGGCCCCAAACCTGATTTGCGCCTAAGGCCTCACTGAAGCACAATCCGCCACTGGAAAAACCCATACTTAACACGTAGCCTAATTGATCTGAAGGTTGTAATATGTACTTTCCTGATTTTAAACATCAGATACTGATAAGATGGAGAGCCTGATAAAATGTAGTATAAATATCATCCTTTTTTCATGTTCTAACACATATCTACCGATCTACAACCATGAAGTTCGCCATTGTTCTTGCTTGCATCGCAGCCACCGCTTTCGGTAAGTTTTCACTAAAAAACACAACAATTTAGAAAAAATTTTAAAAAATTGCTTTCATAGCCGCCCCCGGCCATAACGGCAGCTGGCGTATTGTTGGAGGTGATGACGCCGAGGAGAACCAATTCCCCTACCAGGTGTCCCTCCGTTACTTCGGTGCCCACTCATGCGGTGGCTCCATCTTGGATGAGACCACCATCTTGTGCGCAGCTCACTGCGTAGATGGCGCTGACGTTAGCACAATGGCCATCCGCGTTGGCAACAACAAGCTGTCCGAGCAGACTGATGAATACCAGGTTGCATCCTTCGTCCGTCATGAGGATTATGATGGTTGGGATATCAAGAACGACGTTGCCATCATCAAACTCGCCGATCCCTTGACCTGGAGTGATTCCGTCCAGCCTGTTAAGCTTCGCCAGAGTGACATCATCGAAGAAGATGTTACCCTTTCCGGTTGGGGTACCACCTCTTACCCTGGTGATATCCCAGACAATCTTCAATTCATCAACTTGAAGACCATCTCCGTTGATGACTGCTCCAGACTGCAGCCAAGCCATGTAGGTCCTACTGAGGTGTGCACCTTCACCCAGAAAGGTGAGGGAGCTTGCCATGGTGATTCTGGTGGTCCATTGGTTGACTCCAATGGTGAACAGATTGGTATTGTCTCCTGGGGTACTCCTTGCGCGCAGGGATACCCTGATGTTTTCACTCGTGTCTATTCCTTCTTGGACTGGATCGAAGAAAACCGTCATTAAATGATTCTCTTGTAATGTTGCAATAAATATGAAGTAAATTGTTTATTCTGCTTAAATTATTACTCAATCAATCAAAAACTTGTACAAATTCATGAAGACATCAGGTGAGATTTTTATCTAGCTGATCCCTTGAAGTATGTGATAAGGTTTTGGTATAAATATTCGTGAAACTTTTTATTTTGGTAGAAATCTATCACTATGAAAGTCGTCATTGTCCTCGCTTGTGTTGCTGCCACAGTTTTTGGTAAGTTTTTCAATTCTAACCTAGAATTTTTTAGTTTTTAATTTTTGATTGTTTTTAAAGCCGCCCCAGGGAATAACGGCAGCTGGCGTATTGTTGGTGGTGCAGAAGCAGCTGCTGGCACCTCTCCTCACCAGGTCTCCATCCGTATCAACGGTGCCCACACTTGTAGTGGCTCCATCTTGGATGATAGCACCATTTTAACCACTGCTCACTGCGTTGTGGGCTCTGACCCTGCCTCAATCAAAATCGCTGCTGGTAAAAACAAACTGTCCGAGCAGGTTGATGAGTACCGGGTTAAATCTTTCATCTGTCATGAGGATTATGATAGTTGGGACATCAAGAACGACATTGCCATCATCAAACTTACTTTTCCCATACTGTTAACACCTCCTGCTATCCAAGCGGTTGAACTTCGCCAGAGGGACATCATCGCTGAAGAAGTTACCGTTTATGGTTGAGGCAGTAGCAATAACCCTGGTATCCTAACCGACGCAATGCAGTTCATCAATTTGAAAACCATTTCTTTCAAGGAGTGTATTGACAAAATGCCTTATAAAGTAGGTCCTACTGAGGTTTGCACCTTTACTAAGAAGGGTGAGGGTGTTTGCCATGGTGATGCTGGTGGTCCATTGGTTGACTCCGATGGCAGACTAGTTGGTATTGTCTCCTGGCATATTTCCTGTGGGCTTGGATACCCTGATGTCTTTACTCGCGTCTATTCCTTCTTGGACTGGATTGAAGGCAACCGCCATTAATTGTATAACTGATTATGTTAATATTATAAATGCGAAAGTCCTGATGTTTGTTACACTTTGACGCAAAAACTACTTAACCGATCATCATGAAAATTTCTACACATATTCTTAGTGGTCCCCGAATGGTTATAGGCTACTTTTTATTTAATAAAAAAAATTATTTTTTAAATAAAATAAAGAAATAGTTTAGCCAATAATACCTCTGCATCTGGCTATTTGACTACTTTAACGCCATCTAGCATTCCAGCAATGAAGCTCAAACCTAAGTACTATAGTACCATCACACTGTATTATCACACTGTATTACCGACAGCTACGTCAACATCAAATCCAATTGACGACACTATGGAGACTGTACACTATACTTCCATAGACTATACTTTCAGCCATTTTAAACTTCCCGCCATTCTACTTCATTGTTACTTCTTCTGTTACATTATTACATTATTTTAGATATTCGCGAGCGAAGCCGCGGGTTAAAGCTTTTGTACTCAATATGTCAATAGATTGTAATTCTGAGATTGTTGACTTCCTGGTACCCCGGTCCTCCCCCTAAACCTAAAATTAACTGTGTCACATGGCTTATATCTTAATTCAAGCAAAATATTATCTTTTTTTGAGTATCTCTCAAAAATCAAACAAAGGAGATCAAAAACCAATAACACGTAGCCCAATTGATCTGTAGGTTGTGATATATACTTTCCTGATTATAAACATCAGATACTGATAAGATGGAGAGCCTGATAAAATGTAGTATAAATATCGCGCTTTTTTCATATTCTAACACAGATCTACTGATCTACAACCATGAAGTTCGCCATCGTTCTTGCTTGCATCGCTGCTACGGCTTTTGGTGAGTAAACATGAACAAAATATTTTAAAATTATTAATAATAATAATAAATTAATTATTTATAGCCGCCCCAGGCCATAACGGCAGCTGGCGTATTGTTGGTGGTGATGACGCTGCGGAGAACCAATTCCCCTACCAGGTATCTCTCCGTTACTACGGTTCCCACTCATGCGGTGGCTCCCTCTTGGATGAGACCACCATCTTGTGCGCTGCTCACTGCGTAGATGGCGCTGACGCTAGCACAATGACCATCCGCGTTGGCAACAACAAGCTGTCCGAGCAGACTGATGAATACCAGGTTGCATCCTTCGTCCGCCATGAGGATTATGATGGTTGGAACATCAAGAACGACGTTTCCCTCATCAAGCTCGCCGATCCTTTGACCTGGAGTGATTCCGTCCAACCTGTTAAGCTTCGCAAGAGTGACATCATCGCTGAAGATGTTACCCTTTCCGGTTGGGGTACCACCTCTTACCCTGGCGACATCCCAGACAATCTTCAGTTCATTAACTTGAAGACCATCTCCGTTGATGACTGCTCCAGGCTGCAACCAAACAATGTAGGACCTACTGAGGTGTGCACCTTCACCCAGAAAGGTGAGGGAGCTTGCCATGGTGATTCTGGTGGTCCATTGGTTGACTCCAATGGTGAACAGATCGGTATTGTCTCCTGGGGTGTTCCTTGCGCGGAGGGATACCCTGATGTCTTCACCCGTGTCTATTCCTTCTTGGACTGGATCGAATCCAACCGCAATTAAATGTATCTTGTGTAATAGTTTACTAAACATCAAATAAACTGTTCAATAGGAATTTTCCGTTGTTGTTATTCACAGGAAATTGAAGATTATACAAAAATACTTGAAAATAAAAAGTTATAAATACATAATCTTTGATATCATATTTTGAGGACCTGATAAATACGAGTACATAATACATAAACACCTGACAAAAATTTAAAAATCATTCAGAATCATGAAGTTCATCATTGTGTTAATTACTACAATCACAATTTCTACTGCTAAAGCTTCCCTTTAAATCCCTATATACTAGGAGGTAAGAATGCTTCCGAAGGTCAATTCCCCTACATGGTATCCCTCCGTAATTATGGTAAACACTGGTGTGGTGCTTCCATCCTGGATGAGGTCAACATCCTCTGCGCTGCGCATTGTATCTACGACCAAACAGCTCCCACAATGACCATTCGTGTTGGTAACAACAAACTCTCTGAACAAACAGAAACCTATCAAGTGGCATCAATCATCCAACATGAAAACTATCAAAGACCTAGTAAAAAGAACGACGTCGCCATTCTAACCTTAACCACACCCATAGTGTTCCGCGATGGTGTGCAACCAGTTAAACTCCGTCAGAGTGACATAACCACAGAGGAAGTTGTATTATCAGGATGGGGTCTTACCTCTTTTCCGGGAGAGAATCCAGATCATTTACAATATAGCACTTTGAATACCATAACCTATGAAGAGTGTGTTAAATATGAAGAAGATTTTGTTGTAAGTGAAACAGATGTATGTACACTTGATAAAATAGGAATTGGTGCTTGTTATGGTGATTCCGGAAGTCCTTTGGTGGACTTAAAAGGAGAACAAGTTGGTATCACTGCTTGGGGTATACATGGTTGCGGACTTGGGTATCCAACAGTCTTCACACGTGTTTATTCATATTTATCATGGATTGAAGATAATCGCAAGTAAATGATTATCAATTATTGTAAAACACAATAAAACTTTATCTGGGTAATCCCTTGATACCTGTAGTTATATCTCCACCTGAAATATTTGAATTATAATAGTATTAGATTGGGTAGCAACCAAAAATGATCCTAAAATATTTGATTTTCCTCTCCTGCATTGTCTATGCACTTGGTAAGAAAATAATTTAAAAAAAAACAAGTTTAGATGTAAAACATAACCTTTAGGTTCTTCAAATGATGATACCAGAGTAATAGGAGGTCAAAACGCCTCCTTGAATCAATTTCCATACCAAGTATCACTCCGATACAAAGGTACCCATTCCTGTGGTGGCTCCATCTTGGATTCCAAGACAATCCTCCTTGCAGCACATTGCGTAGCAGGAAGTTCCAGTTCCCTAATGACCATCCGCCTGGGCCACACTCAACTGAACGCACAAACAGAAGAATACCCTGTGAAATCATTCACTATCCACGATGACTATGATCCTTTCAAGGTGATCAACGATATTGCTATCATTAAACTTACTCAACCTATCCTTTTACGTGATGGTGTCCAAGCTATCACCTTACCACAAAAAGATACTTTACCAGGTGAAGATGTGACTCTTTCCGGATGGGGCCTCACCTCCTATCCAGGTGGTAAACCTAATGATCTACAGTTTATTAACCTCAAAACTATTTCATTGGAGGATTGTGTCCACGCACACAATGCATCAAAACAACCTATAATGGAAACAGAATTGTGTACATTAACAACCAAAGGTGAAGGTGCGTGTCAGGGAGATTCCGGTGGTCCATTGGTTGACTCAAACGGTGTACAAGTTGGTATTGTCTCATGGGGGAAACCATGCGCGCTTGGATATCCTGATGTCTTCACCAGGGTGTATTCATTCTTGACTTGGATCAAACAAAACAGACATTAATTAATCTAAAAAAACAAAATGGCGGTACATATACATACATATTAAATACATAATTGTATAGCATACATTTTGTTTTTGTTTTGGTACATTTCACATCGAAAATAAATATGTTTAGATTACACAGCATATTTTGTTTGTTTTTTGTTTCTCCTTTGGCACAAAGCGTTAACATGGAAGAGATAAGCACACGATTCAAAAAATACACGCCAAGTATAAACACAGCGAAGGGAACAATAAAAACACCCAAAAATCCAACAGCGATGTGATTCATACGCGCATACGTCACCTCCGGCAGACACAACTTCAATTGCACGCAGATTTTGATCACGAAAATGGTGCTGGTGATGTAACATCCGTGTTTGATCTCGATACAGCCGCAACACGGCCGGAACACGCAATTTCCCGGCGCCATGTTGAAAATTTCTCGTGTTTAAAATGTTATTTTATTTGATAATGTCCATTTGGTTGTGGGGATCGATATATCTATTCGCGTTTTATGATCAGAATCGCGGGGAAGCGGAATAATAACCAAGAAAACTGTCAAAAAAGTGAAGCTGTCAAAAAGTAAAAAAATACCTACCTAAGAGTAATTTCTGTAATGTTTTTTGTATTGCAGAAATCACGATGAAGATGAGTCAATGCCCCAAGTTCACTGCAACCCCAAGGACCTCCACGTTGAATGGTATCCCAGTGTTGGTCCATGCTAAGATAACTGTACGGATCGTTGGCATCCGAAGAACTGTTACCTCCGCTGGTGTTACCAGGATATGTCTCTAGACAATGCCGCAATTGTTTCTCCAATTTACCCAGAGACTCCGTACATAACCCCCACTATGCAATAAAATTCAATATTTTACATTTTTATTAACATAACCTCAAAATTATGCGAATCTTACCAGTTTTTGTATAGCTTCGGGTGATTTATGAGCATTTTCTTCTAATAACAACCCTACAACCATATCCTGTTGTCCGCAGACAAACAAAATACTCTTCTTGAGTTTCTCAGTGACTGGTCGTTTGAATTTTGACTCATTTCCGCTTTGTTTAAAGATGGCGGACTTGTTTTGTGTTGGTGTAGTGAAGCGGACATCTTTATACTCACTAGGCGTGGTATCACGACTGCCAAACCCACTGGAATGTTCATCCATCGCTAGTAGACTCAATTTTGACATCAAAGGAGTCAGTTGTACTCCACCGTAGTTTTTACTGCGTACAATCGGTGAATATAAATCTGAATCGAATGTTAGTGACTTTAATGGTAGAGTAAGACTCTTTCTCGCTTCGCGATCCTTCGGTGGCGCCATCTTGGCTATCACAAAATCACCATTTTCTTTATCGCTGTCTTTTTCATCTTCTTGCTGTGTTTTCACCTGGGAATCATCGATTTCTTTGTCTTTATCGTTAATATTAGTAATATCTGCGTTAATATCTTCGGGTGTTTGTTCTTTTTGTTCATTTTGCTCATCTTCAGTCGTGTTTTGATGTTCCGGATCAATGCAAATCGACATTACGCTTTGATGCAGTACTTTGTTCAGGTCTGTCATCGGCGTTGAGCAAATACTGGTCTGGCCATAAAATGGCGTCGTGGCTGTAACCTTAGCCTGCGCAGGTTTTTCATCCAGGGTTTTGTTTCGTAAATTTAGGAACTTGGGGCGTGTTAATTTCGTTGAAGGAAGAATATTATTCTCGATATTAATCGGGGAATGCGCATCGGTGTCTTCTTCAGGAATGTTTGAGAATATAATCGATTGATCGCGTTTCATCGCGGATAAAACAGGTTCCTTTGTTTGAATCTACACACAAAATATTTTCATGTATAATTGGTTGCCTACGTTAAACTTTTTATTCTTAGGTTACCTACCGATTTAGTGTAGCTTCTTTTGTTCAAATACAAATGTACCGTGCGTGTCCGCAGTGCATCCTCGGATAAATCCTGATACTCATGTCCTTCCACATAAACATGCAACAATTGCACACCCAATGGAAGTTGGTAATCAACCTCAACTGTTTCCGCAGGTGATTTAATCCTGTATGGATCTGTTAGTACCAATCTTTTAGTCAGATTGCTACTGAGCTGTGTTGCTAACACCCTGTATATAAAAATATGACATAACCTCTTGATATAACCTCAAAATAACACTTACTTATTGTGATAGAGCATTGTCCCACCCAAAACATGTTCAACTTCTTGGCAACATTGCAAAATCTGCATGGATTCCAAGAAAACATTGCTCGCACTCTTTGGCAGGTGAATTTTCGGAATGTTTGAGAACAAATTACTGCTGTAGGTTAAGATTTTGATGTAAGTCTCAAACATGTGATACAATTTTGCAGACAAACACTCCACGCTAGGGTATACTTCACTCATTACAGCAATGTCATTATGGAAGAATGTGATGAGTGATGATAAAGTATCTGCTCGATACTCCAGCACCCAGTCTGCTATGTTCCTGTCTGTTCCCACAGCCTAAATATAATGTAAACATATAATATTCTGATGTAAGTGTATCTAAAACTTACTAAAATGTATCTGCCATACTCCTGAACAGAAAACTTGCCACTCTGGAGTGAAATAATCCTTGGACAAGCAAAAACTGACTTTAAAAAGTGTGCTGTGCCCATGATTTGACCACATAATGCAGTCTTTTGTTGGTCGGACACCCAGCCTGGGTGAAAATATAAAATTGCAGATGCTGGATCATCACCTTCGTGTTTCAGTAGCTGAGTGTCATAGACAAATATTATCATCATTTCCCTACAAATGAGGAAACAAATGAACAAAATAAACAACTTTCTGCTGTGTAAACAAGACTTACTTAGCCATGATTGTTGAGTTTGGTGGCTGTTTATTGTTCCAACGGAATCACATGATTTGAGTATTGATAGTTATTAGGGTGCATAAATGCACAGCGCAAATTCGCACAAAATCATGCGTAAAATGAATATAAACAGATAGAAAAACAATTGCCTGCGATTGGGAGCTGTTGACACTTGAACATGTTTTGACATGACATTGACAGTTTACACAACGGAATAGATAAATAAATGTATAATTTGTTTAATAATTGATAAAAATGTTTGTTTTAGGCCTTAAATTTGAATCGTTTGTTTTTGATGGTCGATTTCATCGGCAATTCTTATTTGTCGATCGATAGAAATATACCAAGTGTGTAGGAGCATCATTTGTAAGGTTTCCGAACTAATATTTTTGTAAATTAAAGCATTTAGAAACATTTAAATGCCTAAATAAACTTTAGTTGTTATTAAGTATTGGTTTAAATGTAGAGTAGCTCTCACAATAATAGTTTTACTCTATAAAATTATTAATTTTATGAAAGAAATTTGTGGCACATTGTATAATTTGTAATATAAAGTAGGCAACCCAATATACACTGAATGTATTTAGATATGACCTAGAAGCGTACGCTGTGTGAGTGTTTCCTGCGTTTCCTGTGGTTCGATTTTTAGCGGCCCGCCCACCATTGCAGGTACGTGCCTTCGGTCAAATCAGCGCATCAGTTTGCCGAAGGTCGTCGAGGTGGTGGTGGTGACAATCCTGCCGAATCCTGGTGCTGGTGAATCTCAACACGAACAACGTTATCGTAGTCCAGCAGAGTCACAATGTCTAACAAGAAGATCGAAGAGGGCCTGGAGCATATAAAGGTCGCGGAGAAATGGTAGCCCAACCCTTAAAAAAACCAACGAGCAGTACTAACCCGCCGTGCAATTGTTTTAGCTTGAAAACATCACTGCTCAAATGGCGGCCGGACTACGACGAAGCAGCTGACGAGTACAACAAAGCAGCGACTTGTTTCCGCAATGCGAAATCCTTCGAGCAGTGCAAGGATTGCCTCATGAAAGCCGCCGATTGTCAAAAACAAAACGGAAAGTACGTGATAAATAATATAATATGACGTCATTACATGTCAAAATCTTAGGTTATGATGTAAGGTTATGTTGTTTATGTCTATGTAATGTTTTAGCAATTTTCACGCAGCGAAATCATTAGATCAAGCAATCCTGGTATCGAAAGACATGAATGATTTCCGTTCAATCGCTCAGCTTGCCGAACGTGCCGCACATTTATTCCAAGTGAGCGGAAATGCCGAATCAGCCGCAGCGTCGCTAGACAAAGCAGCGAAAATCCTCGAAGCGCAGAATCCCAGCCAGGCACTGAAACTATTCCAGCAAGCAGCGCAGATCGCCATCATTCAGGACTCGGCTCGCCAAGCAGCTGAATACATGAGTAAAGTAGCACGCATTCACGTGAAACTCCAAGAGTACGATTTGGCCGCGGATGCAATCCGGAGAGAAATGGGTCTGCATCAACAAAGCGAGGCGTATCAATCGATGGGTCGTCTTGCCGTAGGCTTAGTTTTAGTACAGCTAGCGCGTGGTGATGTCGTCGCCGCTGAGAAAGCGTTCAAAGAATGGGGAAACTGCTGCGAAGCGCCGGAAGTGGGAACTTTAGAGAGTTTACTCGCTGCTTTCGATGAGGAAGACCCCGAAGCAGCCCGGGTTGCTTTGAATAATCCTTTTATTAAACACATGGACGTGGAATACGCGATTCTTGCACGAGACATGCCGCTACCTCAGGGGATGACACAACCCATGGTGAAATCAGGTGGAGTGCGTGAAAATGCAGCAGCTTCGTATGTTTCGCCTAATTCACACACGACAGCTACAATTGAGGTAAAATTTATTTTTTTATTCAAAAAAAAATTTAAAAAAACTAAATTTTTATACATTTAGGATGGAGGTGATCAACCCCCAGCTGTAGCAACCGATGAAGATGATCTCGAGGAAGGCGGTCTTTGTTAAAAGCGTATTTGCGTGCAGTACAACCGTTGACGAAATAACTTTCATGTCCTAGTCGTTAAATTCATAAATGTACAGCTTTTAAGGATAAAAAAAAACAACGTGCATAGGTAATGTAGTCGGTTATTAACATTAATTAATCAGGCGTGATGATTTGTTGAAGGGTGTTGAAACGTTCTAGACTTTAACGCAATGCTATGAGTTGTTATAAGTGCATTTTCAATTCTATCGAATAAGTATATTCAAGTTATCGTAAGTGTAAACACTGATTCATTCCAGTTGAGTTGAGAAATGTGTACGTTTTTTCAAAATTAGCACTAAAATAATTACATTGGGCTGACGAATTGATTGTGCGCATGAATGAAATTAGATACTATACTCTTGTTAATGTACTTATGTACTTACTTAAATCAATTTCAATCGAGGATGTCAGTTGTTATTTATTGCTCGGTTAAAGACAAAATTAGATGAAAACTACCTGAAAACAAGTTTAAATTATAAAATTTAACTGTTTTATCTTTTAATGAAGTATTTAAGTTGTTTTTCTTTAAGCAGCCCGAGTTGCTTTGAATAATCCTTTTATTAAACACATGGACGTGGAATACGCGATTCTGGCACGAGACATGCCGCTACCTCAGGGGATGACACAACCCATGGTGAAATCAGGTGGAGTGCGTGAAAATGCAGCAGCTTCGTATGTTTCGCCTAATTCACACACGACAGCTACAATTGAGGTAAAATTTATTTTTTATTCAAAAAATTTAAAAAACTAAATTTTTACACATTTAGGATGGAGGTGATCAACCCCAGCTGTAGCAACCGATGAAGATGATCTCGAGGAGGGCGGTCTTTGTTAAAAGCGTATTTGCGTGCAGTACAACCGTTGACGAAATAACTTTCATGTCCTAGTCGTTAAATTCATAAATGTACAGCTTTTAAGGATAAAAAAAAACAACGTGCATAGGTAATGTAGTCGGTTATTAACATTAATTAATCAGGCGTGATGATTTGTTGAAGGGTTTTGAAACGTTCTAGACTTTAACGCAATGCTATGAGTTGTTATAAGTGCATTTTCAATTCTATCGAATAAGTATATTCAAGTTATCGTAAGTGTAAACACTGATTCATTCCAGTTGAGTTGAGAAATGTGTACGTTTTTTCAAAATTAGCACTAAAATAATTACATTGGGCTGACGAAAATTAATTGTGCGCATGAATGATTAGATACTATACTCTTGTTAATGTACTTATGTACTTACTTAAATCAATTTCAATCGAGGATGTGCAGTTGTTATTTATTGCTCGGTTAAAGACAAAATTAGATGAAAACTACCTGAAAACAAGTTTAAATTATAAAATTTAACTGTTTTTATCTTTTAATGAAGTATTTTACTTGTTTTTCTTCAAATTTGTTTTGTTTTAAGCTGTTTTTTGCGTTTTTAACAAGAAAATAAGAAAAATTTTAATTTTGAGGTTAAAAATAACAACTACATGATTTGCTCATCAATATAATAGTATATATTTTTAATATATATATATAATATATTTCCTGTAACGGTTACATTCATCTATATTTTAAATAGAATATATTATAACATATTTTACAATTACAAACAATTACAGTGTTACGAAGTCATTGTCGGTTATCTTTCGAGCAAAAAATCGTCGGCAAAGCAAAAGATTTAGCTAACTATCGTAAACTAATCACAAATCGAGATAAAATCGTAAACTATACAAATACATATGGAATTATTCAAAGAAAGCAAAAGATACCAATGCGTATTAGCACTCGTACTAAACTTAAATGTAAATATTATCCAAAAATAAATGCACATTTTTAAGTTTACGCCCTGGCGCAGAAGAAATGTTCAAGAATTTGTTGTCGTTTGTAATCGCAAGTAACAGTGAGAGAGTAGTGGAAGAGGGGAACATTAACACACGTCATTGTTTCACTTTGTTATCAAACACCGAGTTGAGTAGCGCTGATTATAGGCATTATGCATTAATTGTTGAGACTCTCCCAGAGTTCATCGTCGCCCCACTTGTTGTCCCACTTTTTCTCCTCTCGTGAGGTCTTTTTCTTGGCGCTGCTGCGTTTGTTCTCCGTGGGCGAGATGGGCGACGTTGTTTTCGAGTCGGTGGGTGATTGGTATGAGTTGGACTCGTTTTGGTAGCCCCATTGTTGACTTGTGGGACTTTTTGGACTTGAAGCTCTATAAATTTTAAATGAATTTCAATATTAAGTATCAAGTGCGCTAAACTGCACTTTAATCACGTGTAAAGACGTGATATTTACGCTATTTGTCTACTTTCACATTATTTCCATGTTTAGTTTTTGTATTTGAACTTTTTATTTTAAAATTTCGAATTATTAAAGTACTTTAGTCACGGTTTTGGTCGTCCGTGAGTAAAGTACAACTTTTCGTGTCTCAAAACCGTGGGAAAAGTAGTTAAAGTAGAAAAACATGTATTTTTTGCGTTTTAATAACAAAAACTTACTTAGAACCCTGCTGACTGGCAAAACTCCAATCATCTTGATTGTTGAAACTGTTACCGTTGCCACCAGTAACAAGCGATGATTTTTCACCAGGGGAATGGAAATTTTCACCGCCTACTTGACCATAAGTACCAAATTCAGCGCCGGGTTGCTGTGTACCTGTTACTTGCGTCCAGCCACGACGTCCCAAGTCGCTCATCTATCAAAAAAAATCAATTTTAACAAATTTTTCAAAAAATCCTCAAAAACAATGAAAAAATGTTTGAAACAAAATCATACCTTGTTTGCTAAACCACTGACATGATTACCTACATCATCTAACAAATTGCCCTCTCGAACCTTTCAAAATAAAACAAATCAAAAAAATAAATAAAAACACAACCGATGATGATTATAATGATGATCTACCTTCTGCGACGCGATGCCGCCATATTTAAGCGCACTTTCGGATGCTTTACTGGCGATTTTCGTCGCTGAATTCGACAGGAATGACCAGCCACTCGCAAGTGACGACAGCGTATTGTCAAACATCTCTTGCGATTGACTCCGGGGTGGTGGTTCCATGGAATATCCGAAACCAGAATACTTGCCTCCTTGACTCGGCGGTAAATCCCTTTAAATAATTATTTATTAAATAAACATTCACACATTTAAACTTAAAACTAAAAACTTACTCTCTTCGATTTGCATTCTCATTCTGCCGTTTTGCAAAGAACGCTTCCTTCTCATTCTTAAACTCTGGCGAATTAAAGTTCTGATAACTGCCGTTGTTTTGGTAGCCATTATTCTGGTAGCTATCAGCCTGTTGGTATGAGTTTGAGCTATTGTTGTAACTTTGCGTCGTGGTCGACGAAGTGTTGATCAAACTCCCGCTGTATTTCTGCGCCGGCGATTTCTTTTCGTCCCAGTTTTTACCTTGGGCTAATGTAGAAATCTGTAATTCACACAAAAAGTGACGCCATTTTAGTATAAACTCATATAATTTATAGGTTAGTTTATTGTTAGTAATACTAACCTTATCTCTGTATAAAGCAGCACCTTTTGTATTGTACTTTTGTTGGATGCTCATTGAATCATCGTAATCATCCTGAGCTTCAAAAAATATCCTAGCATTACTATTACCACCGACTTTCATCTTCTCCAGCTCAATCTCTTTCCATTTGTCCATGGTAACAGACCGGACGAATGATAAGTGTACTCCTAGCCCACGATGCTTCCCAGAACACTCCAGGCAAATCCATATGCCATATGTTACTGAAGCCCATTGTGGATTGTGGGTTTGGCATTCAAAGCATTTCTATGTAACACAATAAATATTAGTAAAATTTCAGTCAAAACTTTTTAAAACTACTCACATCGTTCTCGTTGGTGGGCTTCAATTCGGAAAGAAGTCTTCGTGTTCGAGGACTGGCCATTCTTGTAAGAGCTTCGTCAATAAGATACAACTACGCTACGTGGATTAAAGAAATTTATCTAGACGGGAGCTGTCTTCGTTATAAGTCGCGCATGTTGTGTGTGTGCTAATTGCGTAAGTTTAAACAAATTGCAAATGTTTCAAACGATTCTCGGCTTCAGTGTGGAGTTTTTTTCGGACGACGTGTCGTGTGAATCGGCCCCACTTTCCAGGTCAATATTTTTCGAAATGTCCGACGTTTACCGAACACTTCGGGGCTGTCAAGGACAATCATTTAAAATTCATACAATCATCAGCATTAATTATCCAAAGATTATATCTTACATTATTGGTACACTAATAGACAAATCAATAAATATGAGTAGAATAGTTTTTGTTAAGATTCTTTTAAAAATAGATTTTGGGACAGGTGGCGCCCTCGTTTAAATTTTCCCTCGAAAATCAGAAATAATTTTAAGGTTATTTTCAAACAGTTTATGAGTACACTTTGCCGGTGATTAATTATAATTTACTATCGAATAACGTGATTAATTTTGTTAAAATGGCTGAAAAGATGGAAGATCTCAACCTGCCGCAGTCAGCAGTGTTGAAAATAATCAAAGAAGCAATTCCAAGCAATGCAAGTATTGGAAAAGATGTGAAGGCTGCATTGGCGAAAGCCGCATCGATATTTATTCTTTACCTCACATCGCAAAGCACACAGACTATGCAGGCAGCAAAACGGAAAACAATCACCTCACAGGATATTTATGACGCTCTAGAGGAGCTTGAGTTCGGACATTTTGTAGAACCATTGAAAAATTGCCTTAAAGGTATGCAACTCTTTAATACCACATAAAAAATACTCAAAATTTGTGCCCACAGAACAACAGGAAGGAAAAGCAAAGAAAACAGCAGATAAAACAAAGCTAAAGACTGCAGACCAGCCAGAGAATGAAGAAGAAGAGATGGAAGATGAAGAAGAAGCTGATGAAGGTGAAGAAAAAGACTCGTAAACAAATGGTAACAACAAAAATACTAAAAATAACTTATTTGTATGTTTGACCTTGAACAATTTAATATTTTCTCATAAAACTCGATTTGATTTGCTCCTTTACTGGTTGGTTATGCTGTGATACATATTAACAAATTAATTAACAATTTATGTATGTGAAAAATGGCGTAATTCTGAGATATCACACTGGTATTCCACTTGCCAGTTCACATTATTACATTTCTTTACTTGAATTGAAGCTGTTCCACACTGGCAAATGGAATGTTGAGTAGTAAACATTATACAACATTTAAAAGTGAATATAAGGCCACACAAGATGTGCTCGGCATTGCGTCCTGACTTCGATTAACATGTTTTATAATATAAGCCAAAATTTGACATCTTGCGACGCCATTCGTGGTGTGGAAACCAAGATGGCGTCCGGCAATCTGTCAATTTTTAACTCTTGTAGCACCGGCAAACAATTTTAAAGCGCGCACGTTTTGTATTTTGGTTTTGTATTATGTGTACGTGAAAATGCGTTAGATTATTGATCCACGCGTATAATACGCTCGATCTTTGCTCGACACATCGGACAATCGGAGATTGTGGGTGCGCAGGCGCTGCAGCAGCAGTAATGGCCGCAGGGAATGTAAACGACTTGACACTGCAACCAAACATACACATTATTAAGAAATTGTTATGTTTTAGGTGAATTTTGAAGTAATTTACCCGATTATCCATGCAAATAACACATTCAGCCTCTGCTGTACCAACATTCGCGACCGGAGCACTTGCAGTTTCGTCCAAATCCTCTCTACTGGCCGGAGCACTAGGTTCCTCTTGCAATTTCTTCAAATCACGCTGTCTATACTTATCGAAAGCATCTAATATTCTCTGTCGGTCAATACCATTAGTAATACCGACAGATTTTAATGTATCTTCATCAATGGCGGTTGAGTCGTCAATTTGTAGCTTTGCCAACAAAGGCAAGTAATGCAGCACGCCTTCCATCAGGAGCAACTCGACGAAATGAGCATTCACACTTTTTTGCATCTCTGCCAAACCTTCAGGCATTCTAACAATTCAAAACATAAAAACAATATTTTAGCCTTTAATTTCTCACTGAATATTTATTTACATACCGATCTAGTAAGGCTTGATACTGACGCATCCAAAACCCTTCATCTTTCTCTTGATTAATGCGTTCTAAATCATGTAGAGTCGACATTAATTCACCGCGTCGTGCATTTTGTTGATCTAACAATTCTAGAAGTACCATTGAGAGTTCAACACGTTGCTGAGCCAAATCATTCTAATAATTTGTATAAAAATTAATGAAAAAATGTAAATTTTCATATTTTTAGTTCAATTTCTCACCAAATTTTGATCAAGTTGTAATTTACGCCTGTCTAATTCAATGTGTGTGAGAGCAGCAAGTTGTCCTTCGACAAGTAACACTTGCTGCACCAAACTCCACGAACGCACATCGCTTTTCTCCAATAACGCAGCCACAGCGATTTTTTGTAAATCTTCATCTTGTTGGATTGTCACAGCGAGTTGTTTACCGCGATCGTCGATTGTTTGCAGGATTTCTTGTACGTGTGCATTTGATTCAATTTCCCTGCATAGGAAACAGAATTGGTATGAAAATTAACACAAAAAAAGAGAAAAAACAATTTTGATAGTCGTGGCCAATACACAAGCGACATCTAGTGAGTAATAAGTATACTAACTGGTTTAATATCGTCTGAGTTGTTTCAATCCGTGACTGATCCATTTGTGTAAACTTATTCGCTTCATTCTCGAGTATCTGTTGCATTTCTAACAAGATCTGCGCATTTTTCACTTCTTTGTGTTCGTTTGCAGCGCGTAATAGTTCTTCATGTTCCTGCATTTCCAACTCAAAGAGTTTTATCGGCGGTTTTGTGTTGAATTGCAGCAATTGCTGAATTGCGTGACTAGCAGCATACTCAGCTGTAATATTAATATATTTTACACGAAATACTAATGTAAATTAAACAAAAACTTACTTTCTTTGAGTTGTTCTATAAGTTTGAATCTTTCCGCGTCTTTGACTTGTTGTATCTTATCCAGTGAGAGATTTACTTGTTCTTGTTGATACGACAGCTCTGCCAATAACTTATCTTTGTTGATTCGTTTATTACTAGCGAATTCAATCTCTTGCCGTTTGATTTCGTCCCATTCACGCTCAATAGCCAAGAAATCTTTCTGTTTTTGTTCCTATAACACAACACATGGATAAATGACACTAAATTAGTTTAAAATTGACAGTTAGACACGTTTACACTAGGATGTGGCTGAGTAAAGAGTAATAACATGCCTTTATCTTTTCTAGATCCCAAAATTTTGCCTGAAAATAAACAAAACGTTAGTCAAAAAATAAAAACTAAGCGGCTAGCGATTCAAATTCACAGCATTTACGACCCTAACCAATCAGCGTCGAGCAGACGGCCATCATGAAACACGTGATCGCCGGCGACCAAGCACAACTAACCGTAACGAAGCCATTTTGAATTTTAACGTTACAACGTGAAAATGATGTGAAAATCGTGAAAATGAACGAGATATTTACAAAACAACTTGAACTAACCTCAATATTAGTAGTGTAAGACGCATGGTACGGTTCATTTCCATTCTTTGGTGTATCTGTGACATCACAAGCAACATCTCCTCTATTTTCATAGCAATTGCAATCAACGCTATGACAAATAAACTTCAAGATTTCTTCACAACCTTGTTCGGTAACTTCTCGCGGCGGGTAAGTGACAACATCACTATCCACTTGAATATCACACAGTCTATGTGCTTTGTGCAGACTTCTAGGAAGTCGCGTCAACTTTGGATTGTTTCTTACAAGCAAAACTTTGAGGTTAAATAACATTCCTAAATCTTCAGGCAATTCATGCAGGTGATTATTATTGACATTGAGTAACTCCAGGTGACCTAATGTGCATATTGTAAAAGGCAGCTTTTTCAATTGATTTCCTTCAAGATGAAGTTCCTGCAATAGCAAATTTTAAAGGTTAAATATTGAGGTTATGTTGTAATGCACACCTTAAGGCTGTGTAATAATTGTATATCGAATGGCAAAACGGTAAAGAAATTGTTGCTTAAGTTAAGCACAACAATGGTGTTCAAATCAGCTAATTTGCCGCCCCCTGAGAGGGATTGCAGTTGATTGCTTGACACATCAAGCACTTCTTTCCTGAAGACTTTGCACAGCGCGTAAATCCCCGCCGGGACCTGGGTGATATCACATGCTGAGAGGTCAAAGATTGGTTCTGGTGTCTCTTTTGCCTGCAAAATTACATTATTTCACAATATTTCAATCATCAATTGCGTTTTGGCTTACCAAATATAATTTGTGTTCGAATAACGTCTTGTTTTCCTTTTTATTTCGTCGAAAAAACGAACTAAACATTGCTATATCGTGCAGAATGCTGGCTTGTGTCGCATTATAGCGAAATGAAGGCACAAACCCACAAATTGCTGTGTTTTCTTGTCGGTTTGCTTATTTAATCAAACATGGGCGTTTGGAAGCCTTGAAATGTTGACATCCTGTCCGTGTGCTGAAAATTCAATGCTGCAAATGTAAGTTTCGTGCGGGATTGTTGTAAAATCGGTTGTTTAAACGTGCGAGAATTGATTTTCAGGCTTTGTTTGTACTTTGCATTGTTCAATTGTTTGATCACGCAGATCGGGGCATGGGGGTTGATCGTTGATGTTCGCTAGTGTCAAAATCAGCTGTTTGCAATGCAGATATAAAGCTAGTTAAACACTTTTAGAAAATATTAACAAAAAATGTTTTTTTGTTAAAAATATGAAGAATATCTTTGATATAAGGTTAAATTTTAGAAAAATTTAGGTTTTATTGTGGGATTTACAGGTTTCTGTACGGCAATGAAACAATTTGTTGATTTTGCACGTTGAATGATTCACAAGTATCAAATTTCAAGTGCTAATAAATAAATTGCGCTAAACAATTGGATAATCATCTATTATTATCATTATCTAGTTACATTTGATCATTTATTATTGCTGTGATAAAGATTAGATAATATTTTATTCATTTTAATGTTTTCAATGGAATTATTAACTAAAATCATTGAAAATTGATGATTCACGATAAAATTTTAAAGTTTAAATATTTTAAAATTAATTTTTTGATGTTTAAACATTTTATTTGCTTTAAAAATGACTTTACATTAATTTTTACACAAATATGAAACTAGCTTTACATTGTGCAACATTCATAACGTAGGCAACCCAAACAACACCTCGCCAAGCCCACAATTTCTGTACTTTACAATTCCATGTTTCAACTCTCATTTTTTTACTTTCATCACAAAAATATCACACACATCATAGTTATTATGATAATAAGATATCTTATCATACAATAAACGTTTGTAAATCTATACAAATCGTACGTGCCTATTGTATTACATGCATCAATCCCCATATCCAGCTCAAAAATAAACAAACATCGCAAATCGGTAGACAACTCGGGTAAAAACCGATTTATAAATTCCATGAACCATAGGGATTTAAGGTGGAGGTGGCAGCTGATGCAACTACACACATAAATAGCGTCAAGTTTTACTGTACTCGCACAGTAACATTGTGTTTCCAGCCGAGATCATTGCCCTGCGCTTGTTTTATCAACCTACAAATTGTGTGATTTGTAAATCAGTGAATTTCTGCCGCAAAACATAATCAACGGTGAGTTTTATTCATAGAATTAGTTTAGAATAATAATACCCAGTACTACATCAAACATTTATTGGTTTTCATTTGGTTTTCGTGTGTGGAATTTACATTTTACACACTTTTGCACACTTTACACCAATTGGTAGCTACAAAAATATTCGTGGTTATGTCAATGTTATAGTCGTGTTACAAACGGACATTAGAAAATATATAAATGTACACAACACGCATGGAATTAACATTTTTCAATGTTAATACATATCTAACTATAACTACGTTTATCATGTATTATTGCTGTGATAAAGATTAGATAATATTTCATTAATTTTAATGTTTTTAATGGAATTATTAACTAAAAACATTGAAAATTGATGATTCACGATAAAATTTTAAGTTTAAATATTTAAAAATTTATTTTTTGATGTTTAAACATTTTTTTATGCTTTAAAAATGATTTTACATTAATTTTTACACAAATATGAAACTAGCTTTACATTGTGCAAAATTCATAACATAGGCAACCCAAACAACACATTGCCAAGCCCACAAATTCTGTACTTTACAATTCCATCTTTCAACTCTCATTTTTTTTACTTTCATCACAAAAATATCACACACATCATAGTTATTATGATAATAAGATATCTTATCACACAATAAACGCTTGTAAATGTACACAAATCGTACGTGCCGATTGTATTACATGTATCAATCCCCATATCCATCTCAAAAATAAACAAACAGCGCAAATCGGTAGACAACTCGGGTAAAAACCGATTTATAAATTCCATGAACCGTAGGGATTTAAGGTGGAGGTGGCAGCTGATGCAACCATACACATAAATAGCGTCAAGTTTTGCTGTACTCGCACAGTAACATTGTGTTTCCAGCCGAGATCATTACCCTGCGCTTGTTTTATCAACCTACAAATTGTGTGATTTGTAAATCAGTGAATTTCTGACGGAAATCAGAATCAACGGTGAGTTTTATCGATAGAATTAGTTTATATTAATAATACCCAGGACTACATCAAACATTTATTGGTTTTCATTGGGTTTTCGTGTGTGAATTTACATTTTACACACTTTTGCACACTTTACACCAATTGGTAGCTACAAAAATATTCGTGGTTATGTCAATGTTATATTCGTGTTACAAACGGACATTAGAAAATATATAAATGTACACAACACGCACGGAATTAACATTTTTCAATGTTAATACATATCTAACTATAACTACGTTTTATCATCTTTAAATTATGCTTGATTTACTTGATAGGGCGGCCAAATGATTAATTTTCATGTATTTATGCTTAAAACATGAATATTTCATAAAATATTTTTCATAAATTAATTTCTCAATGAATAGTTTATATTTTTGAATGTTTGGCCTGCCCTATGATATTTATAAACATTTTATCGCATATATTCACGCTGTTAATGATTAGATAACTTAAATTATTTAATATTTACGCGATTTTATAAGCTGTGTGTAGTGTAATTGTGAAAAAAATTAATTTTGATTAAAAATTAATACAGGTAAGATAAAATTAGTGCATGTGTCTAATAAAATTATTAAAATATAAACGTAAGTAACATAATAATAATACATAAATACTAATTTAATATAATATTAATTTTGTAAATGTAACTTGTGTTGCCTAACATTAATTGTGTTGTTTTGTAGTGTGTTACTCTTCATTTGTGATTGTTTCCTTCTCGTTTTCCTGGTTTTCATCAGCGCGTTGCAGAGAGAACCGCCTCCGGAGGCGGTATTCAGTAGGTGTAAGCATACCTCTTAAAATTGTGTCCAATGACACGTTGAGTCCACTTTTTGTCATTCTACAATACGTCTCCCAGCATTTTCGCTCTTTTACTGTTTCTGTCTGTGCGCCATCTTGATTTTCTTTATCTTGATCGCCATTGGTTGTCATCTGCGTGTTTTGATCTTCTGCACACACTGTAGATGGCGTGGTTGTAGGTTTTTCTTGTATCCTTAAAAATAATTACAAAATTTAAAGAAAATAAAAGTTTCAAGTTTGAGTTTTGATGAAAAAGTGAAAAGTGAAGCATTTTGTTAATTAACCACTTGCCAGCTGATAACGCGGCACGCGACGTTCGCGCACCACAACCTTGACAGCTAACAAGGTGTTCGGTGTGTGGCGTACTCCGACCACTCGAGCAGCGCACACTTTCGGTGAAAGTGTAATTCACGCGAAAAATGCCTACATTTAACAAATTGATACAAACTTGACTATGCGAGAAGTAAATTGGAAAACTTTTGCCCTTTCGAAAATTTCGGGCTTGTTTCGGCCGGGGGTGGTGCTTTGCGAATGATGTAACTTTCGGCATGAATTTAGGCCAAGTGGTTGTGGATGTCGTTACGACCTAGGCCAATGCCTAGGCCCCGAGACGTCACCGACTTGTCCGGGGGCATCATTCACTCTCCAGCGCACAATATAAAAAAATAAGCACACGAAAGAAAGTCGCGATTGCGGTAGGTATTGTGTTGTCTCCCTAATCGATTCTACATTGTGCTCGCAATCCTCACATGTCGTAAAAGGCAACATTATTTTGTTTCGTCCTTCGTTTGTTTGCGTTTCATTGTCTGTAGGGATATTATTATGGGTGTAAACTAGCGCCATTAGTGGATATTAATTGTTAGATTTATATTTCTCTTTTTTGGTTTTTTTTATTTAGGGGTGAAATTTATGAGATTAGGTCTGAGTTATTGATTTCGTTTGATTTTGATTTTGATTGTAATCTTGCCTTTGGTAATTGATTGACGGGGGCGAAGGGCATTGTACCAATCGGCGATGTCAAATCATGTTTTATTACGATCGCAAGCATAATATATTAAATTGTATACAGGGTGTTTTCAGAAAAAATAATAAAAAATACTAAAAAAAATTAGCAAATTTTTTTTATAAAAATTATTGTATCTCTGAAACTATAATAGATAGATAAGGGATGCTTTTATGAAAATATAGATATAAAAGAGAACTATTAGTAGGAGTTTATTTGGTTAAGATTAAATTAGTAGTTTTTGATTAATTAATGAAAATGTAAAAAATTTACTGAAAAAGTTGACTGAAATTGTGACCAGAAAGTGACTTGATTTTAAGTAGTTATAACTCAGTAAATTAAAATGCCAGGAAATTTCTGAAAACATGATTATAACGAGAATTTAATGAAGATTAAACGTATCAAAAGCAAACTTTGATACGACTTGTGGTTTTCCGGTAATTGTCTTTAAAGTAGACTGTTGCAATTTACTATTTTTAAAGTTTATCCAAGTTTCAAACCATGATTACTCCAAAAGTAATAGCGATATCTACATAATTTTCTTTCTCAGTTATAGATCAAGATGTCTACTATCGGATAGTTAATAATTTTTTCAAATTATTTTAAATATTTAGAAGAAAAATGCAGAAAACTAAAAATTTCAGATAAAAATCCCAATATTTTAGTTTTTTTTGTTTATAAATAGAAGTATAACACCCTGTACATAATTTAGATTAGATTATTCCTATTATATTCGCAATATGTAATTTATTGCCGTATTTTTTAGCCAATAAACATAATAGATGTTAATCGATTTATATCCTTTTGCTAGCGCTGACGTCATCAATCATCGGTATTAGGCGCAAGTGATATGAATTCAGAATTTAATACCGGTATTTTTTATTATTCAAAACATAGGTATACCGGTATTTATAACTTAAGTTTTTGTTGTTTTAAAAAAAATACCGGTATTTGAAGAAAAAAAACCGGTATACCGATATTGATACCGATATTTTTCAAATATCAGAATTTGAAATACTTTTAAATATCGATATTTGCACTATTTAAAAAAAAATACCGGTATTAATACCGGTATATCGGTTTTCATTTCTCAAAACCGGTTTTATTTTACTTACTGATTTTTTTCCTCATTAGCATTCTCATGCTGCAAAAGCCTTCGTTTCGCCTCCGCCAGTCCTTCATCCGGCTGCGCACGCTTCTCCAAACTTTTCTGCAACTTCTTCGCCGCGCTGTCCAACAGTAAATTAGCACCAACAGAACCGCGCCGCGCCGGAAAACTCGCCGAAAAACTGCGCACGGCGTGAATACTCGAGTGCTGAAAAGAAACTAAACGTTTCCATGTATGAGTCACATGATTGATTGATTGATTGACGTTGATTAATTTCACACCTTTAGAAATTCGGCGCTGAAATTTCGGCATTATTACCTAGTACACCTGCACACACATTTCGACACGAATCGTGATTAATTTCAATGTCGGCTCACCTTGCTTGACAGTTTTCCGAAGCGAAAAGTGTTTGTTCTCGCAACACGCCTGCTTCTTCGGCGAATGCGGTGAGTGCTTCAACAAATCCGCTTTTCTTTCACTTTCCTGCGCATCCAGCTCTTCATCAGCTTCACTCTCCGAAGGACTAACAAGGGAAACCATTGTAACCACATCCGAAGACTTTTTATCATCATCCACATCTTTATTGTTAGTATTTGGTTGTTTTGCACGTTTGGCGACTTTAATTTTCCGTCTGAGACGAGTTTTAACTTGAATATCAGGTTTATTTGACGTGGGTAAGGAAGATGCGCGTACTAATGGCGGCCGAAAGTGTTTGACTGGTTGCATAGGTGATGCACAGCCGGGATTTATCGATGTGAACGCGGAATTTGTACGTTTTTGAAACATTGCGCGTTTCTGCGCTGCACTGGAAGCTGTCTGTGGTCTAGGAGGACTTTTTTCTAATGTTGATTCTTGTGTGGGTAAATTACGCCGAGTTTTAATTATATCCTGATTGGATTTAGTTCTTTCAATAATCGGTACGACAACAACCGCTTGTGAAATTGTTTCTGAATCACTACCAACCGGTGATGAAATCTTACTTTTACGTAAATGTTTCTGAAAAATCTGCTTTAAATTCGAAGTATTACTTTGGTCATCCGTTTGGAGTAAGAGTGGTTGCATAAGTTTGGGTTCTTGTCTCGGTGTGTAGTTGTAATCATCGCCGCTTTGCTCCGCTTGAAAATTATGCGCGAGGAAAATATTCAGTTTGTTTTTGGTGTTTTCGCGTTCCTGCCACGCGATGTGTAATTTCTGCGCGAGGTCTTTGCGTGAATACAACGCTGTATCATTATTGTTGTTATTCTCAAGTGTGGATTGATGTGAATGTCTACGAAATGGTTGCGGTTGTGATTCGTTGTCACCCCAGGCGACTTTAATCGAATGTTTTGGATTTCGATGCGCTGCTTTTGCGCTCAGCGAGATGCGAATTCCCGCCTCGTCATTGGTCAGTTCTTCGGAGTGTTGCTTTTTTAAACTTGCGCGTCGCGTGGATGCTGATTGCGGTGGCGTGTCGCATTGTAGTGAGAATTGACGAATTGCGCTCAATTTGCGTGGCATTGCGAGTGGGTTTTAGGAACTTTTTTTACTTTGGAATTTTTTGCTGGTGCGCGCACTCACGACGCGCCCGAACACGACTGGCACAAAGTTTGATGTGCTTTGATACTTGAGGGGCGCGTAAACAGCAAATCGCGAATGAACCACCCTTCGCGACCGAATAACAAACGCGCCCGCCGCCGGCGTTTACTCATTTATTATCGACCGTGCGGGCGGCGCGCCGAAAACTTTCGCTTCTTGCGATTACATTTACAGTGTGTGTGTGTGTTGGGTTGCTGCGAGCGTTAATCATTCGCACGTCATGCGAAGCGAGCATGTGTGCGATCGTTGATCCCACAGCCCACAGCTTATTTCCGATATCGGTAAACAATTTTTGTTTTTTCGCCCTTATTCACGCTGGTGTCGTTCGGGGGTGATTAATTTGGTGTCAAATTCAAGAATATTTAATTACAAAACAGATTTCATATTAAAATATTTTTAAAAAATGTGAATTTTTTACTATTTCAATCATATTTTCTGTTATTATTATTTAATTTTTATGAATTTGGTATCAAATTGAAGGGAATTTTAATGCGCATAATTTGATACCAAATTTATCCTTCAGAAATGTTTAGTTTTTGAGTTATGTTGCTTTTTGTGATTATGATTTGTGAAATTGGTTGCATACATAACAAAACTTATATGTTTGCAATTTTATTCATATTTTCTGTTATAATTCTCACATTTTTATGAATTTGATATCAAATTAAAGAGAATTTTATCACCTTAATATTCATCGGAAATGTGTCCGTAAAAAAATGTTTTTCTGTCAATATTTACGTGATCTTGTTTTGTCAGTTGGTTGCATACATAACATGGCATGAACCACCCTTCGCGACCGAATAACAAACGCGCCCGCCGCCGGCGTTTACTCATTTATTATCGACCGTGCGGGCGGCGCGCCGAAAACTTTCGCTTCTTGCGATTACATTTACAGTGTGTGTGTGTGTGTGTGTGTGTGTGTTGGGTTGCTGCGAGCGTTAATCATTCGCACGTCATGCGAAGCGAGCATGTGTGCGATCGTTGATCCCACAGCCCACAGCTTATTTCCGATATCGGTAAACAATTTTTGTTTTTTCGCCCTTATTCACGCTGGTGTCGTTCGGGGGTGATTAATTTGGTGTCAAATTCAAGAATATTTAATTGCGAAACAAATTTCATATTAAAATGTGTTAAAAAACGTGATTTTTTTACTATTTTAATCATATTTTCTGTTATTATTATTTTATTTTTATTAATTTGGTATCAAATTGAAGGGAATTTTAATGCGCATAATTTGATACCAAATTTATATTTCAGAAATGTTTAGTTTTTGAGTTATGTTGGTTTTTGTGATTATGATTTGTGAAATTGGTTGCATACATAACAAAACTTATATGTTTGCAATTTTATTCATATTTTCTGTTATAATTATCACATTTTTATGAATTTGATATCAAATTAAAGCGAATTTTATCACCTTAATATTCATCGCAAATTTGTCCGTAAAAAAATGTTTTTCTGTCAATATTTTCGTGATTTTGTTTTGTCAAGTTGGTTGCATACATAACATGGCATTTGTATGTTGCTTGCACAGAATTGAATCATGAGTGGAGAAAACGCAAATGGCGGCGGTGAGAAAACGGACAAACGTCGTTATAATTACATGGAGAATGTACTACAACACATTATCCAGAAGATATCAGTCAATGAAGCAGAGAGGAAACGAAACAACCAAATTCTCAATTCGGTAAATATAAAAATACTCCATCTTTATGAAAATAAAAATTGAAAAATAACAAGAAATTCATTTCTAGGCGATTGAAATCATGCTGGCAAAGATGCGTGACACATCTCCTCTTTTTGGAAAACTATACACGCGTATATTTTACGGTGGCAGTTACTACGATAATTTGAAAACCGGCAAACCGGACGAGTACGACATTGATTTATTAATGATGCTTTCCAAGAAGCAAATGTTCACACTCAAACCAATCGAAACCGCGCCTGGTTTCGTCACATTGCAAATGGCGGACAAGAATGACTCAACGTAGGTTATCATTTAATTAATTAATTTAAAATTTATATTAATTAATGTATTTTTTATAAATAGTGAATTCGCTGAGTTATTCGACGGTGAATTTCTCTGCACGGACAAAGTTTTGAAGTGGATGGAAAGTTTGGTGTCCAAAACTTTATCCAATTTACCAACCAGTGGCAGTCAAAACATCCTACGCATTCAAGACACTGATTTTTTCGTAAGTTTTCACTAATAACCAAACCTAACCTAAAATAAATCTAAAACTTATTTTTATTCTAGATTAAAATCACCAAGTCCGGCCCTGCGTTCACAATCAGATTAAACGGTCAATTGGGTGATACCCATATGAATTTCGATGTTGATCTCGTCCCGTGTTTCATATTCAACGCTGCGATGTGGCCAAAAGGCAAATTTCGCACGAATCCAGTCCAAGATAAGGTTAGAATCCAATATAACCTACAATAGTGTAAATTAAAGGTTATAACCTTAAAATTTCCAGACTGATTTCTTCATCGTACCAAAACAACCCCGTGGTAAACTGGACTGCAAGATGAACCACTGCTGGCGGCTGTCATTTCAAGAACAAGAACGTCAATTGATCCGCAGCTGTCGCGTGCTTAAACCATGCGTGAAACTGATGAAGAAACTCCGTGATCACATGAACCACAAAGCAATCAGCAGCTATTTCATTAAAACCATGTTCATCTGGCAGATTGAGAACGCAGGCAAGACGTTCTTCGATAATAGCTTAAGCTATGTCTTTGTTGAGATGTTGCAAGTGTATGAGAAACATTTAGCCGAACGCAAGATTCAATATTATTGGAATACCGACAATAATCTGATCGGATCTCTTTCGGATATCATGCTAGATAACTATTGTAATCAGGTACGTCGCATTGTGAAGGATATTGTCACCAAAGAAGAGAATAATCCGTATTATGTCGGCAAGTTTTTCTTAAGTAAGTTTTTATTTTATTTAAAAACGTGTTTTACGTTTTTAAATGGTTAATAATTGTAGATAAGGAAGAAATGGAGCAGTTGAAAGTGGATGTACCTTTGCCAGTGCGTCCCACCGGCAAGGAAGTGAAAGAAAATGGCGGTAATGCAAATGGCGGCGCATCTTCTGATAAATCAAACGGATCCAATGCTTCCAACACGAAATGCAGCTGCTCAGCAGCTAATAACTTTGAATCCGCACTGGCGGATATTCGTAGGGAGGTTGCCGAAGCCCGTAGGGATCAGGAGGCGTTAAAAATGGATATTATGGATTTGTTGCAAGTGGTTGTCAAGCGATTGGACAATATCCAAGCTAAACTCGCTTGAATCTATACTGTATTTTGTTGTAAAAATAAACTATTCAAGAATTCACCAGATAAATCATGTTTTCATCGATTATTTAAGGTTATGTGTTGAGAAACAGTTATAAAGGTTATGTTTGCTTGCAGATTGATGCATCATGGCGAACATACTGGAGGAAACTCTCAAGGACATCAACAGAGAGAAGATTCAACTGAATCAGAACGAAATTGAACGAAACAATGCATTGTTGAAGCAAATGACGGAATATTTGATTACCGAATTGAAAAAGGATCCGTTTTTCAAATCCATCTACGAGCGTTTCTTCTTCGGTGGCAGTTACTATGATGGCCTCAAAGTGGGCAAGCCGAACGAGTTCGATATTGATTTGTTGTTTAAGCTGCCTTTGAATGCTTCTCCAACCATTCGCGTTGATGACAATTATCCTGGCTTTGTGCAAGTTCAACTACCGACTATTGATTTACTACGGACCAATCCAACTTCTGTCGATTATTCGTAAGCATTTTGTTCGATAGTTGTACTGCAACTCAAAGCAATCCATGCATAACCAACAAATGTGTGTTACAGTTCCATGCGCAAGTTGGTCAATGATGGGAATTATCTGTCGATTGATAGGATCATGAAATGGTTTCAAAGCCGCGTGGATATTGCCAAGAACGCGCTCGCAAATCGTGCGGATTTAGATTTTGCATTCTCAAGGACATCGGTGAAAAACAAGGGACCTGCGATCACGTTCACGATTCGCAACAATGCGACCTGCGATGAATTCGACGTCGACTTTGTGCCCTGTTTTAAGTTTTTCAATACGAAATGGCCGGCAAATTGCAAGCCATTTAGGCGTGAACTTGTTGATTCCAAGGATCAACTTACTCAAGAGGTAATTTTTGTGTTATGTTGGTTGCATAGGTTATAATTTACTTTTGGATTTAGTTTCTTGTTGTGCCAAAGCCAAAGGACGCCTACAGCACAACATACATGCGATTATCCTTCCAAGGTCAAGAACGTGTCTTGATTCATGACAAAGGCCATCTGAAGGCGGCCATTCGACTGCTCAAGGTTGGTTAAGCGGTCATCTTTGCTCATAAATAGCCTATATTTAATATAACCTATATTTTTTCAGTTGTATCGTGATAAGGAACACGATGAGAAGATTAAGAGCTACTATTTCAAGACGATGGCAATGTGGGCATTGGAGGATCCAACATTCCGATACAAAAACGCGACACTTAGTTCTATTTTCATGCAGGTGATCAAATTGGAGATGATGTATAGTGGGTTGCATACCTAACCTGTTTGATTTTCTTTCTTTGCAGCTGCTGGAAAGATACATTAATGTTGTGGGAAAGAAAAAACTTCAGTACTATTGGAATCCCAGTTTCAACTTGTTCCAAGAGAGCGATGCGACTTTCTTAAGGGATTTACACAACCGCCTCTTGTATTTTCAGAAAGATTTAAAGTCTGATAACGCCGATAAGATTAAAAAACACTTTGGTTGTGATGTTGATGTAGGCGGTTTGGGCGGACTGCTTAAAGGATTGGGGATTAAGGATGATTCGGGTGCATGTAAGTTATACCAAGCAGTTAGAATTGCAGTTAACGAATTGTTATTTTAGCGACATCTACTGACAATGACCAAGGAATCGGATCCACTGTTGGAGCCGTGGCGGGTGTGATTGGTGTCGGTGCAATCATAGGATTGGGCATATGGCGTGCATTGGCTCACAACAATAGGCAGCAAAATAATCAAAACTAGGTTATGTTGCGTGCATGATCATAAATATGTTTTAAATAAACGAACAGAAATCATGTGTGTCGTATTATTTTAGCTTTTAAGTAGCTGTAATTATTTGAAATACTATAGTTGAGGTTAGGTTATAATTGGTATTATAATGTGGTTTTCTTTGTTTGCAGATTATTGAAACATGGCGATGAGCAGACTGGAAGAAGCGCTGCAGGAGATCAACAGGGAAAAGATTCAGTTGAAGGATGAGGAAATCAAACGAAACAATCAACTACTGCATGAAATGATGGAATTCTTCATTGGAGAGTTCAAGAAAGATTCTTTCTTCAATTCCATTTATGAACGGTTTTTCTTTGGTGGCAGTTTCTACGATGGACTTAAAGTCGGTAAACCGAATGAATTCGATATTGATTTGGTGTTCACTTTGCCCACGGCCGCAAATGCAACTATTGCCACCCATGATGATCATCCAGGCTTTGTCCAAGTAAAGGTGGATCGAAATGTGGGAACACTTAATGATGGTACATTGTTACATATTAAAAACATCATGAAGTGGTTCCAAGGTTTGGTGGATACCGCCAAGAACGCGATGCGTTACCACAACCTCAACTTTTCGGTTGTAAAAACAACTGTCACAGTCGGCCCTGCAATTACCTTTACGATTGGTGACAAGCGATACGGAAAACAGTTCGATGTTGATTTTGTGCCTTGTTTTAAATTCCCCTCTTCGCAATGGCTGGGAAATTATGTAAGATTGACGGAAGGATCGGTTGATCCTAACGACCAGCTTACCAAAGAGGTACTGAACAATTTTCTTTTATTTTATTAAAGAACATACTAATGTAACTTTTGTCTGTTATTTAGTTTCTAGTCGTGCCAAAACCCAGAGACAACTATTGCCAGACACTTTTCCGATTGTCTTTCCAGGGACAAGAGCGCCTCTTGCTCGAAGGAAAAGGCCATGTGAAACCTGCAATTCGGTTACTTAAGGTAAATCTTCAAAAGAGCAAAATGGCCGACGGTGATTGATAAATATTTATTATTCCTGCAGCTCTATCGCGATCAGCATACTGATTCCCCCATCAAGAGTTACTACCTGAAGACGTTGGCACTTCATGCTTTGCAGGACTCCAGTTTTATTTACAAAGATGCGACTTTAAGTTCTGTCTTTGTGCAGGTAACATAACATTGCTGATATTTTGGTTGCCTACGTTGGCTAATTTATATTTGTGTGTGAAATATTTAGCTCTTGAAGAGGTTAATCGTAGTTGTGAGGAACCGACAACTGAAATATTTTTGGAAGCACGATTATAATTTATTGGAAACTATAAGTGGTTTATACTTGCAAAATTTGGCCAACCGCCTTGAGAAGGATCTGAGGGTGTTCGAGTCTGGAAACAAGGGTGAAGTCAAAAGGTTATTTGGTTAATAATCTGGTGGTAGTGGTATTACTAACGAAGTTAAAGGTAGTGGTGGTATTAGATTTGGTGGTTGGGCTTTTATTCACTAATTGGGTTATTTACTCGGGATATGGTTATATTGGGTTATATAGTTTACTATAATAAATATATCATGGTATAAAAGTATTGGCGGCCATTTTGGTACCTAATCCATCACAGCATCACTCCTCTACCAATTGCAGGCCGCGGTGATTGACAGCAAAGGTCAACCTTAGAGACATAATTGTTTCGAGTATTTTGTTAGTTTGGTTGCATACTTTACAATAAGTAATATGTAAAATGTCTCAGAGGTCCCGAAACAGTTAACAATACTCAAATATCCCCGATATTTCAATAATTTTTATTAAAATCATATAAATATATAAAGTTTATATTAAAATATAGTAAAAAAAGTATAAAATCAGCATGCATATGCAACTCAAAATACAATAGTGTCCGCCATTTTATATCACGACAAAGCCGAGAAGAGATTCACGCATTATTTACAAATGGCACAGCGATAGCTTCCGCCAATGCAACAAATTCCTCGCCCATGGCAATCGCGCATTTCGCCATCATGATCACATCACATTCAGCCTCATGACTCTGCATTATCGACTCTCCTGTCATTCTTTCGAAAACATCGCCCAGCTTAAAACTGGGCATCTTCTTCCCAAAATTCAGCTTCTTTTTAGCTCCCCTATGGATTTCTTTCTGCGTTGGCTGAGCATACAAATCATCATCACCATGCACATCATGCAATTTATCCTTCTTTGTCGGCGTTGTCTCGTTAACCTCTTTCACCATCAAACTTCTTTTGATAAACTCCGCATCCGAGTCGAGTTGGTCGAGTTTCGCACTGATAACATCATCCCAGTCATCATCTAACAGATCAATAGGCAGATTTTTAAGTTCCTCTTCTTTTTTTAACTGAATTTTCTCCACTTCCAGTTTGTGGTGATGTTTAAACAGTTGTAGAGTGTCAAGTGTAAAAAGATTCCGGAATGTATCAAGAAACTGCTTCTCTTTGAGATGATTCCGTAGAATGGGAAAGTCAAACTTGTAGCCGTTGTGTGCGACTAAACAAACTGGTTGTGGGACATGCTGAATGAAGTTTTCAAGCAATTCAATTGTTTTTTCATTGAAAACAGCTGCATTTTCTAATGTTTCATTAAACAAACCTGAAAAAAACATTAAAACTGTCAAGATAATTGATTAAAAAGACAAAGATGATATAAAAATGCAGGAAAAACTTGATATTTTGTTTGTTTTACACACAAAACCTGCATTTTTATTGAAAGAAAAATTATTTTGAATATATAAAGACCTGTTATCTGAGAAGCTGTCGGATGGATTGTTTTCCGTGGATTAAAACACAGTGTAAGTTTATTTATTGCTCTAGGAAGTCGATTAGATAATGTAGTGAGCAAGTGTTCGGTTTGTATAGCAATCAAACACAATTCGGTGATTTTCGACCAAGATTCCAATCCGGTCGTCTCGCAGTCCATAAAAATAAACGATCGAAAGCGACATGCCATTGTATATAAATAAATAAACACAGATAAATAAAAACAACACTCGAGTAAATCCAGTTAAAATAATATAAACAACTTTTCGAGTGCACTTTACTCTGAAAGCCGATATGTATACATAAAAAACTGGTTTCAGGCACAGGTTATGTTTACTTCATTCATTTCATCATATTACACAAAATTTGAAATAAATTAATTATTATAATGATTGATGTAAAGACACTGTTAAAATCCAGCATACAACGACAAACTGGTAAGTTTTATATGCAGTTTAATTCAAATCATTGCAATTCTATTGCTTTTCCAGAACAAAACAAGTCAACGAAGGATGAAAATCTTAATTTGGAGCAAGAACTTTATGAGAAGTACTTGGGTGATAATGGAGTGTCTTTAAAAGAAGAAATATTACCAATCCCGCGGTTTCATCATCGTTTACCGAAAGAAGATGAACCGTTGCGGCAGAAACTGCGTGAAGAAACACGCTCGAATTTTCTACAAAGAAGAAGTCGGCATTTGTTAGACAATGCTGAGTTAAAAAGTCTGTGGACTTTATTGGACAGGCATCAGACTGCGCCTGAAGAACAGCTGATTTCCTACAGTGATTTTAAGAAAGTTGTTGCATTAGCAGGTAGGAAATCAAAAATAAACAAAATGGCAGCCATGTGTTTAGAAAAATCTAGAACAACAAACATATTACATGTTTTCTCTTTGTGTTTAGGACCAAAAGTTCAGCATTACTTCACAGCGACTGTCTTTGCCAAACTTCAACAAGGTGATCCACAAGGCAAGGTGTCAATCATGTCGCTTTTCAATTATATCATGCGTAAAGTCTGGATGGAACAAACACGAATCGGTCTGTCACTCTACGACACATCCGGCCAAGGATATCTGCGTGAGGGTGATCTGGAAAGTTATATCACTGAATTAATCCCGACTCTACCGCAATTGGAAGGTTTGGAGAAGTCTTTTCATAGTTTTTACGTGTGTACCGCAGTCAGGAAGTTTTTATTCTTCTTGGACACGCTGCGCGCAGGACGAGTGCGCATTTTAGACGTGCTTGCTTGTTCGTTCCTCGATGATTTGCTTGAATTACGCGTGGAGGAGGCTAGTAAAGAGATACAGGAGCAGAATTGGTTCAGTGCACGTTCTGCGCTAAGAGTTTACGGTCATTATCTGAATTTAGACCGAGATCACAATGGTTTGTTGAATATTAATGAATTGGCGGGTTATGGCACTGGGACTTTGACGCAGCCGTTTCTGGAAAGAGTTTTTCAAACTTGTTTGACTTATAATGGTGAAATGGATTATAAAACTTATCTGGATGTTGTGCTGGCTTTGGAAAACAGGTCTGAGCCTCAGGCGCTTGCGTATTTGTTTCGAATTTTAGATCTGAATAATCAATCGTATTTGAACGCGTTTTCATTGAATTACTTTTTTCGCGCTATAGAAGACCAGTTGAAGCAGCAGGGCGCCGAGCCGGTGAGGTTTGAGGATTTTAAGGATGAATTGTTTGATATGGTCAAGCCGAAGGATCCTTTAAAAATCACTTTGAATGATATTTTGAGTTGTGGGAAAGGTGAAACGTTTGTCAGTATTTTAATTGAGTTTCAAGCGTTTTGGAGCTACGAGAGTCGTGAATCTGTTTCTTCAGACCCTTCACAAGACTGAATATATTGATGAGTTCATGTTTTATACTCGAATTGTTTTAATATAATTATTTAAACTGAAAAACTTTGAACACAACAAAATGTTTATGTTTTCAACGAATATTTAAGATATTTTATGTTTTGCATTAGTTTATTATAGGTAGGACTTAAAAACCATATTCCCTGTTGATGTTTGGCATGTTTTATAATGTTTTATTCGTATCAATTTGTTTAAACAATGATAAATGTGTAATTAGGTCATTGTTGTGTATGACATATTGCCTATAGTAAAAGCACGGTTTTGTAGTCGGATTTACGCGAAGTGTTGACGATGTCGCACGAAGCAAGGGCGTTTTGACGCGTAGACTGTCAAGGCGCAAGCGCGGCTCTCATTTGCCGCATCGCATTTGTCCGCGACGACACTTTCGTGCTTCTTGTTTGAGAAATTTCAAAATCCACAATCATCCGCTCACAGACGGCTCAGTGCAGTTTGCCAATCTTTTTTTTATACGTATATATTTTGATTATCGTATGTCCATCCAGAATCTCAACACATTTGGTAAGTGGCCGTTCAGAAATCGGGAAATTCGCACAGGTCGACGCTGCGCTCCGGTGCGACGCCATCGGATTTCGTCAAAATGGCGTCGATTATGTTTATTTGCGTCTTGTTATCGAACACGGTTGAAGCGGCGATGTTTTCCTGGAAATCACCCACAAACCTGGGTTTTTCAGTTTTAATCAGGCTTCAAAACGTTCGATTGAAATTAGGACGCATATATTGATTTTTTTCGGAGTGCGCGGCCTCGACCTGCATTGCTAATTGATCTCGAGGTTGTGTCCGTTGAGCAATTGGAGCAAATTGATAATTTCGGCTTTTGTTTTGTGTTGTCCGCAGACCCCTTTGCTGACGCAAACAAGGGTTCAGAAGATGATGTTCAAGACGGATTAGTTCACATAAGAATCCAACAACGTAATGGTCGTAAGACCTTAACTACTGTACAGGGTCTTTCATCTGATTATGACCTGAAAAAAATAGTGAGGGCATGTAAAAAGGTACGTAATACACATATTCCGAGTAGATTTATTCATGCTGACAGTTACGATGAGTCAGCATGTTATGGTTATGGTTTGGCTGGAGGATGATTAATGAATGCGTTGTTTGTTTGCAGGAATTTGCGTGCAATGGTACTGTAATCGAACACTCCGAGTACGGCGAGGTGCTTCAGCTGCAGGGCGATCAACGCGAGAACATCTGCCAGTTCCTGACTAAGAGCGGTCTGGCGAAGCCGGACCAACTCAAAGTCCACGGTTTCTAATGCTACCGTTCGCGCACGATTCATCCGCTGTTTAGTTCCGCCGTCGATTGTCACACTCAAAATCTTAGTTATAGTCTAAACAATGATCAGCCAGCCCAGATGATAATATGTACCTGGGAGCATTCGATGTTTTCAGAGAGATGTACACCGGCCACACTGTTTCTTTTTAATTCCTTCAAGTCATCAAAAGCAATAGCAGAGCAATTATGCATCATACAACGGACGAAATCAAACTTTTATAACAACGACTCCATGCGCCAGCGTTGTTGGCGCACGGCGTCGCTTGACGCGACATGAATGCTTTCTTTGGTAATTGTGCCTTTTTCAAACATCAATCTCACAAATCGAACAAAGCGGCGGCAATTGCAACCACCGAATCAATCATGTTTTGTTTCTAATCAGTAAAATCAACCATCCGCCAATCTTGTTTTGGGTTGCGCGCGGATGCGACTATATTAATGAATTATTTTTGATTGTTTTCTCTACTTTTGTTGTGTTTGTACATCAGGTTTAAGTTCGACCCACTCACTTAGCGATGCAGTGCAGGCGTAACGAGTAATTGTTGAAAACGGATTTTATGCTTGTTTGTTGAGCGACAGTATTTAGTTGAACGAAACACGAAACCACCATCTTGAAACGAAATAAAAAGAAAATACCAATTGAAATCTGTGAGGGAAATTGATGATAATTGTAGCGCTAACACCTTCCCAGCTTATTATTTCAATTGTATTTCTTTAATGGTGTGAAATATTGACGAAACACGCCCACGCATTGAGCGGCGGCGTCGGCGCGCCGCCCCCGCGCCTCTACTGGCGGCGCACACGCGGATCAGCTGTGGCGCCTCGCCAGTGTGTACATCCGGACTCAACAGGTCGGCATGGTGAGTGGCGGGCAGCCGCTGCGACCGCCTCTGCACACGCACCGCCGCCGATGCCGCTCCGGAGAGGCCGCGCCGTCGCCGGCGCCGCGGCCGTCGATCCGCTCAACGCGTGCTTGGACGCGAACGGCACCTACGTCTGCACCGCGTACAATCCGCGCTGCTACATCATCCAGAAGGTGAGTGGCTTACACTTGCTGCTCCCATCGTGCCCATATGGTGCTGGAAAACACAACTATGTCGCAATAATCGCAACAAAACACAAACTACCATCGAAATACAGAAATAATAAATCATTTCATCAACGCTGAAAGAAATGTCATCATATTCAAGTGGTTATCGTGAGGGTTGTGTGTTTAATTCGCAAAACCCACACACGTTTCGGCTCCATGTTGGATCGATACGGCAATGTTTTGCGCGCAACACGTGGGTCGTTATTCCCCGGCGGCGGCGATTTGCACGCACACTTCCTGCTTTTGTTCATCTTGCATCATGTTTTTTTGTAAATATTAACGTGTTTATGTTTAGTGCATGCTAATTTTAAGCCGGTGCCATTTTGTATTTAGTTTCGGAAGAGTTTTGAATGTTTGTAATGTTAGCATATTGTATCTGGTGCAGTTTATCGGTTATTTTCGATGCGACTGATAACGTCGGCACTCTCTCCTCAGCTTCCTGCTGCATGTGCGGCGCGCAACGTTCGGTTTTCGGCGATATTCGCTCGGCTGTGGTGGGTACTTGGCGCCCGTCCACGCGGCAGGCGGCATTACACCGTGGACCGCGCTATCAATCGCCGCGCACACTGATAGCGCGCACCATTGTTTTGGCCGCACAGCGGGCTGCTGCTGGTTTAACTTTAATTTGCGTGTGATATCAGTTTTAGTGTGCGCGATTCGCTCAAACGCGCTTATCGATAGCCGGCTGGCACCCCAAATCAATTGTATTCGGCTATGATTTCTGATAAACGATAGTGCGGGAGTTGAGATTACCGAAACGCAAAGGAATACGTGTTACATGATGCGTTGGGTATGTAAACAAGTGAATTAATGTGTACAAGTGAATTTGTTTGATTTTTATGTTTTCAAAAGTTACGAACTTGTTTTTTTTTTTTTTCATTTGCGTATACATAACGTTTGCACCTGGCGCGTTTGAGTGCTTGACTGATTACATGTGAATAGATTATCGCACATTTCCTGGATTTTGCATAGTTTATGATGCTTAAAGCACGTCGTTTTTATATTAATTTTACGATTACTTATTGTTGTGAAAGTACAATGTGCGGTTTTTGTGTTGGTTGGGTTGCCTAACATTACAAAACACCAATTATAAACTTACAACATTCTTTATATATTAATTACAAAACACAATTATTGTTATTATCAAAAATTTTAGTTATCTCGTTGTTGTTAATTAATAACTGTGTTTGATACATTCAATTATGCGAAATATCTGGGTAATAAAAATGGTGTTTGAGTGGTTGCCTAGCTCAAGTCATTACATTGCAAAATATACACCAGTTGAATAACCAAACCGACGTAAAAATAGTGCAATGCAGATAATTCGAGTGTTTTCCGTAATATTCTAGGTACAATCGGGTCCGTGTGGCACGCCGGCTCTCAATCCGAATGCGGACGAATTCGAAATCAAGACGAACATGCTAGAAGTGGACGCATTGGGCCACGCGCACCAGATGCAACCGTTCGACAATCGCCACGCAGATATTTGCATCGCCGTCGACGGTGAGTAACGAATTCTTCTTGTTTTCGTGCTAGTTTCTACAATATTTGCCATCGGCTGTCATCGGCGATAGGCAACCAGTAATGCCGGAAGTTTGAATTGTGTGTGATGAGCAAGTCTATCAGCGTATTATTGAGATAATAGTGATAATTGTTTAGATTATTTGTCGATTGTGTGGCAACCCATGTGACGTTCGCAGCAGGCATTGTGTTTGAAAGTTTTTGGCTAGATATCGTGGATTGCAAGTGGCGCAAACAGGAAGTGTCCGCGGTTTTTCCTGCATGCGCGAAACGGTGTCGGATTGTTGCGGTTTGAATTTCCCTCTTCGCGCGCGGCGCGTTCGCGAGTAGGGCACACGCGGCGCTGGCGTCGCCCGAATGGTGCGCTCTCCGTCTCACACGCGCACGTCCGCGGCTATCTGTGGCATGTGCCCTGCGACGGCCATTTTGCAAGTATCCGTGTGAATTGTGCCTGCGTTTTGCGAAGTAATCCAAGCGGTAAGCACCATCCATAATTCTCATCTCGGCGCGGCGTCCGGCGCGACCCCCGGCTGACCAGTGTCCTCTGTGCGTGCGGCGGCGTGTGCGTGTGCAGAGAGTGCGAACGGGCCCGTGCTGGCCGTGTGGTGTGTGTGGTGCGCCGAGTGTCTGTGTGGTACACCCGCGCTCCGCTTGCGGGATAAACATCTGCCTGCGTAATCTCGGCGCGGCTCGCGATTGCGATCGGACGCAGCGTCCCGCTGAAGAGGCCGAGGCACGCGCACACACAGGCGCGCACGCCACCAGCAGCCGAGCGTCGCGCGCGGAGGTGGCACATGGTTTCCGGGTTGCTCGAATCATTTTTGTTTACGTAATTTGCGCCGCCGCCTACGATTGTCATTTCGGTCGTGTGCTCCCCCTGCGGCCGCCACTCGTTGTCCGCTGAAGAAGTGCGTGCGTGCGTGCGTACAGCTGAACGCGCGCCTCCTCGCGACATTTCTATATTTGTCCTCATTCTGGCCACACCATCGCATCGCTCAGACACCGCTCGATTCTAACCTATTGTCGAGAGGGCCGCACGCAATAAATGCGCGAGCGTGTCGTTGTGGCATTCCCGGGTTTGCCGACCGCTCAATGACCACCCAGTTCGAAACAATTCCCAAGCTGCAGCCAGGTAACGCCAGTTTACATAATACTTAAAACTGATGTGCTCAAAAGCCTCCACTGACCTATCTCCATCGTGTTGATTTGAGCGAGCATGACTCATGTGCGCCCAGCGCAGCAGTTGCTAGCACAACTGGGAAACACACATTACATTTGACCTTGCGATTGAAATTGTTATATATTTTCACTCCCGACAACAACAATGCATGCATGCCACACACACACACACACACACAGCAACAACAGTAGCAGCAATCACACATCGTCATCCACGCTGACCACTGGTTTTGTTTTCCGTCTGTTGTAGGCTACGTGTACATGAATGGGGATGTCGGGAAACTGCCTTCGGGGGCGGTGTTCAGCACCACCCCTGATAGCACGGGAATCGTGGCGGCGACATCCGAGTACCTGGTCAACGGGGTAGCGGAGGGAGCTGAGGGCCAGAGTCCGGTCCCTCCCTCAGCTCCCGCCGACAGCGGGCCAGCCTATCCCTTGCCACAACTCAAACAGATGCTCTCCCAACAATTGGAATACTATTTCTCGCGGTAAGGTAAAATGTTGTTTGTTTTTCGCATGTTTCTCATTTGCGTTGTGTTGTTGTCTGCAGGGAAAACTTGGCAAATGATACGTACTTACTGTCGCAAATGGACAATGATCAGTATGTACCGATTTGGACAGTGGCCAATTTTAATCAGGTGAAGAAGCTAACCAAAGACTTAAAACTTATAACCGAAGTGCTACGTGAATCGCCCAACGTGCAAGTCGACGAGGAGGGCGTCAAAGTGCGCCCGAACCACAAACGATGTATAGTTATATTACGCGAGATACCAGATAATACTCCCATTGAAGATGTGAAGGTATTTATATTTGTATTTGTATATGCTGTGTTTGTTTATGTTGTAACATTGTGTGTTATTCTAGAATCTATTCGCCGGGGAAAAATGTCCACGCTTTATTTCATGCGAATTTGCGCACAACAGCTCGTGGTATGTGACGTTCGAGTCGGACGACGACGCGCAGCGCGCCTACCGATACCTGCGCGAGGAGGTGCGCGAGTTCCAGGGCCGGCCGATAATGGCGCGAATAAAGGCGAAACCGATGAATCGATTGCCCATGCCGCCGGTGACGAACGTCAAGAATGGTTTTCGTGCCACGCCGCCACCGGCGGCCGTTTTTGATCCGGCCAGCTTCCCACCAGGCCAACAGCGGTTTGTTTATGCCAATGGTACACCCAGCCAGACGGTACCCTTTGGCAACCATGTTCATGTATATGTAAGTTTTTTATTTTTAATTTTTTTTGAAGTTTTTAAAAAAAAATTGTTTTGATTTTTGTAGCCGCCGTATCAACAGCAAGGATATTACACTACGTCGGTGATGCCGGCGTGGCCGGCGAGCGGCTCGCCGTTCTACGACATAAGCAGCGTGTTCCAGGTGAACGGGCTCGCTCCGCAGACCTATAAGCCCCTGGGGTTTAGGAACAGCGCGCGCCCGCGCAAACAATCGCGCGGCGGGGTCGCGCAGACTGAGGCGAGCGCTGTCGCGGCGCTCCCGCCCGCCGCCCCGGCCGGCAATCAGCGGCAGAACCATCAGGCTTCGCCGACACCGTCGCCGCAAGGCACGCCGAAGACTAATACCACTGGTGCCAAACCTCCGCCTCTGATGGGCGACGCGCCTCGCGTCGTTCCGCTCGAGGAAGTCGTTAATACGAATATTAATACAGGTATACCGTTGTTGGGAACAGAAGCAGCATTTGTCGACACGTACAGGCCGAATGTGGTCAGCCAGATGCACGCGTCTCCGAAGGACCCGCGTCCGAATCGTCGCAAGCGCCGCGACGAGGAGATCCTGTCGGCGGTGGGCGCCAGTTCGGCGCGCGATGTGGCGAACCAGCGCAGTCAGTTGTTCGACCTGGAGGCGACCGCGTTCCCGCCGCTGCCCGGTTTTGAAGCCAATGTTGCCGGTAAGCAGACGCAGACGATTGCGGTGGCTGCGGAGGCGATCCCGGCTGCGATTGTTAGCGCTGAGCCAGCGCACGCCGCTCAAGGTCATTGGGGAGAGAATAGGCTGGCCGATGTCGTCAAGGGCACGGCGAGATCGAAAGGGCGCGACTGTGCGCTTTCCAATAGCGGCTCGAATTCGCCGCGGGCGATGTCACCGCTCCACACGCAGTCTCAGACGATTGTGCAGCACTCGACTCGTCCGGGGCGTCGCTCGCAGTCTAGTCCGGACTGCAGTAAGGACGCCAATAATGCCAGCGATATTCAATTGAGTACCGTTACGCTCACACCACCCAGCTCACCGGAAAAGTAAGTTTTTTTTTATTATTATTTAAGAGATTATTATTAATGTTTGTTGTGTTTTTGTAGATTAGTTCCTGCGTCCGCAAAATGCACCATGGCCGACAAGTCGACAAAGACGGACGACGTCCTGCTGAATGGCGAACTGGACTGCCCGACGACGACGAACGCTGCCACCATGACGACGGTGGTGCCGCCGACGGAGACGACGGCGCGCGCCGTCACCCACACGATTGTCGCCGCTACCACCGCCTCCGTCGGCACACGCAGCACCTCGAACGTGTCGCCGCCGCTGCACAAGCAGGACTCGAGGTCCGACGTCCTTAAGCAGCCGCCCACGCCACCGCCGCCGGTAAGCACTCGCTTGTTTCCGTCGCTCTCGGGCGCGCATAATGAACACGTTTCGGCTCAGGACAGCGGCAATCCGCCGCGCATGAGCTATGCACAAGTCGCGCAACATCACAAGGAGATGCAGAAGCAGCAGCAGGCCGCCAGAGAGAGCGCCGGCGAGCAGGCGCAGGCGCTCACCAAGTCGGCCGCGACCAACACCAGCTCGGCGGCGAGCGCAAACACCGCGCAGGCCACCGTCCGAGTGCAAACTGATCAACGAAGTGGAGGTATTAATCATTTATTCATATTATTATTATTATTAATTTTTAATAATACCAATTTATTTATTTAGAGAGTCAGCATAAAGAGTCTAGCAACAGCGCGTCGACCCGAGTCAATCAGCAGCAGGGAGGCGGCGGCGGCGGCGGCGCTGGCCGCAACGGCTCTCGGGCTTCCTTCGACCGCGGCGCCAACCGCCGCAAGCAGGACATGCGGGCGACCCAGCTGCGCGAGTTCGTCGCGCCCAGATCGCCCAAGTAGCAGCGGGCCCCGTGCGCCGCCCGGCACGGCCCTGTGTTGATTGTGCGGCATGCAGTGTGTTGACCTTTGGCCATATTTATATAAAACTAGTGACAATACTGCCCCGCGAGGCATTTAGGTGTATAAATTAACGGAAGGCGGAAAGCGGCATACGCGTGAAGTAAGTACGCTAAAATCTATAACGCTGCAAACAGAGAGCAAGAAAGAAAGAGAAAAAAACGATGAAAAAAAAAATCACAAAAAAATCCACACACACAAAAAACTGATAAGAATATTTCACTTAATTTCGTGCGAGTCATATTGTTCCTAGCTCGAGATATATACTGTTGAATATTAAATATGTTTATTAGTGCTGTACAATTGAGACGATAGAGCTGAGAGAGGGACGGGCGGCGCCGTGGTGCGTCTGTGATAAGCCTGCGTGCGCGCGCCCTGTTTTGCTGACGCAATTGCAACACGAAAAAAAAAACTAAGTAGCAAGATGAGAAACACGCGTTTGTCGTTGGTGGTGTGGTGGCTGTGCCGAAGTGTTTGTAAAGTTTTCGCTTGACTGCGCTGGGCGAGAGAGTAAAGTTTAAATTATTGGTTACTACCCGTTGACGGTGCTGCTCGGCGGCAAGCGAAAACTACAGCGGCCGGTGACACACCCACCCACTCAATGCAGCCAGGCGGAATTTGCGCAGCGCGATGTTGTACAGACTAATGTTGAAGTTATTTTTGACAAATAATTACCATATATGTATAAGCTGTATAGGGGAGCGTAGGTTTAGTGTATTAAATTGTTGGTTTTTCATTATTATTATGTTTAGTAGCTTGCGCAGTTGCTCGGGGCGTTTTGGAGATGTTGATTGGAACGCGCACCGGTTTTTGCTAGCCGCGCAGCCGCAGAGCAAGAAACAATCAATTCGAAACACAATACTTAAAACAATATGAAATCTGTTCACACTTCCTGCGCACGCGCGCGCATGCGTTACACATTCGAATACACATGATTTCGTGGGCGTATATATAGTTTAAGCGACTATTTGTAAATAGTGTTGTAACGAAAACAAAAATGGAACTAAGCAATATTATTTTCGAGTCATTGCGAAGCCAACGAAATGCGCACGCGCTTCTTCTTGTCTCTACCCTTTTGTTCAATGGTTGTGCTTTGTTGTCTAGAAACAAATGAATGCAAACAACGGTGTTAATCTTACTTATAGGCTGTGTATGTATATAACGAAATCGCCCTCGCGCCCCACACACACACACACACACACAGACGGAGATGAGTTCTCTTAATTCTTAGGCGTTTTTTGTTTTGTTTGTTAATATTGACGGTGCGGGGGCGCTAGAAACGGGAAGGCCGCGGGCCCGCTGAGCAACTGGCTGCAAGTGTGCTTTTCACTTTCAGTTAATCAGTATATAAGTTACGTTAAGACTGTTAGCTGATGATAAAATATTTGTTATTTTTGGTCTCTCATGTATAAACATAAATCAAACGTAGTAGTGGCGGTGAAACGGGACGCGCGCGCAAGATGACTACTCATACAGATTGCGAAATGTTGTTTCGAGCGTCCGAGATGCGATATCGATAAACATCCAGAGCACACAATGTATATTTATGACTATATAGTTAATTTACGGAGATCACACTTGGATTTTCTTTCGCAATTTGTTTTCTTCAATTTGTTTGTGTGGCTAGTTTCTATTTTGCAAACACTATATTATTTAGACACGTAGACTACACACCACACACACACGTGCATTGGTTTCACTTCGTTCTGTGCAATGTGCGTTGAATCATTCAGTTTTTTTTCTGGCAGGGGTGTTGATTGAATATGATTATGATTATCGTAACATGTAATAAGTTTTATTGTGATGCTCAAGACAAAAGTTTAAAACTGGCTGGTGCCGAGCGGGGCGCCGCTAACGTCCATAAATTTGATTGCGATGAAGAAGAAAAGCATTTCTGGCGCGCTAGCCAGAGACACACGAACCAAGATAGATATTTCGGTTTATTATTTAAAGAGGAAATCAATTACATCTTAATTATTCTAGTCTTAATAATTATTATATTGTATAACTAAAAACTAACTAAGCTGAGTGTTGCGGGATGCTGGCAAAGGATAGAAAAGCGAGAACATATTTTAGGAGCACTTTTTAAATTTAACGTACGTTTAAAGAAGCGAAAAAGAAAAAGAAATTTTCGAAAGGAAAGATAGCGAACACTAAACGAATAATCAATAAGAAATGTAAGCGCGAGAATGTGCGAAATTGTAAACGGATTGCTAGCGAGGAGAACCAATTGCCAATTGATGCGGATTTATTATATAAAGTGAAAATGGCGGATAATTTGAGGTGATGGGTATCAGATATTGTGTCGACGATTTACATATTTAGAATTAGTTGAATATTTCGTTTACGTTTTTTTTTTTGTTTTTTTTTTTGTCATCTTAGATAATTCATTTATATAACTTGCGTTACTTTTGTATTTAACGATTATTAGCTTTTAATTTTTTTCTCTTTTAATTTTGTTTTAAACACACACGCTCACGGAAAGAGAAGAGATATGAAAAGAGGCGCGAGAGAAAAAGAAACAAAAAACAAAACCATTGCCACATATATATTTTACGCTAATGTATTAGAATCATAGCTTAACGTTTTTTTTGTTTTGTTTTTATTGAACGCAAGCGACCGACAGACAGCAAACACTCGTCACCTTTGAATTTGGAACGTTTTGAGAAACCATATTGTAAAACTTGATTTGCGGTGCATGCGGATTGTGTATGCAACTGTAAGCGATAGATGGCGATGATAGGCGCAGCATGTTTAACGAAACACTGAGAAAACCACCCCTGCTCTATTTATATATGGAATTTGATAGCATATATAAATAACGATTATACATATATTACAAAAATATATTAATTTTTTGAGTTGTAAGTTCGGATGATAAGATAAGCTTTTCCCAATGTTGCTAATTAAAATATTGTTATTGAAAACGATTTCTGTTGACGAACAATCACGCCGAGTGAGGTTAAGTACCAAACCGCACTTGTAAACCTCCCGTAACATTTGTAAAACGCAATAGAAATGACGATGCAGCGTGCTTCCAAATACCTCAACACGAAACTTGGTCACCTAAGTTGTCAACAATCAAAAAAACAAAACATGCAAAATCAGCCAGGTAAACGCAAAAAAACCAACCGACTAATAATTTCTAACCAATTGTTTGTACTAATAAGATGGCAGTGGGTTTTGACGCAGAATGTGAGCTAACCGATTTTTACACTTTCAAAACTAGAGTTATATTTCTCGTTGTACTTCAGTGTCAAATTCTATATTGTTATTAAATATGTGCGAGCATGTATAAATTGTACATAACTAGCAATTAACAATAGGCATTATGAAGATTGTAAACTGTGTGTGTGTGTGTGTCGATTTCGCGTTTGGACAGAAAAAAAAAAACGAATCTTGGATAATAATTATATCTATCGAATTTCGACTGCAAGCAACCAAACGAACACATACTCGTACTGTGCATTGTTTTACATTCATGAACTGTCAAAGCGCAGCCTCATCTTGGGAAAAATGTATACAAAAAGTGTCTTAACTTGCAAAGAAAATTAACAAATAATTTCTAGGTTAATTCATCAAATATTTATTCATGCTTTGCTTGTGAATATGTACATGATAACGTTGCCAAATTTGTTTTTATCGTTTATATATTGTCATGTGATGAGGTTGCGCGTTTTCTCCGCGCTTCGAAATTTCTATCAAGACTGTCATGTAAACGCAAAATCAGAAACAAAAACACTATCAGTATAACGAAGAAATGAAAAATGAAACACAAAAAAATACCTAATCGCTAACAATGTTACATATTAAAAGTAATCATAGTCATAACTTGTAGCATTTTAAGCTAAACTTAACTAAGAACAAAACACTAACAAATGAATGAATGTTTGTGATGACGATGACGATGATGACAGAGAGAAGAAAAAAAAAACAAGATGGTGGACACACACATTAACACGCATTCTTTGCATCGATGTTTCAGACCAACAAACAATTGTTCACAAATCCGAAACCAGACCCTGAGGCGCGAGGACATCTCCTCGCGCACTCTCCGTATGCTTGCCTGTATGTTTGGTATATCATTGTACATATTAGTTATATAACAAGAAACAACATGGTGAATGTTTGCCTATTGAAGAATTATGTAAGCGTATAAATACGTATATTTAATATGAAACTAAACAAAGCGAGGAGTATAACATATATTTTTTTAAAAATTCACACGTCACACAAATATAATACGGGATTAGCCACCCAATGAGAGTAACAACCAAAAACAACCACAAAAAAAAAACATTACACATACGCATTGATTTCATCCTCTGTAAAAATTACTCGATTGTAAAAGAGGAGGCTTTAGAACATGAGAAGTATATGTGCTGATAATCAAACGAAATTGTTGTGAAAAACGTGTTCTTGTGGTTGCATAAATTTATACTTTTGAGGATGTAAGTTATGCAACCAAATGAGCATGGATGTATCAACAAACACTACACACATATACACTTATCGACACATACGAATATGTGTATTAAGCTAAATTTGTAAAATTTCATTTACTAGCTGGTAAATAACTAAACGCAAACCAAACCAATATTATTCATATTAGGTATTCGTACATCATACACATGCATATGTTATTCTATAAAGAAATGAGATGTAATAATAATAATATTTGATGAATTTACGACGGACGACGACACGATGACGATTATAAACAAATAGGCCTTATACGTATTATTACAAGTGATTTTAACGATGATAAAAAATAACATTGCAAACGTACACGAAAGCACACACATGCATGATATATAGGCATATGAATATTATATATAAATATATATATTTGAACAATTATGGCGAATCAACAAGAGGTGTGTGTGTACGAAATTCAGACAAATCTCGAGACAAATGAACATCTTGCGTTGTGTGTGTATTAATCGGGGATTACTCGTTTTGTTTTGTTAACAATGGTGTTTTCATGGAAACGAATCACATGTGAAGATATGAGGAAGTTAATTTGGTTGAATTTTAAAAATAAATATAAAGAAGACGAAGTTTTATCGTTTGAATCAAATAGAAATTGGTTTTGTTTGGGTTAAAATTTCGTGTTTTTTTTTATGTTGGTTGCCTATGTTAGATGTTTGGGTTGCTTATGTTAAAATATTGCATAATTTTGTTATAAAATAATGTGACGCGGTTTTTATTTTGTTTTGTTTGTAAAATGATTTTTATGTTCTGGAAAACGAGGAACATTTTACCAGATAATTAGAAATGTTTTGTTAAAGTTACTATATTTGCGCGTTTGTACAGTTGTTGGTGGCATACGTTTGCTGTTTGGGTTGCATATGTTAAAACAACGCATATTTTTTTCACCAAACATTTGAATGTGACGTTTTTTTTAATGTTTAAAACACTTATTATGCGCTTTAAAACCGAAAACACTTTGGTAAATACATCAAAATCGATTTTAGTATTAATTTTTTAGTACAGAACATAAGAACTGCGAGTAAGACGCCAACTGGAATGTATCCAAATGGATTCTTACTCTTTTTACCAAACAGTTTCGTAGAAAACTACAACCGATCAATTTTTGCCATTTATTTTCTTTTGAACTTGATTTATGATTTCATAGCCGCGCGATCACACCACCCTCCTACGTGGTGCTGTCGTCACATAGCAGGATAAAGTTGGATTTGGCAGTGGCCGCGACCTTTCACATTAAAGACGCGGTGGTGCAATCCCCTGGAATTCTCGGAAATGGCTCTCAATCAATACGACTCGCGGGCCAGCGGAAACTGCTCTCAACCCCATGCAGTCTGCGCTGTTTTCCACAGAGCCAAGAGCGAGCCAGGGATGAGTTTTTCTAGAAGCAACTTGCGTCACAAGCAAGAATTCATGGAATGAATTCCTAGGAAAGTTATATAATAAATAAGAAGAACAACGAAAACAAAACATAAGAAGCTTATAAAATTCTATAAATTGATTTAATTCTATTAAGAAAATTAGATTTACTAGGCAACCAAAGTAACATTTCAATTATTTTGATTTTTTATTCATTTTGATGAATTTTTGACCTCCAAAAATCAAGATTATATAATGAATAATTGTAGTGTCGACCATTTTTTATTTAAACATGTATTGGTTGTTCGTGTATAATAGCATAGTACTCGTACATATTCCAGAAATGAGTCATCGTGAAAATAAACGAAGGTGCGTAAACCTGAACTACACCACGTGGTTGATTCCACGCTTAGAATTACAATCCAAGTGTGAAACTAAACACCAAACACTGAATTACCAAACATTCTAATCTAAATGATTATTTGTTCAGTCTAGCAACTCTAGAGTTACGAGATGCACGGGTTAAAGTCTAAAATTTTACCCAAAAACAAAACAAAGCAGAAAACACTACACAACTACTTTGACTTCACCCACAAAACTTGAGGCACAGGGCACAGGTACAAGTAGAAACGAGTTTGTGACTCGTCGCAATCGACACACGACCGTCACACAACTTTTTCTTTCTTTTTATCTATAGATTTTTTCGACTTGACGTGGGAGAATATATTTCACTTCACTTTTGCCTTTGGTGAAGTTTTACCTGCTCGCCCTTTCATTTCACGACAGTATATTAGCGGTGCGTGTTTGAATGCTGTTTCTGCATTTTATGAGCGCTTAGTTGCTGGTAGGGCTTGCATGAAACTCCGCCGACGACGGCACAAGTGCAAGAGAAACACAGGTGCATGTGTTTTTCTTGCTTCTTGCTTGGTTACTTCACATATTACAATGCACGATCAACGATTATGCGTTATACACCTGAGGTAGGCTCGTTGGAACTTGAAAAAATGGTGACTCATCCGGTCAAAGGCAAATACAAGTCCAAGCCCTACAGGTTTGTTTTCTGTGACTAGTTTTTATAACTTGATCAAACAGAGTAAAACAAAGTTTTTTTTGTTGATTATTGAATATTTAAAGTAAAATTCGTTAAAATTTTACTTGTGGAGTCAATAAATACATTTGCAAAGGGTTTTATTACGTTGTAAATGTTTAATAAGTAGTTTAAAGGCGTTTTGCACCCTTTTCTGGTATCGGTAGTATCATGGGGGGTTAAACATGGCGCCACACGCGAAGTTCTTTGATAAATTTACTGTAAAGTCTGAAAGTCGAAGGAAAAGTTGGTTCCAACAGGTCTAGCCACCAAGGCGCTAGTATTTTTATGTTTTAACAGTGATATTGTGATGGTTTGGTAGCTTATCTTTGATATAAACGCCCACAAATTAAAAAATCATCAATTGCAGACAATAAATATAAAAGTCTGCAGACTGCAACGAATTCAGGGACAATACAAGCTTACAAACACCAGTTTTACTCTTGTTTTGGTTCACCGAGGTAAAACGAATTAAAATTGGTTAAAAACAGCGACAAAAACCTTTAAAAAATCAATTAAACACATTAAATACGTAAATATTTACTGTTTGGGTCAAATTCGCATGAAATTAATTCATTTTTTCATTAAAAAGACACAATAATAACAAAAAAAACGCTCATTTTAAAAAGTATGCAACTTATTTTACATTTTACAACAAAAAATGCTCATTTGGTTGCCTATATTACTAATAAACAACAAAATAACATATTTTACATCATATATTACCATCTTACAAACGTTTTCTTCACCATATATTCTTCACCACTCTAAACGCTTACATGTTCACGGTCTACGAGTACTCATACAGCAATAGCTATACATATTGAATCCTACCTGTCTCGGCAGGTAGTGCCAGTGCACGTAATCGTGAATGAGTGCGACGTATGCGATATATGCGTGCAAGCGAGTAACAAACACACTCACAGAGAGAGAGCGCGTACCGCAAACGGTACTTCTCGGCGTACGAGCGCCATTTTGTTGCCGCACGCTGCGGCGCGCTCACGAGTGTACCTGCGCGGGTATCAGCGCCACAAGCGCCTCCGCGCTCTCTTTGTATTCCGGGGTTCCGCGGCGGGTGTGTTCCCTAGTGTTGGTTTCTTCTCTGTGTGAGTGTAAGTGTGGCCCGATTAGGGAGAGGGTGGCTGCGCTGGGCAGGACGTGAAGTTAACTCGCCACAGACCTGCATGTCTTCAGCAGTACTTCTCGAGGTCTTCACCTCTACACTTCACAATATCACTCTGTAAAAATGTGTCCAGTACTCGCACGAACGGATTATAATTTAGTTCAGTTTATAATTCATGTGTAGTGGATAGTGTTTTATATTTATAATCAAGTGGAATTTGTTTTACGAAAAAGAAAAAACGAAAAATTGTGTTTTGTGCCATTGGATTACTATTATTAAATTGCCATTTAATTTAACGGATTAACGGATTAAAGGATTAAAAATCAACAAATTAAACAAATTCAGGTAAATTTTATTTAATTTTATAAAAATATATTTGCAATGCGTTTTGGTTGTTGAATTTCATTGACATATTCTTTGCGTATTCTACTTTCTAATTTACTTTACTGAGTCTGAGCATGCGCGTTTGATATTATTGCAATTAATTTTTTGCGGATCGTAAATCTATTTATTTTATAGTAGGAAATGTAGTACGCGTACAGTTTTGTGAATAAAACAGCGTGCATAAAATCAATATTTAGGGGGTTGTTTTCGTGCCAGCACGTGGGAGGAGGGTGCACGAGGGTGGATCGCGCGACCGTCGACGTGCGCGTCATGCATATTTTAATAATATTATCATTCCGACGACGCACTTGCACTTCAAATGCATTTTAATGTCGTTTATCATCAATTTTGGTTAATAATATAAAAAAATGAAAAGAATGCAATTTGATTGTGATTCTCTGATAAGTGGAGAATGTCAGGATCATGGATGTAACGTTTTTTTATCGGTATCAAACTGGGAAAATCCGTAATTCAAGTGATAAACATAATTTGTATTGTGTGGCGTATAGATAACTTCCGTAGTATCAAATTTTGTTGTTATTTTAGTATATTGGGACTAAAATATAACAAAATTCATTTTTGTGTGAATATTATTTGTTTTATAATGTTTGTTGGTTTGATTTTAATGTTATTATTAGTTTATTCACGTTCCGAGTGAGATAAGCAATCGGTATGTTTGTTTAACAATTAAATTTCACTTCGAAATGTAAGCCAATGCGTGTGTGGAAGAATTTGCGCGCTAAATTGACTGACAAACCCACAAACCAGCTCAAAACCTCAAGAAAAGTAATAAAATTAAATTCAAAACTAAATAAATATTGACATACTTATTATACTTTCAATTAAATAAACATTTAATTAATTAATTAATTTATAAATTAAATAGTTTGTAAATGAGGTTTTAATATCAATTATATGGGTTTGTTAGTGCTAGGCAACCAATTATGCAAACAAAAGAAATGTTTGTGACGCTGTGGCTGTGGCTGTACCACCTCTCGCTTGTTGCTTGCATGTCGTACCAGTTGGTAGAGTGATACGAAATGGCGGCTGTGCCAGCAGAACACCAACAACAGAAACTACCAACAGAAAAATGGTCCCATTGACCTTGCTGTTTACGGTCAAGCGAGTTTCAACTAAATCCATGCGGCGCGCGCGCCGTCGCGGTTATTACCATTTTATATAACGTGAATATGGCGAAAGAAGCGGACGCACAGCAACACGAAAAAGTTGTTTCACCAACACACACACACACACGACCAGAGATAATTTAAATATTTTCGACATTCTTTCGCCAATTATGCAACAACAAACACGGTGTAACACAGATTTAAATTCGGCCAACAAAACTTTTATTAAATACTATGTCTTCGCAGTTTTTAGTAAAAATGTAATTAAATTTAACTTTCTTGTAAATAATATTTGCAATTTTATTTATAAAATAGAGAAATGATCATAATGTACTTTAACGCCATCTGGGATGCAATTATTTAACTATAATTATGAGTAAATCTCTATATGAACTTCCACTTCATATTTAACACCCTTCACGTAATAATTTTTAACATTTTAATACTTATTCCCCTATTTTGGGCCAAGACAAATTCAAAAAATTATAAATCATCCAAATCTATCAAACCGTTCTTGAGTTATAAGGATTTTAACTAACCCTATTTGTTATTTTATATTACAGAATGCACACACCAGAGGGCACCCTAGAAAGAGGTCACCATGCGCCCTCTGCAGCATCCAATGGCGGACAGAACATAACCAGCATGCCCGTTGTCCCCGTTCTGCCTCCTAATGCTCTCAACCTGCCGCCTTTCACCGCCCCAACAAAAGATTCGCCCGGCGACGTGGTCATTGACTGCGAACATGTGCTCTCCGATCCAGAAAAATTCACAAACAGGTATTTAACTTGAATCAACATTAATGCAATAATTTCAACGTAGGTATATATGCAACCAGCATAATATTTTCTTTATTATGTTATTTTTATGGAGTGTATTTAAATTACACACGCTCGCGTTGAATGCGTGCGCGAGCACGCGTTGCACTCGTTAATTTCGTGATCGCTGATAAGCTTTAACTCTTCGAACAAAAACTAACGACGCACGTTGTGTGTTTGTCTTTCACAGCCTTGAATAAACAATCGAATGCGGTGACTGTAACAAAAGGGTATTGAATCTCAATATTAAACAAAATTAAACAAAACATAAAATAAATAAATTTATCAAATTGTATTTTAAGTATCAAGTGCGCGAAGTGGCACTTTAATCACGTTTAGTGTGATGTTTACGTGATTTTTCTATTTTTACGTTTAGGTTTTGTTTTGGTATTTTTTTATTTTAAAATTTCACTCCATGACTAAAGTACTTTAGTCACGACTTTGGCCACCCGTGATTAAATTCCCACTTTTCGTGTTTCGAAACAATGAAAAAGTGGTGTTTTAATCGTGGAAGTAGAAAGTAAATACCGTGACTAATGTTCTTTAGTCACTACTTTGGCCACCCGTGAATAAATTACCACTTTTCGTGTTTCGAAACAATAAAAAAGTGGGTTTTAAACGAGGAAATAAAAATAGAATATAAATTCCGTGACTAAAGTACTTTAGTCACGACTTTGACCATCTATGACTAAAATATCACTTTTAGTGTCTCAAAACCATGGAAAAAGTAGCGATTTAAAGGTGGAAATAGAAAAAATTATTTAATTACATAATCCAAGGCAAAATCAACAAAGAAAAAGAAAAGATGTGCGCAGTGTAAGAATAATTACGACCTGAACTTGAACGCCAGACTTTCCCACGATTCGTGCACTCGATTGTTATAAAAATAAAAGTAAGAGGTGCAATTAACAACCGGATGTAATAATTTTCATCCGTTGTTTATAACTCCAAGATTTATTCTTTAGCATTGTATGCACGTGGAACATCATAAACTATTAAAAATGCACTCTTATCAGAAAAACCGGTAACACGTCTGACATTATCCATTATCCATGGAATGTTGTTGTCGCGCGCCACGCTGTTCTGACGTCATGAACACAGTCAGCTGCGAGTGCTGTGTGCAATACACAAAAGCAAAACGTGAATCTGGATCATGCGCTACGTATGGAGGTGTAATCCGCTCTTATCAGTACCGGCAGCAGTCGCAAAGAGAGTGTTTGGTGCGCGTGTACTTCACTCACTTCAGCTCTACCTTTAGCATAATATTTCAAATCAATTGAACAATCGAAATAAAATTGAAAGCGTTTGAAGTCTGGTGACGTGAGAGTGTGTGTGGTGGGCTTGTGTTATCACCGCCGCCGCCAAGGACGCGCGCGTTTGCTGTCGCTTTTCCGATTAAAAATAATCATCGCCCGCGCTCGCCATCACACTATCAGCACACCTATATACGTATATTATCTTCGTAGACGCACGTACGTGTTTCGTTGACACCATCTTCCTGGAATAACAAACGAACGCGCATTTATTCATTTAATAACAGTGGAATTATTGATAAGAACTATGTGTGTGCCTGGATTATTTCTTCAAGTGTGCGGAAATCGAAGATAATGTTGTGTGTCGGCGGATTTTGTGCATTTTTTGATTTGTCAGCGTTGGAGATCAAATGAGAAAATATTTTTGTTGGTCAGTACAATTTTATTCTATTTTTTAAATTACTTTTTAAAATTTTTAATGAATGACGCAAGTTAGGCAACTTTTAAATCATTTTTCGGTGGTAATTTTGTTAATCGCGTGAAAAACTGACTTGTTCTGGATTTTTACATAATTAATAAGTTTTTTACGAATGTTTTTCCGAATCGAGTCTTATCACGAGTGTAATTACGAACGTAACAACAAATAAAGAATCATGTCAACTGTCAACACGATAACAAAAGAGTGGTGAAAAAATGCCGCAAATCATTCGTAAACGTAATCGTTTGTTTACGCTTCGGATCACAATCACAACCTACGACACATCCTTCAACTAGATAAATGATAAACTTACATTTCACAATCACACTTTGCTTAGATTATTTCTAGTATGTACTTTATGTTGTGTCTACGTATATACAGCTAGTTAATTATTTTAAAGTATTTTGGGTTGCATACAATGAAAATATTAAATTTTAGATTGCTTATAATGAAAATACTAGATTTTTGTGTATTTTGGGTTGCATACGATAAAAATATTCCTTTTAAAAGGATTTCGCTTTGCGTTCAATGAAATTAATCAATTTTAAAGCATTTTGTGTTGCATACGTTAAAAATACCTCTGTAAATTTAAATATAATTTGTTTGTAATACAGTAGCACATACAATTGTGTTGGCATCTACGTCAATGTATGATTGTAATGGCCGCAATTAACAACTACATCAAAAACTCAAATCAAACAACACAGATTGATGTCTGGCGGATTTTTGCGTCCGCTGTGGCCTTGGCCAAAGGTTCACCTGGGTGCACACCAGCAAAAACACAATTATTACCCAGCCGCAGCTCAGAAATTTACCATTAACATTCAGTAGACGTGTATCTCGTTCCTCTGTACCGTAAATAACCTCAATAGTTTACCCGAAAATTTTACCAAAAATCAAAATGGCGGCTGTGAATACAATCTAAGTAAAGTGTACAAGTAAAAAAATTAGTGTGTCCATGTGTGACGCGCTGATAAAACCGTCGAGCGATCTCGTTACCAATTCGGCTCGTTATCAGCCGCCAACCCGCGAGGCGGCCCCGCGACCAGCGGCGGTGCATAGTTCATTAGACGACTGCGTCGGTATTATAGCTCGATGTTTTGCGCGTTGATTGTGCGCGTCGCGCGTGGGTGAAATATGAGTGATGGCACTTTGAACGACCTGGTCACTTGGAAGAAGTGGCAGAGCGAGGGCGGTGCGTGGAACTACGGGGTGAAAAAGTGGACGGACATTTTGCGTCGATCTGTGATCATATTGAGCATCAAGTCGGTGAGCATGGTGATCGTCACGCTCGAAACGGTGCGCCAGCGGCAGGAGAAGCAGCTCGTCGTCAGCAGCTGCGATTGCGGAAAGTAATTATCAGAGCGTGTGACGTGTGACGCAATCTGCGAGATTACACGTGTTGTGATATTCTAATTTTAAACATCAACATTTAAACATTGTTTTTATTGCTGAGATGAATACGGTTGCGTACATTTAGGCGCGAAATGAAAATAATGTATTGTTGGTTGTATATGTTAGAATTATTTTTAGGATAATATAATTTTAAATTTTTGTTTTTTTGTTAGCATGCTGTGTATCCAAGACGAATTGGGTCAGTTGAATATCCACCAGGGCAGCAATGATCCTGGCGTCGTGGTGCAAGCGGCCGAGTCGAACAAGTCCTCACCGGACACGCCACACATCCTTAAACCAACATGGATGGATGGTTTTCTTGGTTGCCTACGGCCGGTTTTCTCTATTATTGGTAAAGCGGGAGCCAATGAAATACGTGACAATCAAGGTATTTCCTGATAAAAAAAATTAAATATTTTTTATTTTAATTTTGTTGATTGTTTTGCGCTTAGATGATTGGGAAATTCCTTTTGAACAAATAACGAATCTGGATTTGGTCGGCTGCGGTGGACAGGGTATTGTTTTCTACGGCAAGTACAAAAACGAAGATGTGGCCGTGAAGAAGGTGCAGGAACTGAAGGAGACCGACATTCGCAATCTGCGAAAACTGAATCATCCGAATATTGTGAAGTTTAAAGGTGTTTGCACTCAGCCGCCATGTTATTGCATTGTGATGGAATTTTGCGCGGACGGTACCCTGTACGACGTGCTTAAGAAACAGGACAATAGTGTTACGCCCACTAAGGTCGTATCCTGGTCCAAACAGATCGCCAGTGGCATGCATTATTTACATTCGCACAAGATAATTCATCGGGATTTGAAGAGTCCAAAGTAAGTTTACCCAAAATCAATTTTTACCTTAATAATTTTTTTGTTGTTGTTATTAGTGTTTTAATAGGCCAACACAACGTAGTGAAAATCAGTGACTTTGGCACTTCTCGTACCTGGAATGGCATGGTCAGTACCAAAATGTCCTTTGCCGGGACAGTGGCCTGGATGTCCCCTGAAGCCATCCAAGAGTCAGCTTGTTCCGAAAAAGTCGACATTTGGTCATTCGGCGTGGTGTTATGGGAGTTATTGACCTGCGAGATTCCCTATAAGGATATGGAACAAAGCGCCATTATGTACATGGTCGGTTGTGGTAAACTGCATCCCCCAATTCCCAAAACCTGCCCGGAAGGCTTCAAATTAATCATGCAAATGTGTTGGAAATTCAATCCAAAAGACCGTCCCTCTTTTAAATTGATCTGCAACCATCTTGAGATTGCTGGTGTTGAATACATGAGCGCCTACGAGGAACAAAGCTTCTTCGAACGCCAAGAGAAGTGGAAGACTGAGATTGCCTCGCAGATCACACAGTTTAAAACACAATTGAAGAAGCGAAAGATGAAATTTGAGTTGCAAGAGGAGCAATTGATCGAAAAACGCGAGAATGAACTCAAACACATTCGAGATATAAAGATTTTATACGATAGGAAACTTGAAAGGGTTAATCAGTTGTACTATGAGTTGTCTGTAGTGTTATTGCAACTGGATCAGCAGAAACAAGAAGGAAGAAAGCGTGAAATGCAAGGAAAACGGAAGTTAATTCAACCGTTTATGAAAAAATTGGAAAAAAGAAGGACGAGTCAGAATAGCACCACGCCGACGAGTCCCGAATGTAGTTTGACGAGTCCTGAAAGTCCCAAAATTGTAAGTTTTAAAAAATTTCATTTTAAGGCAAATTGATTAATAATATCATTGTTTTTTATGTTAAGATGGCTGCTAAACCATTATACACTCAACTAAACGCAACCAACCAACCCGAATCTACGACACTGCTGCACTCTCAAGGTTCCAAAACCCGCAAACGCCATCACAGGACGAATTCAGGATCACCCAGGAATTCGCGTACAAGTAGCAATCGTACTTCGATTCTAGTAGACACCGAAACGCAGACTGATTATATGGATATTAGCGAACCTGATTTGAGCCCGAATTGTATAAAACCTAAACCATCAGCGACGCCACAACGTGTCATTCTGAAAGAGTTCCCGGATGCTGACCTCGAAGGCAATAATGGCAACTGTGTGCAACTACATTACTTGTCACAGTCTATGCAACCAGGTATACATCTATTACATTACAATAGCAATAAAACAAATATTTAAACATAAATTTTACTCTAGAAGTCGAATTATACACATTACAACGTCTTGGTCATCGAAGTACAACCCCCGATGATCGCTTAGATGAATCTGACAATGTGAACAGTAATTCCCAGACGCGTGACTACAGCGATGAAGATACACTGGAGACAATCGGCCGGAAGGTGTCTGAGGTTTCCGAGATTATCAGCGCGAACAATGGCAACATGTTCACGGATCGCCTAGCGGAAAACGGAAACGTCTCCGAGGATATTGAAGAAGTTCTTCGAAAGCGGCGATGTTCGGATACAAGGCATACAACGTTGGATAGCGGTGAAGAAGACGTGGCGAATGACAGCTGCACGGACGAGGAGGGGGAAATTGGCCGGAAGTACTCATTACGAAGAATAGGGTTAGTATTATTTTAAATTATTAACAAAAAAAAAATAAATAAAGTTTAAATTCTTATTGCTATGCGTATAGTAAGCTTGGATTAATTGATAAAGAAATAGCTTCATTAAAAAGGTATAATTGAATGATATAGTTAATAAATTTTAAGGTTATGAATAGATTTTAATGAAAATTTATGTTTTTATAGTTTTGCCCGTCGTCCGATCTACCCAGGCCGAAGATCTTCACGTTACAAGATGTATCAACGTGATGTAGTAGCTTCGGATGAAGGAAACACCTCGGAGTACTCAAATCCGCCATCCAGTAAGAGTTCCACGTTGGAATCCAACGCTGGAAGGACAAGTGTGGCCGCCGGAAGCACCTCCATTAAACGTACACAATCCGACGCGCTTTCCGACAGTGAATCCGACGATTTTGATCTGAGAATGCAGAATTAACGAAAAAAAATAATGACAAACTAAGTAATCATTCAAAGATAACTACTAAACTGAGTGTATATAGCTAGGAATTTAGTGTTAATCGATATTTTTTAATGCTTTAACTGATAATTACGTGGCGTCCATTTTTACATCTTATTTATATTTATCCGACTTCATTCCGCGTATTATTTAAATTAAGTTTTAAGAATTAATATACAGAGGCATTCACGATCAAAAGCGATACGGATCCACAAAGCAATAAACAATGACTGCGTTTGAATATTTAAACAGTTTCTCATCCGGTTTCTCTCAAATTGTTGCGTCTTTATTTGTTTAATGTAAAGATAAACGTTTTTGGCGACAGATTAACGCCGCCGATTAATGAATGTTAGTGGCAGCTCGCTTTTTCTCGCCAACAGTTCATGGAGATGTGATAATAAGTCTAAGATTATTATTTTTATAGTGCCTTTAATTTTTAATACTCAGTTGATCGGTCATTTCACTGAACTGTTGGCGTTCTCCGCGTTTTTTCTCAACTTTGAGAATCGCTACTTAATTCGAACATACGATTTGTGCACGTGACGTGTGTGGTGCAAAGAATGTTTTGCATTTTTGTGAGGATGAGGAGGAAAGATACTTAAAACATGTTTGAACGTAAAGTATTTTGTCTTTTGTAAATTGTTTATGTACTTTATTGTAAAGACGAGTGGAATGAAGAGACTAAAATTGGTAACAGCATAGATGTTATGCAATAATTAATAAAACATCATAGTACAATTTAATACTCTGAGTTGTTATTTAAGTCATTTGTATTATTTGTGCATTCCTTCTTTCTATCATTACAGGTACAGGTTCAGCCTTAGCATTTTTTCAAGGACAAAAGTGTGGAGACAGCGTTATATTTTGCATTGTTTGTAATCGACTACAGCGCCTCTGGTAGTGACTTTAGAAGTTAATATTTTAGTCCGAACAACAGGGCCGGCCTTTTTCTTTAAATTATTTTTGGCTCGAACGACAGGGTCGAACTATTTTCTTAAAATTATTTAGTGCTGAAATAAATTTTAAAATTTAAATGTTAATATCTTCCGAACCAAAAGAGCTAGGATAAAAATATCTTCAGATTTTGTAGTGTGGAGAATTTCTCTATAAAATATGTAAATTAAATTAATTTTTTTCATTTATTTAACAAAAAATAAATATCGAAAATTAATTTTTTTTATTACAGAATATTGAAGAACGAGTGATTGGAAATACTTTATCTTAATAAAATTTTGTTCTAAGATGTACCGTTTTGATAATAATCTTCATAATAGAAATCATTTTGGTGCGAAGTCAAAATTTTTCACTAAATTGCCAATAGGGCCTAAACGATACGTGATAGATGAAAATTGACCTATTATAATTTATAAAAAATTTAACAAGCTATCTGAATCCGAAATCAGAATTTAAAAATTCCAATTTTTTATTGTTGATAAAAAAATGAAAAAGTTTTGCCTTTTTTATGACGAAATCTTTTCACGGTTTATTCACTGTTTATGTTTTTTATGACATAAATTAAAATTGTTATATTTTAAGAATTTTTTATTGGATTATGATATAGTGAATTATTCTGAATCATTTATTTTAGCAAACTTTTCTTCTACGACCCTTACTTAAGGCCCTATTGAGCCCTTAACATTGAGAAATGTAATTCAACTGTTTTGTCATATATCATCAAAAGTAAGGGTCGAATTAAAAAAAGGTATTAAAATAAAATGTACAGAATCATCTTATCTCTAATAATCTGCAATAAAAAGTTTAAATTTCAAATTTTTATTTTTTGCATAAGAAGTGCTGGAGAAAACGGATAAACCAGTTTTTCGCCGTTATCTTCCAAACAATTAAAGATAAAAGATAATGGTTTTCAGATTCATGTACAGAGCATAATTTTACATCATCTAGCAGTTTAAAAATTTCAATTATCAATACTTATGTAATAAGTGAAAATGGTCAATAACTCGAAAACTAATTACGTCATCAAAACCAAACAAAGATTATTGGATTGCTGGCTTCATTCTACATCATATTGGAAAGTTTCGGGAAAATCGGAGGGGTGGTTCAATTTGGTCGGTTTCGATTTTCACCACTAATTTTTGAAATAATGATGATATCGGAAAACTGACTGGATATCTTTCATTACATTGCAATTCCCTATCGATTGCCGTTTTCCATTTTCTTCTAGCTTAAAAAATAATTTTTAGGCCTCAGAAGAGTCAAGTGTAACCTCTTGATTTTTTCCGAGGGGGTTTTGGTCAACCTTGGAAAATGGGAAAACTAAATCTGCCATTTTATAGATCCTTATCATGGCATGAAGAAAGTGCAAAAAGTTTTTTCTAACTTTATTACTTTCCGAGAAAATCGGGTTGGAAAATTGATTTTCACTTTCACAAAATTACAAATTTTAAACTCTTATCTTATAAAAAATTTTATACTGAACACAATGCCGTTTTCCGTATGCTTGTATCTTTCTTAGTTTCAGAGATAATCGGTAATTAAGATACGCTGGAAGTACACGTCTCAGTTAAATGCATCTACAGGGTAAACTATTAGAGATAATAAGTTGCAAGTTTGATAAATAATGTAATTAAAAGCTTCTCTGTTACATAATATAATTAGTTTTTGAAAATAAATAGAAACCCTTGCAAAATTGCCAGGCACCTCCGCCATAATTCAACTAATTATTTAGTAATTTTTGTTAACTAAAAAGTTGATTTTTTATAGCTGAATATTAAAGAGAACAATTTTATAAAGCAATTATTTTAATAAATTTTTTAATTAAACAATTTGTTTGGAAGATATAAGCCAAAAATAAAGTATACTTTATGGCCCAATAGGGCCTTAAGTACTAATTGTAGAAGAAAAGTTTACTAAAATAAATAATTTATAATGTTCTGTTTTATCATAATCCAGAAAAAATATTCAAAAACTCAATTTTTAATTTATGTCATAAAAAACATAAACCGTGAATAAACCGTGAAAAGATTTCGTCATAAAAAAGGCAAAACTTTTTCATTTTTTTATCAACAATTAAAAATTGGAATTTTTAAAGTCTGATTTCAGATTCAGATAGGTTATAAAATTCTACATAAATTATAATAGGTCAATTTTCCTCTAACGCTGACCGTTTAGGCCCTATTGGCATTTTTCAAGAAAAATTTGACTTCGCACGAAAACGATTTCTATAATTCTGATTATTATCAAAACGGTACATCTTCGAACAAAATTTTATTAAAATAAAGTATTTCAAATCACGTTTTGAAAACTTTTGAAAAGTTTGGTCGGCAAATAATTTTAAAAATAAGTTCCTTCGGGCTCAATTTATTTTTCGAAATTAGTTCGACCCTGTTACTCTGTTACCCTGTTACTGTTACTGGCTCTTGACCTGTACCTGAAACGATGGAAGGGATACACAAATAATACGAGTTACAATCGATTAAAATATATCTTTATTAACACAACAGTAGTACAATACATTTCTTAAACAGATTATTTTACAGGATAATAAAGAATTTAATTATACACATTTTGGTAAAAAATAATTCTGTATATTTTAGTATATACATAATTTAGAAAACATAAATAGTTTGCCTTCCACATGCAAAAACGAAAATTTTCGTAACAAAAAAAAATTATTGCATTTTGTAGGCATTTCTTGGACGAAAATTCATGAAATCTATATACAGGGTGATAGAGAGTTTAATTATGTATATTTTAGTAAATAAATAGTTGAGAAAACATAAATAGTTTGCCTTCCACATGCAAAAAACGAAAATTTTCACAACAAAAAAACAGATTATTGCATTTTTTAGGCATTTCTTGGATGAAATTTCAGGAAATCTATATACAGGGTGATAGAGAATTTAATTATGTATATTTTAGTAAATAAATAGTTAAGAAAACATAAATAGTTTGCCTTCCACATGCAAAAAACGAAAATTTTCACAACAAAAAAACAGATTATTGCATTTTTTAGGCATTTCTTGGACGAAATTTCAGGAAATATATATACAGGGTGATAGAGAATTTAATTATGTATATTTTAGTAAATAAATAGTTGAGAAAACATAAATAGTTTGCCTTCCACATGCAAAAACGAAAATTTTCGTAACAAAAAAAAGATTATTGCATTTTGTAGGCATTTCTTGGACGAAAATTCATGAAATCTATATACAGGGTGATAGAGAATTTAGTTATGTATATTTTAGTAAATAAATAATTTAGAAAACATAAATAGTTTGCCTGCCACATGCAAAAACGATATATTTTAGTAAATAAATAGTTTAGAAAACATAAATAGTTTGCCTTCCACATGCAAAACGAAAATTTTCACTCGAAAATTTTCAAAGACATGGTCGAACTATTTCTTTAAATTATTTTTGCTTGAAAGACAGGATCGAACTACTTTTTCAAAATTATTACCTGTCGAAATAAATTTAATTTTGAATTCTTGATAAAAAAAAATGAAAAAGTTTTGTCTTTTTTATGACGAAATCTTTTCACGGTTTTGTGTTTTTTATGACATAAATTAAAATTGTGACTTTTGAACAATTTCAGGAAGATAGAGAATTTAATTATGTATATTTTAGTAAGTAAATAATTTAGAAAACATAAATAGTTTGCCTTCCACATGCAAAAAACGAAAATTTTCACAATAGAAATTATTGCATTATTAGGCATATTTTGGACGAGTAAATAAATAATTTAGAAAACATAAATAGTTTGCCTTCCACATGCAAAAACGAAAATTTTCACAATAAAAAAAAACAGATTATTGCATTTTTAGGCATTTCTTGGACGAAACTTCATGAAAATCGGAGGGGTAGTTCAATTTGGTCGGTTTCCATTTTCACCAAGTTTTTTTGAAATAATGGTGATATCGGAAAACTGACTGGATATCTTTCATCGCATTGCAATTCTCTATCGATTGCCGTTTTCCATTTTCTTCTAGCTTAAAAAATAATTTTTAGGCCTAAGAAGAGTCAAGTGTAACCTCTTGACTTTTTCCGAGGGGGTTTTGGTCAACTTTGGAAAATGGAAAAACTAAATCTGCCATTTTATAGATCCTTATCATGGCATGAAGAAAGTGCAAGAAGTTTTTTTCTAACTTTATTACTTTCCGAGAAAATCACGTCGGAAAATTGATTTTCACTCTTATAAAATTACAAATTTTAAACTCTTATCTTATAAAGAATTTTATACTGAACCCAATGCCGTTTTCCGTATGCTTGTATCTTTCTTAGTTTCGGAGATAATCGGTAATTAAGTTGCGCTGGAAGTACTCGTTCTAAATAAATGCATCTACAGGGGACTTCATGAAATCTATATACAGGGTGATAGAGAATTTAATTATGTATATTTTAGTAAATAAATAATTTAGAAAACATAAATAGTTTGCCTTCCACATGCAAAAACGAAAATTTTCGTAACAAAAAAAAATTATTGCATTTTGTAGGCATTTCTTGGACGAAAATTCATGAAATCTATATACAGGGTGATAGAGAATTTAGTTATGTATATTTTAGTAAATAAATAATTTAGAAAACATAAATAGTTTGCCTGCCACATGCAAAAACGAAAATTTTCACAACAAAAAACAGATTATTGCATTTTTAGGCATTTCTTGGATGAAATTTCAGGAAATCTATATACAGGAAGATAGAGAATTTAATTATGTATATTTTAGTAAGTAAATAATTTAGAAAACATAAATAGTTTGCCTTCGCAACATCACCACTTCTATCAA